ATCAATTCAATAAATTTTGTTAATTTATTTAAGATTGTATTGATAATAATATAGCAAATTGATAATTAAATGGGATAAATTTAAGAAATTTGGTTGAATTGGATTTCTTATTTTAAATATTAGGTGGGTGTAGCGTTGTACAATTATAGAATTGATAAATTTCTTATAATTAACATGAATAAAATTGAACCTATTTCCAGTGTGTTCTTATTTTATATTCGTTAGAGAGAGTAAATTCACAGTCTTCCTGGAGGGTAAGAGAACTTTAATTTGCCAAAAATTCTGACATCATTTTTTTTGATTAAAATTTACAAATAGTTAAGGCAAATAAATCATGCTAGAAAGTATTTTTTGTTTATTAGTATGATGCTCATTTGAATCACGAATGAAAACTAATATAATTAGTAATTATTGTGAAAGAAGCAAAAATTTAATATTCTCAATTTTTCTCGGACTAATTGGAAATCTTATGTAGATCAATTTTTCTGATTGCTTAAATACTCGCACTGAAGAATAACTATCGAAATAAAAGTATTTCAAAATATAGGAGATCTATTAGCAATGCCTTGGAGATTGATGTATTTTATTATTTCTTTCTAATTCATATTTTTAATATAAAAAATGATCACAATCTCTATATTAATCATAACTTTCCAACACATAGGGGCAAAATTGATATCAGCAGAGGATTATAACTTAATTATAAATAGTAATAAACAATTTCTACATAGATTGGTGCCTTTTGAAAGGAGATTAAAAGTTTAACATTTATAATGGAGAAAGCTATTTTGGAGGAGACTCTGGGCTAAAATAAGATTCATCCTTACAAAATTATTACAATCTGCCACCTCATTCTTAAGTAACTATTTAGATAAAAGCAATTTTTTCTTGTATATAATTTTTTCATGTTTACTTGGATGACGCAATATAAACGATTGAGATAAGTCTGCTTAATTCACCCTAACCTATAATTTTAGAGGCTAACTACTTTCATTCCAGCAAATTGGCTTTTTTTAATTTGAATGTTACAAAGAGCACAAGCTGTTCTAATACATGGTGGGGTGTTTTTGATATATAAATCCATATTTAAGAATGTTATAAAAATAAAGAGTATTGTTAACCTGGATCAAATATTTTATGGAAGATCCTATATTCAAACCTGATTTTCAACCCTTCAGATTGGACGTCTCAAGTAGGGGCTGGGTCAACTATATACATGTTTAAAAGTATAATAATATATCAAACTAATTTAGATTTTTCTCTCAAAAGTATTAATATTGGCAGTAACTTGAAGATTTAGAAATATTTCCTGATACCATATCCAACTTAAGTCAAATTTTAATTTAAGCTTTTTTTTAAAAATGCTCCTTCTTAAATAAAAATATAAATAAATGATCTTTTAGTAGAATGGCCATTAACTACATATTTTGATTACAATCCAAATTGTATTGGTGCTATTTAATTGATTTACAGCATTGAAATAGATAGTAATCAACATAAAAGTGATATATTATCTTTCGTTATATAATTATCAGAAAGCTCTGGAAATAATGATGTAAGTATATTTGATTTCGTTGTATATTATTAAGAATAAGAAATTGTACAGCTTCCAAGTTTAGGATGCATAAATTAGATAGGATCACAATGTACTTCTTGCGAATAAGGTTGGTAATACGATGGTTTGAATTAGAAATGCAGTCCTATATGTGGTAATGGAAGAATAGAAGGATATGAAGAATGTGACGATGGAAATGGAATTTCTAATGATGGTTGTTATAACTGTAAATTTGAATGTTCGTTAGGTTGTTTAAAATGTAGGTTTGGGAAATGTTTATCATGGTCAAATTCTTATAATTTAGATTAGTATAATACTATTTCAAAGATATAAGATTGTAGCCATGCTTAGGGTTAATATTTTGATTACTTATTAAATGAGTGTTTATCTATTTGTGGTGATGGTATTATAACATTAAATGAGGAATGCGATGATGGTAATAGCTTATTAAATGACAGATGCAATAATTGTTAATTCATATGTTCTGATGACTGTTTAGATTGTAGATTTGGAAAATGTTATCAATGTAATTAGGGATATAAAATTAAATAATTCAAATGTATTTCAGATTGTGGAGATCAAATTACTAATATTGAGGAAACATGTGACGATGGAAATAACATTAGATTTGATGGATGCTATCAATGTTAAAGCAGCTGCCAATTATAATGTTTGGACTGTTAAAACTCTCACTGCATTTAATGTTTATAAGGTTGGAATCTAATTGACGGTAAATGTGAAGAACAATGTGGAGATGGACAAGTGGCTCTAATGTCTTATGAATAATGTGATGATCCTACTAATACCAAGTGCATTGATTGTTAATTTTAATTCTGTCAAGATAATTGCTTAATATGTAATTAGCATGAATGTGTCACTTGCTCTTTTCCTTATCAAATGATTAATGATGTTTGTTAACCCATATGTGGTGATTCCATTGTTACAATTGAATTTGAACAATGCGACGATGGTAATGATATCCCTTTTGATGGATGTCACTAATGTCAGTATTCATGTTCATACGGATGTTAATAATGCGAACAGGACAATGTTTGTACATAATGTGAATAAAATTTATTTTATTTGGATATCTACACTGGTAAGTGTAAAGAAATTGTTAAATTAGTAGATAATGAAATGTTTCCATTGAATGATACGGATTCTAATAATCAAACTATTTAATGCAATCCAAATTATTTATTAATTGAAAATATTTGTGTGAATTAATGTGGAAATGGAATGCTAAGTAGCCCTTATGAAGAATGTGATGATGGTAATAGCAATGGAGGTGATGGTTGTTCTTCATTATGCAATCTTGAAAATTTCTTTTAATGTCAAAATGTCGAAAGCTCATTATCGATATGCTCATTTATACAACCCCCTGATTTCAATTTAAATACTCTATCTGATAAAAACAATCAAATTTAAATTGTTGAATTCACTTTCACTCAACAAGTTAAATTAAATTCTCCATCTAATTTAGAAGACATTGCAATTTTCAAGATAACTCCATAAGTGCAACATTATCTAAGTATCATTCCTAAAGAAAATCTGACAACCTATTTGAATAATCCTATATATCAGATCATTATTTAATTTTATGACTCTATAGAAAATCCAAAGCTGGAGATTGAGATTTCTAAATTTGTCATAACTAATTAGTTTGATTTGGAATTAATACACTTTAATAAGAATGTAAATCTTGGAGCTCCTTTTGTAATGTCAAAATCAACAAAACAATAGGTAGCATCAGTTGTTAAATTCAATGATGCAATGATGTATTCTATGGTAAGTATAGCAGGTTTAGCTACGGTGACAGGAAACGTATTGATGCTTCTTAACCTTTTAGAATTGTTGTAATCTTTGTCATATATTCGCTATATGCAATATCAGTTTCCACCAAATTTAAGATAGTTTCTTGACACATACACTAAGGTCTCTATGTAACCCATATTAGATTATTTTCAAGTTGATCAATTAATTGCATAACTCAATGGTGGTTTCTTACCATATAAAAGAAAAAACTCATAAAAATAAAGCTCAAACTTTGAATTAAATTAAATTTATATTATGAATGCCAAGAGCTGCTACTTCTCTCTTTTGGCTTCCTCCATAACATATTTAATTTGCTCTATTCTAGCATCTGAATACGTAGATGATAAATTGTTCAAAGATTATTCAAAGTATACTGAAAAAATGAATTATCTGAAATATATAAAGGTATTTCAATCAAAGATTTAGTAATAATGCCAAAAAATGAAAAATGACTACTTTTCATAAGGAATATTTTAACTCTATTTTACAATACTGCATCAATTAACATTTAGTTCATTTTTACAGTTTCCAGATTACAACTTCGAAACCCTATTTGAATCTTTTAATTCTTTGAATGCGATGCTTGGATTGCTATTGATAATATTAGTCTCCTTTAAAGTACTCTCAATTACATCATCCCCGATTAAAAACATGTCTAGGTGGAAATATTTCTATTTAGGATCTCGATGTTAATATTGGTCACTTCATTACAAGTCCTTGTAGATACTCAAAGTTAAGTTTTATATTTTTGTTATTGTAATCTGCATGAATTATCCTGAAATTCAATCAATTCTATTGTCTATGCAATCATTATGCTATTTGATTTACTTATTCAAATTTAGACCCATTACTTCAAATTTTGATTTAGTTAAATTGATGATCAGGGAATCCTTTTTAATGGCAATATTTTGCTCATTTTTGCTGTATAGTTTGGATTCAACCAATGATTAACAGTTACTTTATGGATGGATGCATATCATCCTATTTTCTTTTATATTGTCTACAAGTTTAGTAGTGGACATGATAGAATATTTTTATAAGTTGTACTAAAAATACCTAAAAAAGAAGATGAAAGAATTAGAAAAAGAAAATAATAAATATTACGATAATCCACTCTAAAGATTTATATTGATTGAGTAGCAAAATATTGTGATTTGACATTTTATTAATTTAAATTTCTATAAAAAAATTCTACATAGATTGAATTAAGAGTTTTTTTTTCATTCATCAAATAGTTTTATTATTAAATCCATAACTATTAATATAGAAATTACAAATTAGATTTGAGGTTTCTTGTTTATGAAGATTTCATAAAAGTATGTTTAAATAATAAATTATTCATCCCTTGAATGTTGTTCATCCTCCTTTGATTTGTTAGATTATTAACAATAATTAACAAAATTTTGTATAATAATGATAAACTTTATTTAAATTTTTTAATATTCTATTTTAAAGATAAACAATGTAGACTAGCTTTAAAGAAAATAAATAAATTTTCATGTAATCAATCAATCAAACATAATATAAAATGCTATTAATCTATTTAACTTACAGATTTGATCATAATAAAATTAGTTTAACTTGATATTTAAACAGAATATTTTTAAAATCTTATTATTTTTTTTTGTAAATGAAAAAAGAAAGTGAATGTGTGAAGGTTGTGGTTAGAGTAAGGCCCTTTAATCAGAAGGAGAAGGAAAATAATAGTAAACCTTGTGTGAACGTGGATGAAAAATAAAATGTAGTTGAACTATTAAAGGTATGATATAAGGGTAATATATAGCTTGCTGATAATGAGACAAAATAGTTTTCTTATGATTATGTTTTTGGAATGAATGCGAAATAATCTTACATATACGAAAAGACGGCATTCAATTTAGTAGAATCTGTAATTGATGGGTATAATGGGACAATCTTTGCTTATGGTTAAACAGGTACTTTATATAGTAATTTAAGGGTGCGGTAAGACCTTCACTATGACAGGAGTTCCTGAGAATGTAACTATTTGATTTTAAGCTTTTAGGAGGAACTTAAGGGTATCATCCCGAGAACATTCACTCAAATATAGACGATTATTGACACAAACACTGATACAAAGAAGAAATTCTTGGTCAGATGTTCTTTTCTTGAGATATACAACGAGGAAATTCGGGACTTATTGGGAAAGGATCATAAGGCCAGATTAGAATTAAAAGAGTCTCAAGGTTCCGTCTCAGTAAAGGATTTAACCATGGTTACAGTAAAAACTGCTTAGGATATGGATAAATACATGACTCTTGGTTAGAGTAGCAGATCTGTTGGAGCCACAGCTATGAATGCGCAATCAAGTAGATCTCATTGCATTTTTACTGTGTATGTTGAAAGCTAGATAGTAGATGCTAAGGGGAGTGAGTTTATCAGAGTAGGAAAACTTAATTTAGTAGATTTAGCTGGAAGTGAAAGATAGTCAAAGACTTAAGCCACTGGAGACAGACTTAAGGAAGCAACAAAGATTAATTTGTCTTTATCTGCTTTGGGCAATGTGATTTCAGCATTAGTAGATGGGAAAACTCAGCATATTCCTTACAGAGATTCAAAGTTAACCAGATTATTGTAAGACTCTTTGGGTGGTAATACCAAAACAGTAATGATCACTGCTCTAAGTCCTGCTGATTACAATTATGATGAAACTCTCTCTAGTTTAAGATATGCATCCAGAGCCAAAATGATCAAAAATCAACCTAAGATCAATGAGGATCCAAAGGATGCTTTGTTGAAATAATAGGCTGATGAAATATCAAAATTAAAGGAATAATTATCTAAATTACACAAGAATGGGGGAGTAGGAGGCTCAGAGAAAGAGATTTAAAATAATAGTAATGCTAATCAGAGTTTTTATGCAAATTTAAAGAAATAATAAGAGGATCTTGAAATTGAGAAGATTAAAACTGATGAAGTTTAGAAGGAACTTGAAAAACTGAAATAAGATAATGAGAGGTTAATGAAGGAGAGAATGGAAAAAGAGGAATAGATGTCCAGGCAAAAATAAAGAGAACTTGAATAATTGATAAAAGATAATGAAAAGTTATAAAAAGAAAAAGAAAAAGTATTAGAACAAATAGCAGAAAAGGAGTAAAAAGCTGTGGAGGAATAAAATTTAAGATAGAAATTGGAAGAGTTAATGCAAGCAAAGGAGAAGATGGTAGTTACAGGAGGAAAAGCAAGTGAAGAAGAGAAAAAGAAGTATCGTTTATAATAGAAGAAGCTGAAATAATAAAGTCAAGATCATGAGAAATTATTGGAAGAAAGAGAGAAATAGAAGGATGAATTGTATGAGATAGAGCAAAAATATCAATCAGTCTAAGAAGAAATTGAGGCTTTAAGGAAAAAAAATTTGAGATTGAGGAAAGCCCACAAAGAGGCTATGGTAGAAATAAAGGACATTCAAAAAGAAAATGAGTAGGACAAAGAAGAATTACTTGAAAGTATCAGAGCTTTGGAGAGAGAAAATACATTATATTTACGAATATTGTTAACCTTGTTTAAAGAGGACGAATTGTAGAGTCTTAAAGGCGATTGTGTTTATGATGAAGAAAAGAAAGATTATAAGGTCCCTCCTTTTATCTTTAAGCAGAATAAGGTGTCCTATCCTTCCTTGCCTTACAAAGAAGGTATTTTTTTACTTTATTTTTTAACTAGCTCAGGAGTATATTGAAAACCTTAAAGATTAAAGATAATTACAAATTAACCCTAAGCAGGATATGCTTGAGAATCCTGTTAGAAACAATAGTAAGATGCGTTCTGAAGAAACCTAATTAAGATCAAATAGTCAAGGTTTTGATTAAAAAGCCAGATAAAATCAAATGTTGTAGTAACAGAAGTAATAGGTGGAAGAATTAGCGAAATTATATCCAACCTCATAAACACCTTAGTTGGAGAAAAAACAAAAAGTATAGCTAAGTCCCATTGAAAATAAATCTGACCGGCCTCCTTCAACTCAACATAGTGATAAAAACATTTTCAAATAATCTCCTTTAACAAAATAGAAAGAACTATAAGTTCCCTAGAAACCACTTAGCAAAATTCCTTTGGGAAAACTACCGCCAGATATTGATAGAAAGAATTATCATTAATGAGAGGAGAATTAATTTGGTATGTCTAAATATTAACAATAATATAAATTGATCAATCCTTTTAAACAGAATTTTATGCTTAGCTTTTCTCAACATATTCTACTTCATTCTTATTGGGATATTTTTTGTTTTTTTCAACCTTTGTTCTTTTTTATAATTACTAATTATTTATTTAGAATCTTTAGTCTAATGAAAAGTTTTAGACCTCACCATTAGAATCGGGATTTTGCTATTGTTCAATTCCTTAATTTTGAGAGTATTATTGTTACTAATTTTGTCTAGCAGGTTTGTCGTAATTTTGTTGTTTGCCATATTGTTGTTTGTTGTTGTTTTATTACTGATAATATTGATTTTAATAAAATCCATTGTTTTGTTACCAATATTGAGGAGTCTATTGAAATTGATACCCTAAAATAATTAAATTTTATATACCAACTTATTATTATTAATAATAATAAGGTTAGTAAGGTTATTAATAATAATATTATTAGCCATAAGGAGGTTAATAGTATCCCCCTTAAGATTTTCGATTGTTTTTTTTCCTCTCATAGGATGCAACTGAGAAAGAGAATGGGATAGTTTCAAAGACAGAGGAGAGTTCCTTGAACTTCTTTTCAAATCTTTGATTGTTTGTTCTTTCCTCTCTATTTTCAAACTGTTGAATTATAAGATAACATTACTTCCAATTTATCTAGTTGAGGAAATTCTTCAAATAAACTTTTATTGGAGACTTCATTTTGAAATATTTTTGTCATTTTGATGCCATTTTCATTTGATAATTCTGTGCAATCTATCAAATCATAAACTGATTTCAAGGTTTCTTCACTACCTTCTAACTTTTGGATTTGCTTGATATTTTCGAATAGCTTAAATGAAAGATCCTTAATATACAACTAAATGATAAATGATGCTCATACCCATTCTATTGAAAATGTGCCAAACCATTTATTTTCAATTAACCAAAACTTAAAGTGGAATTTAGGATTGAATGCAGAAGTTAGCTTAGCCATTCCGCTAAAACACATACTATTAATTTCTGTAAAGAACAGATAAACTTCTTATTTCTTATTTGTGAATGCTTCATGTAATCGTTCGTTTTTACGAGATGAGCTATTATTTTATTAATCATTTACCTCGTCCAAATGCCGTACTTCATAGCTCTATGGACATTGTCTTCTCCTTATGTTCTTATAATAAAGAATTTGCATTCCTCTAAATTGTTAAATTCGTGATTAAGGTTGATTTTTGCTAAAGAGGGAAATTTCTTTCGAATCTAGTTGATATCGTCATAACTTTCTAATGATATGAAGGGAGGCTAAGAATATGGAAATGCTATACTTGATCGTTCATCATTTGCTTAAATAAAAATAAAAGATTTAAATAATTTCTGAAATATATTTAATTGATCATCATTATGAAACCAAATCAATCGACAGCTATGTTTATTTTCTCAAATCTTTTCTCCGAATTACTCCATATCACCCCATTTGAAGGCAATTGTCTAAAGCTAGGCAGCAAAATTTAAAATAAATATTTGAAATCACCAAACACTTATTTTAAATTTTCAATTATTTCTTCTCTCTCAAAAGTAGTTTTTCTGTTTCTGTCCATAAATTCAATTGCAGTAAACCCCCTGAGAACTAAGAACCAATTCCACCCTCCAAAACATCCAGTCGACCAAGATAATGCAAGTTCAAGGACCCACAAGGTGGAAAATAAAGAACTTCTTTTATTTTTAAAATCTTCAAAATCCGTGGAAAAAACAATATTTAAATTTAATAAAGTAAAAAAGGATGTACCTAAGAATATATAAGTGAGAAATAGAACAAAGTATCTATGATTTTAGTAACCAACACAATTATTAATCCAAGGACAATGGTGATCCATTTTCAATATACATTTATTACATATGCTGCAATGATGAGTTCTTTTAGGTTTAGGCAATGAACACTAATTACAAAATCCTAAAGTTGATTGATCCAAAATGTTATTTTGTTAGGCATTGTTGGTTTCTAATTTTGGTGTATAGTGAAATTTTAGATATCTTAAATTAGGATTAGCATTGTTCTCTACTTAGCTTTCATTATTTTCTGTGTCATTTTAAATAGGAATAAAATACTCACTTGTAGTACCTGGAGAAACTTAAATTACAAAGGTGTAGTTTAGGATTACATTGAAGGCTACGATCAAAAATAATAGTACATAATAGTAGTCCAACAAGGAGAATTGCAATAGTTAGATAGGTATTTGAATAAACCAAGTGATATTGCATAGTGGTGTCAAATATGAAGGAGTACATGATGGTTGAAATGAGCAGATAGCAAAATACGATCAGTAGTTTACTGAAGCAAGAGAGTATTTTATTCACAGAGTATTTTTTGTTTGCTTTATTAAAATTAGATTAGTAATCTTCTTGCAATTGTTACATTAATTTAATTATTTCTTTAAATACATATAATTTGCTCTTATTTATAAAATAATATAACGACTATATTGTGATAAGATTTCAGCCGACATCAGTTGGAGGAATTTAAATTCAAGTATGTTCTATTTAGAAAAGACAGAATCGATTTGACAAGCCTTTCTAGGAGCTAAGATAATTTAAGGAGGTTTAAAATTCTTCAAAAAATATCTTTTGGAAGAATAATAAATATGTTTAAACAAATATGTTAAATATGTTAAATCGTAACAAAAATATCATTTAATACAAATAAAAGATTAATTTACTATCTAGAGAGCCCTACAAATGTGACATTTTAAGGTTTATGAATGTTATATCGAGATAATTTGATTTAAATCATCTTAACACAAGACATGTCCACATAATAATTTAACAGTATTTTCTTCATTTAGATGACAAAAACATATGGGACACTCCTCCTCCTTATATGAAGAATCCGTTTAAGTTGTAAGTATGAATTATGGAGTCTCTTCTTCTTCTTCAATGAATGCATTTTAACGAATCAATGTCGGAGGAGGTAACATCAATTCATCTAGATCCATTTCATCATAATTATAACTATCGGTGCCTTCCATCGATTTCTTTTGCTTTTTAAATAAGCTTTATTTTTTTAATTTTTATTAAACATCTCATTTGTGTTCCCATATAAATAGGGAATTCAAGATTTAAAAGTTTATCCTGTCCTATATGGCTTTAAATCATTCCAATAACGGTTGATAATTACTATTCTAGGTTAATGGAAACCCAAATCGCATTTAAAAAAGTTAAATGCTTTTCCTAAACATACTCTAAGATTAATTCTAAATATTAATCATAAATTCATCAATTAAATTAAAATAGTTTATAATTCTTGAAATAATCCATGTGGAAAATAATGTTATTGTCGTGTTTGATTATAATTGGTTAATCAGCCCTTTAGCCCTCAGTATTGAACTTTATGCAAGGATATGCTTTCGGAGTGGGAATGGGAGACGAAGTTCCAGAGATCATGGATTGCGTTTTGGATGTGATTCTAGTCAAGCCTTAATGGGATATAATACTCAAATAATTCAATTAAGGTGGTGCTATCAATATTTGGAATGGTTTGTCTGACATTTTATTCTCTTTTGATCAGTTTGCTCAATAATGCGGAAACACAACGATTGGATTGAATAAAATTCAGAAACATATTAGAAAGATTTTTACAAGTTTATATTTAGGTTACTTTTTAGCTCCAAAGTTATTCAAGTAGATGATAGAGAATATGAGTAGAGAAAGTGACAAAGTATCAGAATTAACTTGTTAATTTGTAGAATTAATGAAGGAATAAGATACATACTAAAGTGGCTATGTAATTGGGTAACTGATTTCAATAGTATTTGAAATTTGAGATTATAGCTTGCATTACATAATTAAATATTTATTAATATTATCAAAGAACACAGAATTATCCAATGAAGAAATTTCACGCATTTTTAATCTTCTCTACATGCAATATGTTTGTTTCGATGTGCGGATCTCTTATTACTCCCTTCTTTCCCCCTTACGCTGATAAAAAAGGAATATCCTAGACCACTTTGGGATTGATAATAGCTGCTGGTCCCTTAGGTGGATTATTGGCTTCAATTATAATTGCTAAAACTTTGAATCACGTAAAATTTTATATCTTATTTCTAGAGAAACAGAAACAAATACATATTAATAGGGGTGTTGGGGGAACCTCTAAGTTTACTGTTTTTTTCCTTGACTGACCTTTTTGAAGATAAAGTTCCAATCATCATAATCGCTTCTATAGGGAGATTTATAGGAGGAATAGTATTTAAAATATATAATATAAAGGGAACATCCTTATTTTTGACACCTTTCTTTGGGTATATTCCAATTTTATACCCCAAAGATGTTGAAAAAAAAGTGAGCATTAGTGAAGCATTTAGTAGCGTAGGATTTTTTGCTGGGCCTGCATTGGGATCTGCTCTGTATGCTTTGGGAGGTTACTTGACTCCATTCCTAGTATTTAGTTCGTTTGGATTCCTCTCATTGCCCTTTTTATATGCAGCATTGTAATCTGTGGGGCCAAAAAAATATTAAGTGGAAGTATAAAGATAGATTGCGGAGATCGAAGAGACAAAGAAATTGACAGAAATTTAACAAACTCTTTTGGCAACTCAACAATTAGATGGGGAACAACGATTAACTTTCCTTTCTTTGGTTCAACATTATCCGGTTGTTGTTATTTTTTGGGTTATAACCCTAGTAAACATTTGTATGACGTACTTCCAACCAATCTTATCAATCTACTTTACAAAACAATACGATTTTGACGAGGGCTAAATAGGGTTTATCATGACGATAGTATCTTTGGCTTACACTTTAGGATGTTATCTTTGTGGATATAATAAAAACTATAAAAGAGAAGTAATTTAAAATTGTTATAATATTATAGATGGCTTGCATTTGTTTGTTTTTCTTTGGTTGTGCCTATTTCTTGGCTGGTCCTGACACTGAACTAATTCAAGTTCCCCACAAACTGTGGATTGCTTTAATGGCATAGTTTTTATTGGGAGTTTTGAGTGGTCCTGCTTATGTTCCTTCTCTGCCTGTGTTGAATGAGTTCTTGTTGTTCCATTATCCAATTCAGACCATCAGAGTGGCCACCTATTCTTCTGCTTTGTAAATATAGGGAATTAATTTCATTTTAGATTGACAAGTGGAATGTTTATTGGTCAATTAACTGGACCCATAGTTGCAGGCATTTTGGGGGATGAATATGGATTTGAACGAGCTTGCAGTATTTTGGGAGTCATCATAATTGTCACATCGTTTATCTATGTTCCAATCATATTTATGAAGTCTAAAAAAGAAAATAAATAAGCATTATTATCATGATCATTTGTATATAAAAATTGACATCAATAATTTAATATTTTTGTTCATTTTTTTCTGTTTTCCTCACTTTAACCTTTCAATTTTTGGCGCTATTAATTTAATGCCAAAATGTGGGGTTTATAGCTTCAGAAGCGCAATTTCAGAAGATAATAATTAATAATAACAGGAGAATGAATAGCAGCAAACTAATAAAAACTTAGTCGGAACAATAAACCAATGGTGAAGATGAATCCACAAGACATGTAAACGATATCATAGGTGTGAAACCTACTTAAATCGAATAACTTCCTTCTTACTCCATCAATTTTAGGAGTCTGAGACAAAGGTATGGCTCAATTTAAGATTAATATCCATTACCACTTAAATTTGAATAATTATTATAAACTATGAAAATCATAGAATAGACTTATTGGAAAAAGAAGAAGCCAATCATTTATGAAATTAAAACCAATGCTTTCAAAATCTTATAAATTGGATAATTATTAAAACTCGATTAAGAACTTTATGACATTAAAATTGTTGAAAAATCTGTTCAAATCATTCCCAATGATGTACCAATTGAGAATTTGCCTGCATTTCAACCTTTTGCTTAACACTTACCCCCAATCTTCGAGAACAGGATGGCTGGAGTCAGAAACAAACTGGATCAATTAGTATAATAGGTTCATGAAAAATATCTAGACGTGATAGACCAATCGGATTTCAATGAGCAATCGATGAAATTCAAAGTCTATCACCCTACATTTGACTTAAATTTGGTCCCTGACATCATCCCATAACAATTACCCTTCTAAATTTATTCAGAAGAACAAAGAGTGCAACTGTAGCAAATCATTGAGAATACTATTCAATACTTCACTAAGAGAACGGTCTCCTTTATGTTCTATCCCAACCTGATTAATTATTTGTTGACAAAGATAGAGATGAATAAAGAGCAGATGGAAAAATATATATAGTTTTTGATGAAGGTTCAACCTGATTTTCTATAGGTTACTAATTAAAAGAAGGAATAACTGAAAGCGAAATGGATAATCTAAATTAATAAGTCAAGCACTGTAGAAAACCAAATTCAATAATTGAACACTTATTTTTATTGATTGGATAAATATGTATATTTCTTTAGTTTTGAAAATTGTTACATTTTCTATTGATTAAAATTAGTATGAATTTAGTTTAAAAATAAAAGCACACTTTCTCTGCGCTGACTCAATGAAATTAATTGGTCCAGGAGGATGGGTGTCTAAGATATAGTGTTGAAGGTAGGAGTGTGAAATTCGAGTCGATTAATTTACATAATATAAATAATTATTTTAAAAATTAGTGAAATTAATGATAAAGAAATAACCAACAAAACAAGCCACTAGGATGCAAACCCAAGCTAATGATTAATAAGAAGTTATAGCAGTAAATTAATTTTGTAATGATTAAAGCAAAGTCAACAAGCAGCTAAATACACTTTAAATTAAATTGTCGGTAATGGAACATTTGGAATGGTTTATTTGGTATGTGTCATTACTATAGCATAGGCAACGAACAGTTAGACCAACGAAAAGGTGGCGATTAAAAAGGTGTTTCAAGACAAAAGATATAAGAATAGGGAGCACTTGATAATTTAGGAGTTGAATCATCCCTGTGTTATAAAATTGAAGGAAGCTTTTTTCACTTAAGGAGACAAGGTAAAACAGTATATCTATAGGAAAGGGCGATGACGTGTATTTGAATTTGGTAATGGATTACATTCCTGATACGCTGAGCAAGGTTATTAGATATTACAAAAAAGCAAAACAACCATTTCCTGCTGTTCTATTAAAAATTTATAGTTACTAGATGTTTCGAGCATTAGCCTATTTAGAAGGTGAGCACTATGAATATCAATTAGGGATTGGCATTTGCCATCGAGATATAAAACCATAGAATATTCTTGTAGATCCGAATTCGCATGTTTTGAAAATATGCGATTTCGGATCAGCCAAAAGACTGCAGAAGGGTGAGCCAAATGTGGCTTACATCTGTTCACGTTATTACAGAGCCCCCGAATTGATATTTGGAGCCACAGAATACAGCACAGCGATAGACACTTGGTCGATTGGTTGCGTGATAGCTGAGATGCTGATTGGAGAACCGTTGTTTCCTGGGGAAAGTGCCACTGATTAACTGGTCGAGATTATCAAAATATTGGGCACTCCCACTGTTGAGCAGGTGAAGCAGATGAACCCTATGCACAAGGAATTCAAATTCCCTCAGATCAAGAATCATCCTTGGAATAAAGTATGAGTCTCATTGAATCAATCTAGGTATTCTAGAAGTTCAAGCCTGATCCGTTGTTTGTCGATTTGATATCGAAAATAATGTTGTATCCTCCCAGAGAGAGGTTGAGACCATTGGAGGCGTTGTCTCATCCATTTTTCAATGAAATAAGAGAAGAAAAGTTTGGAATCCCTAATGTAAAGTTACCAAACTTTTTTGATTTCACCAAAGGTATGATATAATATTGAAATTCGTAGAGGAATTGGGAATACAGCCTGAAATAGCATTTAAATTAACTCCATAGTGGTATTAGTAAAAGAGGATATGAACTTAATTATTTTAATAAATGAATCCCATTCGTGTCTATCCACTCAAATTTAATAACCAAGATTCTCTTGCCATTTCTCCTGGTCTCAAAAAGAAGCAACAACCTTCCGAACGCACTCATACTTTACAATTAAAGTAAGGGGATGCTTGTATTTTAGTCCTTAACAAACCCCTTAGCAAAGTCGAAGCAATCAAAAGAGACATCCGACCACTGGGTTGACATCTTAAGAAGAGAAAATAAAGCTTGTATGTCTATAAATTGCATATGTTCTATTAGGTTACTTAAAAGAAATTATAATTGCTATAGCCATCGAGTTATTCGCCCAAGAAGAGAGTAATCAGCAGCAACAATGAGAAACCTGAACTCTCTAAATTCTCCTACCAATCAAGTGAAGTATCAATGAGATTTTAATGTAAGCCTCAGTCTCCAACCAAATTACCAAATTTAAAAAGAAGCGAATCATCTACAACAACCCAAGAAATCTTAGCTAAAATTGATTTGAGTTTGGCTCAAAAGAGAAGCAAACGTACTGATACTAGCAATGCCGACAATACACCTCAGGTATGAATGAATCTTAAAGTCTTTAGAACAAGACCTCATTTCTAAAAATGTATTAAGATACATCTCCTAAAATTCGTTAAATTTAAAGCCGAGTCAGCTCCTAAGCTATAGAACAGGATCTCAAAATCAAACCTAGAATGCCCTCTCAAGTGATAATGCTACATGGAAGATCAACAAGTCAAGCAGCCTTAGTAAATTCCAATCCTACAGAGAATGAGGAATTGCAAGATTATGTCTAATTGTTTTTATCAAAGTAAAATTGGGAATGTTATCATCATTAGATCTCAAGCAGGACAAAATGGGAACAAGTAAACTAAAACCAATTAGGATTCAGTAATAATCTCGAATAATTTTTGTGGAATGAAAAATAGGTAATCAAATGTCATTATTGTGATTTAAGATATTTATTTTCGGTCTGTGATGGACATGGTGTGTATGGACATTATGTTTCGCAATTAGTAAAAAGAGTATTGCCAACTATAATTGAAACATAATTGAAGACCTTTATTGGAAAACAAGAAATCGACATCGGTGAAGAATACTACACTGAAGTGGTCAAATGTTTTAACAGTAGTTTCTAAAAGATGACAAAGGATCTAGTAATTAATTGTTATTTATACTTTTAAGTAAAATTGCGGAATTGACATCACTTTTAGCGGTAGTACCTGTTCAACAGTGTTTGTTTCTGGTAACAATTTATGGTGCTCGAATATTGGCGATTCAAGATCTGTATTTCTATATACTGATTTTAGATATTTATAGAACAACATAGAGACTCTAATAAGTGGAAGATTGTTGAATTGAGCAATGATCACAAACCTGATCTGCCCACAGAGAAGAAGAGAATCATAGCAAGCAAAGGAAGAGTACAACCCTTTGTAACTGAAAATGGCTAAAATATCGGTCCTGCCAGAGTGTGGCTTCTGCATGAACAAATACCTGGATTAGCTATGAGCAGATCTTTTGGAGATTATGTTGCTTCTACTGTTGGTGTCATCTCTGAACCGGAGGTCATTTATCATAAGTTAAGTCAAAAATGCGGGTTTTTGGTTGTGGCTAGTGATGGAGTTTGGGAGTTCTTGAGTAATGAGGAAATTCAATAAATCATTTGCAGTTATTGGAGTCCTCAGATGAATGCCAAGAAGATAGATGAGATGGTTGAAAATATTGTTAGAGAGTCTACTAAGAGATGGTAAGAGGAGGACGAAGTAATTGATGATATTTCAGTCATTATTGCATATCTCTCGTGAATATCATTAAAATAAAAAAAATAAGAATTAAGAAATTCAATCCATATTTATTATAAAATTTAATTAAGAATAAGATAGAGATGCAGATACAATGATCAGAAATCATAATGGAAATACCATTATGGTTACGTTGTCTCTAATGTAATCGTTCTCGATTGATTGATATAACTATTTGGCAACATTTTTCGATGGGTCCACTTTCTACAAAACTTGTTGAACAGCAGTTTCAGAAAGTTCCTAACATTACAAATTATATGTACATCCCAAAATCCATCACTTGCCATTACTATGAATCTATCATTATCTTTAATTTGATATTTTGAGATCTCAGGCTCGCTGATCACAAACTTCTTGAGATGATAATCTCCGAAAGATCTAGTCACGGTCAATTAACCTGAAACTCTACATATGTTTTGTCTCTTTGTGATTAAACTAATAATAGAAATTATTTCTTACCCTCCTTATTTATGAATTCTTTGATTTTCTTCCTTTGATTGAGGAATATGGATGGAGTTTAACTATTGGTGAGAATCTTCTCTGAATACAATCGCCTTGCAATCTCCTAAATTTGTAATTGTAACAGTTTTATTTTAAATAGATAACAGGATGGCAACTGATCCTGATTATGTATACTGACTCAAATTGCTGTCAGTCTCCTTAAATACTATAAAATACATGGTGAACTTCATACATTATTTGTAATCTTGATCTGACATCTCATTTTAGATTTTCTATAATAAATTCTAAGTCAAATAATCGGCCACATGGCAAGAACCATGACCATCAAAAATTGCATAATGGTTGTTCAAAATCTAGTACTAAACATTAGGAAATTATAAATACTCTATCTAGCATTTCTCGACGGGATCCTCTGTTCATGTAAAGATGATATTTTTCAGTCTATTACTCAAACTCATCAAATTGTTCAATCAATTCTTGCACTGCAAAGTCTTTATACTCATGATCTATCACGATTTCCAAATCCATCATTAAATAAGTTATTTTTTTTTATTATAATTAATTAATCAAAAATATTTCCATAAATAGTTGGAATATTTGATAGATAATATATTCATTATTATTAAAATTGTTGTTGTACTTTTTGATCCTTCAATAAAATCCATTATTGAATATATTGCTAATTCTGAGCATTCTTCAAAATCCAATTGTGTTATAACAACGTCTACGCATCCAAACGTTTGTTCTGATCTTTATTAAGACTAACTAAATCACAACACTATACCAGATATTCAAAAAGTCTTTCATTTCTATACTATAAGGATGGTTGTCCAATTTTGGAGAATCCGACTTCAGTATGTTCTGAATCATCTGTATGTAAGTCATTTGTTTGTTTTAAAATGCATAAGGATGTTTCCCCGTTGCTAACTCATATATTATCAATCCCAATGACCATATATCCGAAGCATAAGAGTAATTCTTTCCTTCAGTTCTCTCTGGAGACCTAGTAAATTAATACATTTTAAATGAAATGCTAGTTACATGTACATTAGAGTGCCAACAAATGTCCTCGCTATTGCAATCGTATTCTCCAGCTGCTTACTTATTCCAAAATCTGTCAGTTTGATTTATCCTTAACTATTGATGAGAATGTTTTCGGGTTTAATATCTCTGTGAAGTTAATGTTTTTATTAGTGTAGGTATTATAACCCTAGGAGAATATTGTAAGTAATTGTTGCTATTATTTGTTCATTTATCAATTCAACTAAGTTATTTTTATAGATCTATTGAATTATGCTCCTCAAAGATCCTTAATCCATGTATTCTAGCACTAATCGTATAGTTCCTGAATATTTTTTTAATGAGATACCTTCCTCGTAATACGCGCCATAAAATTTTATCAATTGTTCGCATTCTATACCATTTAGTAATGTACTAAGATCATTCAGCATCTAATGTCGTTTATCCTTGTCAAAAACGTTGATAATCTTGATATTAGGAATATACATTAACTTTTAATGCTACTTGGCAATTATATGGTATATAGAGTCCTCTGCAAACATAGCTTGACACTCCTTAACCAATGACATCGCCAATTTTTATTTGCTAATGAGTTATAGCTTCCTTAGTTGTTTGTATTTATTCTCCATTGGTGGATGTTAATCCTTCATTATTAATCTTTATTCCTGCCTTTGGAAATCTTACACTGTTATGTCCTCTATGATTTTTATATAAATTCAAACATTTCAAATGTCATTGAACTATTTTATTCAAAATTAACTTCGATATCAAATTCATCTTACATGTTATATAATAATAAATTAAATATACACTATTAATATTTTAACACCCACAGACATACCTCTCAATAGCTGATCTCTACCCTCCCTCTTCAATTTATGGAACCAAATACATTATATTTTGCCAATCTCTCCTCAACTTAATCGAAAGTACCAATTTATCAGACTATCACAGCTTCATTTTATTTTTCAATCATACTCTCTAAATATAAATGTCAAAATAGTCTTTTAAAAATGAAATAATTTGCTTGAAAAATAACAATAAATTTCATCAAATGTCAATTTTTATAAATTCTAATAGTTTCTAAGATTTTAACTCTACAAAGTGGACAAACAGAGAGATTCTTACAACATTTTAAACAAGTAGCATTATGTTTACAAGGCAAGATCAAGCAATCCCTCTCTTTTTCAACACAAATTATACAAAGATTGTCCCCTTGTATTTCATTAACCTTCATCTTATTCTATTAACATATATATTGATTCGTCGTTCCAATTCTTATAACAGTTTCCTCAACTGATTCCATATAATATAAATTACTCATTTTTCCTTCTCCAGATAACCTCAACCATGATCTTTGATTTAATGAAATAAGATACCCGTTTGTTGATCCGTGATCTTCTAGTTAAATACTAGAATCTACTTATAAATAGAATTTAGCGTGTTGATTTGATAGATGATGATCTTCTGGAAATGAAATATCCGCAGTAGATTTTCTACCTAATGTAACTGATGGTTTATCTTTATTTAACTAGATAACGATTGTATCTTCTAAGTTTGGTCCTTCTATTACCTGAAGAGAAAACTATGATAAATTTAAATAAATAATTATACTTCAAGTCCTCCGTTATCCTTTTGGTCAATGCTTAATACCTAAAATTAATTGCTGCCCAATTCAATTAACATCCCAGTTTTCAAAGTTAAGCTTTTAAGTATTTTAATAAATGTTCCTGTTGTACTTCCAACATCTTTGAGAGCAAACTAAAATTTCTATTAAGAATACAATATGGTCTTGAAATATAATTTCAGCGTGGAATCTACTGATGTTCTCCTCTAAGATTAGTATCTAATTGCTAGAGTGTCTTCCTATTTTTGCTCCTGTTTCTCTTACGCAATAAAAATTCGATTGCTAACCTTCTATTGGTTAGAGTATCAATTGATGTTCGAATTTGTTATTTGTTGTTATTTCCTGTTTGAGTGCTTGATCCTCAATTCTAGCAACTTAGCTTATAAACTGATCATTATGATGATTATTATTGTTATCCTAATTTTCTAGTAACATCTGCTCAAACTGATAATTCGCATTATTTTTTTGGATGGTAAAATCTTCGTCCTATTGTCGTTTATTGTTAAGACTGGACTGTTTAAGCTGCTTTACATATTCACTATATTCTTTCAACCCATGATTCACCCCTAAAACTTTGTATAGCATAGTACAATTTAACAATTTTCTCCTAAGAATTCTCTAGGTCACTCCCAATTCCTCTTCCAAGTCCTTTTCACTCAAGTCTTCCAGTACTGAACCATCTATTGAACTTTCGACTATTTTTTTAGAATGTAAATTAATACCGAATTTGGCTTCCATTTGTCCAAGACCTATAAATTTCAACCAATTTACTACATCTTGAGTCAACCACTTTTTTGGTTCTTTTGGAATTAATTTATATAAGGAATCATAATCCATTTTAATTTTATTATATATAAATCACTTCTCATATAAGGATTTTAGTATACCAATCAAATTCCTTTTATTTGTTCCAAATCCAAATTTCATCAAAATCTATTAAAGCACAAAGTAAATAAAAAGAATTACATATAAATATTTAGATCAAATCATTTCAAAAATGCTATAATGACAGTAATGTCATCAATTACTTCATCCTCCACCTGCCATGCCTCTTTGGCTGCTTGTACCAACTTATTACAAGCTCCTATGCAATCCCCCTTCTTGTAGAATTCATACACAGTCTCAATAACCCATTCGTTAGACAAAAATCTTTATTAATTAACAACAGTACTCCCAAATTCCATCCGAAGCCACGATTATGAACTTATCTGTGGGCAACAATTAATGTTTAATGATTTCTGGTTCGCATATCACTCCAACTAAACTAGCAACGTAATCCCCAAAACTTCGAGACATGGCCAACCCAGGTACATCTTCATCAGATTTCCACACTCTGGCTGGCCCAATGGGATTACCTTCTTCGTCACTGTATGCTTGAACCCTGCCTCCCCTTTGAATTATTCGAGCTTATTCTAAAAAACAATCAGGTTTGTGATCTTTTGATAATTCAACAACAGATAATTTTGTATCGTATCTTCCTATTATCTACATTAGTGTTAAAATTGATACTGCTCTGCTGTCTCCAATATTAGCACAATAGAGGATGTTCTCAAATGCTATGACTACAACGGTAGTGGCTCCGGAATAGGTGACATCAATGCCGGAATTCAGTAGATCTTCGTTCGTTTTTAAGAAACATTATTTGAAAATATTGGATATTGTTCTATTTTGAATTAGTGCTATTAAATTACTTATCTCTGTCATAATAATATGGAGATTACAATACTTCTTATTCTATGTAGGCTGGTAGAATCTCTTGAACAAACTATGCAACTTAATGTCCGTTTGTCCCATGACCGTCGGATACCTAAAGATACCAATCATTTTCCTTGGTTCCGAACTTTTAAATTAGTTTATAGGCGTCCTGGTTAATTTTGGTTTAGCCAGTATAAAGCATGCCTGGAATCGATTTGGCATGAGCTTTTAAAATTGACAATTGGAGAGTAGTGATATCTGGATTACTAATAGAGCGAGGCCCTTTGAATAGTTTCTATTTAAAGTGCTATTGTTATGATAACTAATGGTGCTCAGCTTATTTGGATAAGTCAAGCAGTTTTTAATATTATTTTTCAATTAATTGCTAATGATATTGTAATATTTCTTTTGAGGTTTTTATTTATCCTAATTTGCTATCAGGTCTATCAGCCTTTATTTTTTACAACAGTTATAATGCTGATTAAGTTAGATTTTAAGTATTCTCTTTTGTTTCAATAATTTTACTATTTTAACGTACATGAGTTTTTTTAAATAAAACTGTGCTAATATCTTTCATATCTTTCCCACTTGTTGGCCTTTGTTTTTTCGAATCTATTTTCACTTAACCAGAAGTGCCATTTCTAAAATAACGAATCCTTTTTACTTTTGTGTATTAATAAAAGGGCTCCCTTAAATAATAGGAGATTTAACAATTTTTTGCTACTACTCAATTTCATTTTTTTTTTTTAATAAACTAGCATACAATTTATTCGGAGATATTTAAAGTGCTTGTTATTTCATTCTAATAGTTAATATTTTTATTATTATTTATTTTAATTATATCTATATAAAATATATCATTTCCTAAGATTTTTTAACTATTCCTTCATTTAGTTAGTACAATTTAGATACTTGGATTTGGGGATGTGATCTTGAGATATAGTTCTTTCCAATAGAGATTGCTATTGAAATGTTAGTAATTTGGGTTAATCTGAGTTTGTTCCTCCCTCAATCTTCACATTGCTGAATCTCTGTTGATCTATTTGTCATAGGCATTATAAATACTTTCATTTTCTACTTTGTTTTGCAAAGTAAATTGATATTTATCGATGAGCTTCTAAGTGTCTGTTTTGGTCATTGACTTGATGTTTTTATTCTGGTCGTCTTCCTCTTTATCTTGCTTCCCTTTTGGATCTTGTCCTTTGTCCTTCTCAAGTGTGATGGATCTCATTCTGTCTGTTTTCTAGTAAGTTTCGATTCGCTAATTCAGCAGAGGAGATTGCAATCTTTCTCCCAAAATTTTGGATTGTCTCAATTCCTATTTAAAGAGCACTTCCGATTATCGAAAGTCTTTTGTTTTGATGTTCTGCATCTCTGTTGATATCTCCTTTGATGCAGTGGATGCTTTTTTAATGAGATTGTGCAATAGTTGGATGTCCTCATTTTTTAACTTATTTATCTTGGAATTCACACTTGTTATTTTATCATCTTAGGACATTAATTTGGCATCGAAATTTTCTTTTAATTTGTCGAAGAGTGTATGCAGTAAATTGATGCGTTCAGCCAATTCATCTATTCTCTCATATATAATGTTGATTGATCGAATTCGGTCTTCCAAATGATTGATCTTTTTATTCATAAATTGCTCTTGATGTTCTAATCTGTCTTCGATCGCTTTCAATCGATAATCGTATTGTTCTTTCAATAGCATCCCAAACTAACGACTTATTTATTTTTTTATTATAAATATTTCATATATTACTCCTCATTGTCTTGCATGTCCTCCCATTCTAACTGAATTCCATGCTTAAACATCTTCTAATTAAATAGGATTTGCATAATATTATATTTTATTTTTAAATGGCTTCAGAGGAAGAATAATTGGACACCATTGAGAAGTTTCAGAAAGCAGTAAAGTTGACGGCCATTTTAAGACAGAAACCAACATCTGACGAAGAAATGCAACGCGCACAAAAGGCTTTGATCAAGCCTGTATCCATAAGAAATGCTGAAGATTTCGAAGCTATTGAGAAAGTCATGATCAGAGTTAAGTTCTTCACCAAAGTCAAGTTGAAATACGGATTATTGGTCTTTAAGGAAGTCTGCAAGCATTTGTATTACAAAAGAGCGCAACCCGGTCACATCATGATCAAAGTGAATAATGAAGGAAAAGCTTTCTATGTGATTTTGAGAGGCAGCGTTGGAATCAACATATTTTTGCCAAAAGTCTCCTAAAAAAAAGCAGAATCCAAATCTACTTTCGGAGTGAATGAAATAGAATTTGAGGACGAACCTTTCGAGTACCAAGAAGTCAATGTTCTGTCCGTCGGCGATTCCTTTGGAGAAGTAGCCTTGTTAGATCCCAATTCCAAAACGACAGCCACTGTTATCACCAAGGACATTTGCGAATTTGCCTGTTTGGACAAAGAATAGTACATCAATATTTTAGGAGTTTTGAATCAGGCAGAAATGAATGAGAAAATGTCCTTTGTCAGAGGAATCCATTTCTTGCATGGGTGGTTCGATAATGACTTGAAGACTTTGAGTTTCCACTTTGAATTGATGTACTATGAGAGGAATGATGTCATCTATAGAGAAAATTCAGCCAACGATGGATATATCTACTTCCTAAAGAAGGGAGAGATCTCCTTATTGAAATTATTTTAGAGATAATAGATCTACGTTTGCAACTTGTGTGTAGGAGAAATCTTCGGAGAGGAAATGTACTTAGGAATCAATAATAGATAGCATACTGCTATATGTAATGTTTAAGATACATAGGTCTATAGATTGGCTAAAAGTGATTTGGATAAGAGAATGTGGTAGATAGAAAACAGGAATCTCTTCAAAGAGAGTGTTGAAGTCAGATGGGAATGGAGAAACCAAAGGTTTGACAATTTAAAACTCTTTGAAGCAAAGGTTGAATAAGAGGAAAACCTTCAAAAGTATTTAAAACCAAAAACTGAAGCCATTCTTGAAAGACCTTAAATCTAGTAGTCTCACTCCACTAAGATCTCCTCCTATACTTGTGTAAAACCATTCAATTTCATGGAACCATTGACAGCAGCAGATGAGTTGTTCGAAAACAATGGAATTTAATCCAAAATCTTTCAGAACAAAATTAAAGTCAGACAATATAATTCATCCAAACAATCCCTAAGGAATTACACCTATATGAAATAATAGAGTCAAATCGGACTCATTAAGCAGAATCAGTAACGAAAAGAAAACCTAAAAAAAACGAAGCGAGTTAATTCATAACAGTTTAAATCATTTTTGTTACAAAAATTTCAATCAGAAGAGCACAATATTCAAAATCAACTTCCTTTCAATTTTATAAATCAAGAGACTCAAAATGAACCAGCTGAATAATAACAATAGTAAATCTAATAAAAATTGACTTCCTTTGGATAATCACAGCAAAATAGCTTATACGAAGATGTAATTTAGTTTGCAGTTTCTTAGAAATAAAAAACACTTATAAAATTACCTTAAGCCAATTCAACAAAATATTCTAGTAAAGAAAATAGCTTTAAAAAGCTTTCTCAAGATCAAATTCATCATCGTAAATCTCCGTCTAATTTATCATATGAATTCTCGGATGCTAAAGGTAGCTTCTAATATAAAAGGCTTTTTAAGTATTGAATTATTTTTTATTTAATAATAATAATATATATATATAAATTCAATGATTGTAAAGTCTTTCCAACTTTTTTATGTCTCCATCCATTTAATTTAACCTCTTTTCTAATTCTTCCTTTCTACTTATCTATATTTTATTTACTTAAGCTTTGTTTACTGAGTCATATCTCTTTTATGACTATATTGAGCAAATTCTTTGAGTAGTTCCTCCTTCTTTTGAAGAAGCTGTTACATTATTTTGAATACATCTCCCTTCTTAACTTTTTGATCCTCCTTTTCCTTCTTCTTCCTTCTGATCTCCTCCTCTTCTTCTCTTTATTTTTCTAATTTGTCATTTTTCATCTTTTCTAAGTATTCAGGAACTTTGCCAAAAGTATCCTTTTTGAAGTAATCCATTTATTTAGGTTTCTGTCCAGCAGACTTAGGTCGTTTGGGTTTAGCCTCTAAATACTCTTTGAATTTGTCCATGTCAACCTTCTGTTTAAAATGATTAGGAATATTTGGTTTTTTAAGAGCACAATCTTCAGGTTTAATAAGACCTAGAGGAAACATCAACTCATCAGTAACTTCAAAGTTTTTTGGTTTTCCCCACAATGCATGATGCTTTAAATAGCCTTTATGTAGTATTTTATTGCCATTGATATTATTAATACTAAGAGTTGTATTTTTTGTGTTAAAAGTAGAATAGGAAGGAGGAAGATTTCCTGGATGCTAAGACTTATACCTTTTTTGATTTTGACTAGTTTTTTTTGGTTCCTCAACAAATTGCTCCTCATTCTACAATCTGTAAATACATTCTGACATCTAAAATATAACTTATTAATTATATGTAATTTTATAATCAATTTAAGGTTGGTATGAAACAACATGTAACTACCACACATTTTGTTTATTGCAAAGTGGCTTTCATGTTAAGATATCAACAAAGTTTATTAAGTTAGGATATTATGTTATATAATTAATTCATTTCATCGATATTCTTTAAGGAGTATCATCTTCAATCATCAACTCATTCAAAAGGTTCTTCAAGAATGATGGAGTGCATTTCGCCTATCCCAATAAACTCTGTTAAACTTAGGGAGAAGCTCTTATAATTATATCAAATAACTGAACCATAAAATACTTTTTCTTTAGTTGCTTATTTCCGCAAATCATTTATAAGATTTAATGTTAAGGAACTTTAAGCTTACACACACATAATATGGATACTTGATCGATATCAATATTGCTCTATATTATTTAAAATAAACATTCCTTATGATATGAATGCAAGCAGGGTAAGGAAATGCAATCCTGATTGATGCTTCCGGAGCAGTTTTTACAGATTGAGACCATAGTTTTCATTAATGATTAATTAAAATTGATGGTTTACTAAAAAATTCTTGTATTGTTAATTTAAGTCTACTCCAGATTATTAACCTATTGGTTTGAGTAATTTATTTGACCGAGTGATGTGGGTTATGCTTATTAAAATGTTTATTCTTATTTTTATTATGAATTGAGTTCTTTTTCCATATATTTGGATTCGCTTAGAATTTTTATTTTTGGATTTTATGAGAGCTTCTAATTTTGGTTTGCTTCCTGCACTTAAATTGTATTTTAAAGATTTTTTCCATACTGGCAAGTCAATAAAACATTTTACGTATCAGTCATTGTTACTTGTTTAATAAATTAATAGTTATATTTAATTCTATTGTTATAGGAAGGATATAATTTGTCAGAGGGTTATGATATTGGCAGTTTTATACTTAGAGGATAGTTATTCAACTTGGCATTCTTGAACCTCATAGAGAGGACATGAAAAATGATTAGTAGATATTTTGGTTAGGAAGCATGTCTCGCAAAACAGGAAGTGTTAACAGGGGAACTAAATCACATTCCGTTCGGCTTGTTTGCATTGAATACATAACAATTATTTAATCATTTAAATCTAAGTTGAAATAAAAGATTACCCTTTTCTTAGTAGCTGAGGCTTTGGCTAGTTTTTCATTCGTTTAGCTTTGTTGTATTGCGATTTGGTTCTTCAAACTCTCACATTAATCCACTATTTAATCCTTTTTATTTTGTAATTATTCTTTAGTTGTCGTTAGATTTCTTATTTTTTGTAGATAGTCAATGCTTAGTTCTTCCCTCCTCATAGATGACTTGTAGGTTTCAAGTTATCTCTGATTATTATAGAACCCAGCCAAATTTGATTCTGCTTCCTCTAATTTTTTTACATTTATAGCATTATATTGCTCTTTGATGCTTTCAAACCCCAGGTCCATTTCCCTTAATTTAATTTGCAGTTAGACTAGCAAAGTTTCTTTTTTATCTTATGCCAATATCATTGTTTAATTCATATCTTTTGCTTGCTCTATCTCTTTAAAACTATTTTGTAGTTTCACTTTCAGTAACAAACTTTCTTCTTCTTACTTTTAGATTTACATTAACAATTGTTAGATGATTGGATCTTATTTTTCAGTGGACATTTGGATTGAGTTGTTAGTGTTTTGATTGGTGGATTGGAGTACAACAATATTGAAAATACACCAGGGTTCATCAAAACAAAAGTCTTTAACCAAATTCTATGATTCTGGGATCAAGAGCCAGAATTATTTTTAGCCTTGATTTTAAATGACTTGTAAATAGATTTCTGGATTTTTATCTAGTTTTGATTCGCAGAATTCTAAGACTTTGGATTCTTCAAGCAATCTTTTGGTTATTTAGAAATTGTGTGTGATTTAGATTTGTTTGAGTTTATCCTACTTAATTTTGAAGGAGTAATCTCGATTGACTTATTCTAATTTATAATTATTGTGTAGTTTAAAATAGGCTGCTTCCATTTTAGCGTGTCCGCCTAATAAATTAAAGGAGATCCTATCAATTCTTGATATGTTTGTGGCTTTGATTTGATTGAATTCGATTTTGGGGATGCTCAATCGGGGATCTGCCGTGATCACGACATCTTAATCAAAAATATCATAGGCTTCTTCCTTCATCATAATCACTTACTTTTAGGCATGGGGACGGCTTTTGTATTGCTTGATCATTTCTTAAATCTTCGACGATCCCGTTCTTCCCAATGGGATTGCGGACTTTTGCTGATAATGATTTTAAATTACCTTAGAATCTTTGAGAATTGGGGTGCGGTTCTCCTTTTTGCACATTGAGATATGGTGATCCCTTTCCGTTTGTAATTCGAACACTTGTAAGCAAAAGGCGCAAAAATGATATTCACTATTCTATTTAATGGACATTGATACTTTCTGGTTTCACCACAGGTATTGATTCGCTCGTTTATGATGTGGCATTTTTGCAGATGGTTGAGGTAATCCCAAACCGATGAAAATTTTATTAAGTGTTCCTTTTATGGGCATGTGAATTTCATTTACAGTACAATAATTAAATAAATGATCAGATAAAGATCAGTTAGTCAGAATTCAAAAGCCTTGGAGTTTGAACAGGTGAGAGACACAAAAACATCTTAGTTCCATCGAAAGATAGTGGTAATGGGATTCCCTATAATTGTAGCCTTTGCACCAAGAAAATAGTATGCTTAAAGATAGACTGCACAAAATGAAATTCCAAGTGGAGGACAACTTGCAATTGGTGATAGACGAGTTGGACAAGGATCTACAGTTGAAGGCCAAACTCATTGATTTCCAATAGTTGTTCGGGTTGATCAAGGCCCAAATAAACAAGGATCATGAGAAAATCGATTCGTTGCAAGAACAAATAGAGAGACTGCAGTTTAACTTGACTCAGAGTGCTCAACAAAGGGAAGACGAGTGTTAAATGTATCAGCAATCCCAAACCACTTTAAATGAATAGTTATAAAAGGAGAAGCAGCAATTTCGCAGTGAGAAACTCTCATTGGATGAGCAAATCAAAGTGCTCACCTATTAGAACTACGAGAAAGAGTAGGAATTGGAGCAGATGAAGAAATAACTGCAATGGGAGTTAGATTAGAATCAGGAACTCATTTAAAAAGTGGAGAGGACAAAGAAGTTTGATTAAGAACTAAAGGACAAATAGGTATAGTATGAGACTACAATCTCTAAATTAAATGCATAGATTGAGACTGACAATTAGGTGTTCAAGAATGAGTTGGAATTACAGTAGTAGAAGTTGGAAGCCAAATACAGACAGATGATATAGGAAAACAAGTTATTGACATCGTAGGTGTCGGAGATGAAATAAAATATTCATCAGTTGAAACAATAAAAGGAATCCATGGAAAGAACACTTGAATCCAATAATCAGAAAATGAAAGATATGAAAGCTGGGGTTATCTCAGATAAACAACAGATGTCTAAAAATGAAAAAACTATTGAGGAACTATAAACTGAATTGACATTCTTCAAAAATAAGGTATCTTTAGATGAAAAGAGAGAGATCAAATTAAAGTAGCAATTGACCCAATAAGAGGACCAAATTCAAGAACTATTGTAAGTCAAGAATCAGTATAACAATTTAAGGAAAGTGTTGTAATAAGAGCATCTTGTTGAAATTGAAAAGATCAACATTCAACATAATCAACAACTCAAGAGTTTGAATGAATAGATGTAAATTCAAAGGGTTAAATACGAGAAATTACTTGGTAAACAGGTCGATATCAAAGAAGTTGCTCAGTATTAGCAAAAGGATTACTCTTAATAGTATGAGGATCCAGTTCATATTTAATATGTCGAAAACCTAGAATTAAAGATCGAAAATCAGACTTAACTAATAAAACAATTGGAATAAAATATCATTAATAATAACGAAGAATACAATAAGGAAAAGTAATAGATGTACAATTAATTCGCTTAAGAAAAACAAGTCCTTATTACTTAACAGAAGTAGGATTTATAGAGACAATTGGCAGAATTTGAAGAGTTTAAAAATAAATTATAAAGTGATTACAATTATAGGACTTAATTGTTAACTCAATAATTCTCCTTTTAATTGGATTAGTAGAAACAGGAATAAAAGCAATTGCAATAGATCATAGATTAATCTAAATTAAGTGGGGATGAGAAGACGAAATTGTTAGAAATAGCTTCGGAGGAGATCATGAATTTGAGAAAGAAATACGATCATGATATCTATGAGGAAAGGAATACTTAAAGACAGATGAAACATGAATTTGAAAATGCAATCTCATAGAATAATTCAGATCATCAGAAACAAATTGATATTCTCAAAAGAGAAATCGAGAATCTAAAACTCTCATTATCTGACTTCCAAGAGAAAGATCAGGTCAATAAGTAGAAAATATCTGACTTATTGAATGAGTAGAAGTAAGATAAATCGAGTATCAATCAATTAGAGTTCTAATTGAATAAAAAATAGATTGAGATCTAAAAACTGAATGAAACCATTAGAGGACTCAATGCTCGTATCTCTACGTTGTTGTTGGAAGTAGAAAATACGAAAAAGACCTACAATATATTTGCTCCTTCTTCTTCGAATTCATCCCACTACAATTTGAAAAAGCTAGAATTGGAAATACCAACAGATCTGAGTCAATAACAAAGACACTCTTCTTCTGAATTGAAATTTAAACCTGAACTTCTGATGCAGGATTTTGGCAAAAAGTCGAATAGAAATAGATCCTAATAAGGTTCTAGATAATACCAAATAAGGCAGATGCCCCCAGTATGAAAAAATCATGATTATATAGACATATAAATATTATATCATTGTTATAGTAATTCATAAATAAAATACAGAAGATAAATGCTCAGCAACATCACTCCCAATTTGTACGTCAATCTCAGTTTCTGTTATAACATCAAGAAGAACGAAGTGAGCACCACCGTCATGATGGCCAACATTGATTATGATATAGTTTCATCATAAAACGTTATATTCCTTTGCCAAATCAACATAGTCAACACCCAAGGAAATCCTAGGCAAATTTATAAATTCATGATTTGACTGCCAATTATACTCGAAGTAGCCAACTCAGTTTTTTTATTCTTTGCAGCAAGCGATGCATTTAAAATATCTAATATATATCGAATATACCTTGGATGTTGCCTCCCCAACTTGCTATTGTTAGTCCAACAAAGGCAGGACTCACTGAGAACTACTCAACAAATTCATCAACCACAGTCATCGTAACATTGACAGTAAGAAAACAATAGAATGAAATTATAATAAACGCAAATTCTGGGTGTTTTGGAATTGTAAACTTGAATAGCAGTGTAAAGGGCAATAATATTTTGGATGGTTGTTACTCTTCTTATACTTGTTCCTACTGATTCTCTTGTCCGATTTCCTTGCCATCCACATCCAAATCTTCAGCTTGCTCAGGATGAAAATCGAGGAATTGCAATAGAGTTGGGAAGTGATGCTTTTGGTGCGAGAGTTGGAAATCGTCCTTCTATTCCATTTGAACCAAAGAGTATAGCAAATAGGATGGATAGAAGAGTGTAAGAATCAAGGCTTCTGTGAGGGAGATCTATATTGATATTCATTACATTGTTACTTCGTAATCCCAGAAGACGAAAGTCAAAAATAACAGTGTGAGCAAGTATACATAGATGTCTCTCATCAATGCCTTTAGATTCATTCTCAAAGCCCTCTTGTGATAATAGTTTGAGAACAGTGACATCAAACCAAAACAAACAGTAAAGTCTTGTTGATACTAATCTAAATACCGAAAACTCCACTGCCCACTATTGCTCCAAATCCGTATCCAATTCTAGAGGACTTGAAACAGGACAAAATATTAGTTGTCAATTCTGGTATTGACATCCCCAGAGCCATCAAAATGCCCGTTCCTGTCTCACTTAGATGCCATTTCGTAGATAAAGACTCGAGACAAGCTAGGTTATTAAAGTAGTACGCATCAAGTAATCATTACTCAAGTATGTCTATCCTGAAAGCACGTAAAAGAATAATGCACTCAATATTATCATTAAAATTTAATTATGGGTCCTCCACCTAATTATATTATCACTAGGAAGTTGATTCGTCATTTCTTTAGAAAATACCTACCATAATAACCTATCACTAAAGGCAACGAAGCGGAAGACTTGGCCTAAGCAGTGGTATTTGAGCTTTCATTTTTAGGCAAAATATGGTGTTGATCATCCATAAACTAAAATCGCCTTAGATCGTTTTGATACCTCAGAAGCAGAGTCCCAAAAATACAGAGCAAAATTGGAAGCCATGAAAATTTAACAAAAAGTTATGAGCACTTTGAAGACACCCTTTTATCATTATCATGAAAAGGGAAGATTTAGAAATGATCTATTTCCTAAGGAATGGACCATTTACCATGGTGTCAAATGAGATTGATATATTACAACGATTAGCATATCAAATTAAGTATTATAGTTCATAATAATATTTTTGACTATTAACTGTAGTTTATCAAGTAAATGCATGCCTAAATTCATAATTTATAAATATTAGATAATCATTCAATATTTTCCATTTCTGGTAGTAACATCCTTAGTTTCTACTTCTATTCAGAACCCCACTCAAAATAATTCCCATATATTATTAAATGTAATCTAATGAGGTATAGTGTCATCATATATAATAATATGCCAATTTTCTTATATCACAATATTTTTATCCCAATCAAATACATCAATCTCTCTACCTTAAATTTATAATCTCTCACTGTTACTACCAATTCTTAATTTAAATTGATATCAAAATTATTTTTATAATTTCTTATATTTTTAAAATTTATTAAGGATAGTTTGTTTCTTTTTGTTTATAATCTATTCTTTCAATGTTCTGTTTCAATCTTATAGTTCTTCTTATATTTAATACTTTTCATTAACATTCTTGTGTTTTTTAGAATTAAATAAAAAAAGTTCTGTTCTTCTCTAAAGAACTAGGGTTGTATGATTCTTCATTTCTATTTCTATCATTTTTTAAGTTCAAAACTCTAACCAAGAAGGATTTGATATAGATTCAAGTTTATGACTAATAAATTTTTAATTTCCCTTTATGAAAAAAATAATTTCTTTTTCTGATAGAAATTATATTTTCATATTAAAAAATAATCTGTTTTATACAACTTTTAATTGTCAATTTCTCTGTTTTTTAAGATTATATTGTGCTTCGAGTATTGATCTAAAAGTTTTACAATGTGAATCATTTCATTTCATTATAGTTATATACTTTTTATATTTTTTGAATATGAAAATACTCTAAATATTTAATAATCATCATTTTTCACAATGCAGTGGCATAATTCCTTAATTATTGGAATCTTAGGGTAGCTCAGTTAAGAATAACACTTTGTTACAGTTTAAGCAATATTTAAATTTTTATCCAAGCCTCATTTCAAAATGATCTATTTCAAAAGTACATGCTTAATTCTTATGATATTTTTTCTTGCATTTTAAACACCATTACGTTTTGCAGAATGAGCAATCAAAGACATCCTAACCATAATATAAAAAAGAATTTGAACAACCTATTTATGGGCAACTAGATTTAAGTTATTGAGGTAATTGATCAAAAATATATTCAGGGTATTTTTTTTCTAATTGTTCTTAACAAATTGGGCAGTGATTGCCTTAAGCAAATGTTGATATTGATAAACATAAAAAATGAAATTGATGGCTGCATCTCAAGAGTACTGCTTTTTGATCATTTGTCTTTGTATCAATAACAAAGTTACACAATTAACACATTTTTGAGGTTTATGCATACTATGTTTTTTGTGGAGAACCTTAAAAATAAAATGGAGAATTCGATTTTTAATTTTTGATTGGTTACTAATTCTCTTACGTCTTCTTTTATGGAGGTGTTGTCTAACATAGTTTTATTGCACCAGGTTTGGTGAATAATGCAAAATTCTTTATAAAGATGGATCATTACATAATCAACTACAAAATTTTCATATTTATCTTCTTTGCTAAATGGACTTTCCAAAGAATTGTCAATTTTTTCGTTTACTTTTAATATGAATTTTATAGCTGACTATAAATCTTCAAGGGTGCGCAATTGTCTAGTATGTATATGAATAATTCATACTATCTTCCCCAAGCGATGCCGATGATAAAAGCATCCTTTATAAGTTCTTTTCCTTGGGAACCTGTTTCAATAATTTCTTCTATCAAACTAGAAATCTTCATTATGCAATATTCTAATAAGATTATTAATAAATTATAGCAATTAATTGATTTATTAACAAAGAATAATAAGCCATATGTTTGCATTCGAAACGTAAGCTTTAAATTTCTGACTTTGAGCATTTACAATGTTCTTCTTTTTGTTACATCTTGATAATTAAAATAGGATTTTAGATTCAGTAATAAGATCAAAATATTATCCTGAAAGTAATTGATATTGGAATAAGTGATATAAATGAATAATGAATCAATTTATAATATTTAAGGATTAGCATTTTAATGGACCTATTTATATTAAAGCTTTTATAATAGTTTAATTTTTATAAAAATATAATAGAAATCGGTAATTTGCTTATTTTTAATTTATATTACTCTATATATATCTTATTGTTATTCCTACATATATTTATGAAAATTAGAAATATTTATATCAATACAGGTTTCGTAGCTCAGTTGGTTAGAGCGTCAGTCTAATAAGCTGACGGTCGAGGGTTCGATCCCCTCCGAAACCATTTTTTTGATTAATTTTTCTTATAATATAAATCATTAATAAATTTATATTGTATTTTCTAATTGGCGTTTAAGATAGTATAATACCAATCTCCTTCTAGATACAATATCACCCATATTAATTTGGTATTTAAAAGTTATTCAGCTAAGTATCATTTAATTTTATCTTGAATTAATTACTCTTGGGACCACTTGTGATTTGTATTAATTTAATACTGAGTAAAGTTTTTGATTATCCTTTCATGAATTAACTTTAGTTAGTATATTTATATTTTTTGAATTATCTACTATTAGTAATCTTCATATTTTGAAAATAAGAAGATTTGGTGGGGATTAGAAGCTAATCCTCCATTTAATTTTTATTATATGAAATTAATATTTTAGTGGATTGATTAATGGATCTTTTAAGTATCTTAGCATAAAATACTAAAGTTTCAAGTAAACGCTAAATTTAAAGAATGAATATAATTATGTGATAGAATATATTAATATAAACTGAAGATAATGGAGTGTTTTCGAGGATATAATTTTTCTGGAGATTAGCATTCTTTTATTAAAGTACGAATATTAAACTGGATTGATCCTTGCAAATAAAATGACTATAATTAAATGTATTATTTCATTAATTATTATATATAAGTTTATCACTTGATTTATATTATTTCTTTATTATTAAATTTTCACCCAAATCAATAACGTCTGGCCTACTTTGTTTTTTTGATGGGCTGATAGAAGCCAAACTCTGGGTTTTTTGGAAGGTCTTTCTAAATCTTGAATCATTATTTCTCTTTAGTGCTTAAATAAGCATTTCATTATGGAGAGGAAATCCTTTGGTGTTTTTGCTGATAGATTCATCAGTCTTATTAGCTGAAACATTCAAGGCTTATTTTAGCTTTTGTTACATAGGTTTGAGAGTATTCCTGACATAGTGAGTGATTCTTCTTTTCCTCTCATCATTGGCTAATCTAAGAGAAAAGCTATTTTGAATAATTACTAAGTTTGTTGACTTGCAATATTGTAGATGTTGATGAAGAGTTGATAATATGAGGGTTTTCCTTTATACTCACTACTTGATTAATGGATCTTTCTTGGAGGTGGCCTCATGAGATAGTGAAATTTGTTCTGCTTGCATACTTCCTCAATTGATTATCTTCTATGAATGTGTTGATTGAGTTTTGTGAGTTCAAATTTGATAGAGGTCTTGTCCATCTGATGGAAATTGAATTTGGCTTCAATAGTTTATTCTAAGTTTTCTCGGATCAATTGAAAGACGTAGTTTTGAAACAATTAGGCATCGCAAATGAGAACTTCGCCTTTTTCGGATTAGCATATCAAAGAGAATGGTCTGGAGTCGATATTGTTTAGGATTTCGTATTCTCCAATGATCTCTCCTTCAGAGATGATTCCAAGAGTTTGAACTTCTTGTTCGTTTGTTCGTCTTACGAGGGAATACTAGCCTCGGAGTATGAGAAACACACAATGTGCTGGGTCTCCTTGACTGCATACCTTATCCTTATAACAATGGGACTGTTAGTAAGAATTGATGTAGAATTTCCTTAGTGTAATTGAATAATACTTTCAATTCCTTGTATTATATTTCCTTAAATAAGCAGAAATCATACAATCTACTAATTTCAGAGTTCATTTTCCGTTGTTCTTATTAGTAAAGATAGGCATGAAAATATTGATAGTTGAGAGTGGCAACGAATGTTTATTTCTTAGCTTTTATTATCAGACCATACCTAATTAGAGATGGTGATTACTATTCAAAGATATCCTCCTTTGCCATGCAGAATAGTTGATGTCCAAAGTGCTGATACATTTTGATCGAAGAAACCTCCACAAACTCTACGTCTTTGAAGTTTTCTGGCAACAAACCAACTGACAAGTAGATTCCTAGTTCTCCTTACAAAATGATATAGAACTTCTTTTAATCCTCAGCAATTTAGTCAAACCTCTTGTATATCAATTGATTTGGATGAAGTACTTCATATCTCATTTTCTAGTGTTAAAAGTGCCAAAAATTACACTGCAACAATTTCTAATGATTTCATCATTGTATCCCTGAAAACATTGGAACTATCTAAAATATTTAGACATGTAAAACACTTCTACGGGAGTTCTCTCATTTCTGTGTTTCTGCAAGGCTATGATGGCCAACTGCGACTCTAGAAATATTGGTCATTACTTCATCATAATAATTATCTGGAATTTATTGCATGATTAAATAAATTAATACAAAAATATATAATAGTCACAAAAGTTGTGGTAGCTTTAAAGGCCGATTAGAGAAGAGAGCACTATCATTTGACGGCAAATCGTTGGATGCCAAAGTGGTTTAATGAGGGGATCGATCAAGTTGGTGGTATTTCAGAGACGTCGAATCAAAGGATTACTCATACTTATTGACTCTGATCTGTCTTCTCAAGAACTGTTTAGTAGGCACTGACTTTTGTTATTTCAATTGAAATCGCATTCGCGGCACTTCCTCATCGACTTGCTCCAAACTCAGCAGACTGATTTACGATTTGTTGTGATAATCCTTGCTTCTCTGAGTGATCACCACCTGAGCCTATTGTTTACCATGATTTTGAGCTTTAACTAAGAGTTTCTGCAAATCACTCTCCTTTTATGAGAATTCTTCATCTGAGACATCGCTCTCATCTAAGATTTACTTGATGCTATTGTATGATTTGATTTCTATTTAAGTTTACAACCTAACTACTTTAGTTAATTGTCTGATGTTATCCACATCCCTCATTGACATATTCCTGAATAGTTGAGGCTGCAATCCAGGCACCGTGCTCAATGACATATTATACCTTGGTTGCTATAATTTTATGTCCAATTGTTTTAAGGAAGAATTCGATTTCAATTTGGCATTCATCAATTTATATTGAGCCTTTATGTACAAGTCATAGGCATCATCCACCGCAGTCTTCTTCTCTTTTGTTATTATCAGATTACGAAAAGCCTCGTACTTCTTCTCCTAGTCCATGAGGTTTTTATCACAGAGAATGTTTATGTACTACTCCCTCCTTATCATGTATGATAGGTAAGTCAGCATGGCTCCAACACTCAATGGGACATACTTATTTTCAATTGCATTTAATTGCAGTGTATTTTACATCTTAGTCATCATATTTCTAAATGCTTTCAAAGCAGATGGATTTTCAGTAAATGCCTTAAACTCCTAGTAATTTAGAGCCCAATCTCGGTCCTAATCGATGTAGGAGTAAATCACTTTGAGATCATTCTTACTGACTTCGAAACCAAAATGCTTAAACATGAGGAACATTTCAGCTATATCCAAAGTCTTCGAATCATTGTAGTCAAATACCTATATACTCATCACTCTACTATTTTACATTAAATATTTGTTTCAATTCCATTTGGATTCGTCTCTCCTCTGGGTAAAACAGATATTGTGGTTTCACCTTATCAAAATACCTGCTCTTAAACCATTGATTCTGAGGTAGATTATGAAACTTATTTCTCTTATTCAGTTATCTCATCTCCTCGTCATCAAGCTTAGCAATGTCAGGCACTTAATTCCAATCAACTTTATACATAAAATAATAATCTTAAAATTTATATGCTTTATCCAATCAAATAATTAAATCCAGAAATTATATTGATTGTTCAAGTACGTATTTTGATATTATTACAAATTTTGAATACATAAGATTACCTCTTAAATTCAAGTTGATATAATATAATATGAGGAGGTCATTCATATAGTTTTATTTGTAAATGAATTAGAGTGAATTGTAATAAATTCTAGTTAAATTATAATATGTATGTGCATTTCAAATAATCAATTGTGGAAATTCCAAATTATAAAACCGGTGGTTCCCATAAATGCTGCCCATCCCCAGAGTTCATAAAAACCTCTAAATCCAGCATGATATTAGCGAATCACTTATCTGAAAATTGAAAAAGTGATTACCTATGTGTTCCATTGCAAAAAGGAGCATTGGCACTCTATTTGCAATTGCACAATTTATAATATCCAGATGTATCAACATTAAATTTAATTGGTCTATTTCTCGTAGCAGAGGCATTGCACATTCCATCACACCATGGATTTGATTATGAGATACCGCACGAACACCACTAGTAGATCTGAGATAACACATCACACAATGAATACCTTTCCCTTCTGGAGATAGCAATTATATGGATAGAAACCTGCAACATAAGGGACAGAAGCTGGTCTATACTTACCTTCTGGATATGGAATGGATTCTGGGAGCAGGACAAATTTCTATTCAGGGAAATCAGTAATATCATCTGGTTTTCTTTCCTTCCTGGCTGTTATGAGGAAAAAATTATGAGGAATTCTTACGTGGTGGAGGAGTGACTATTTCTGGAGGCAATGTGTAAGAGTCTCTAAGATGAGCTTCTCCGTGTTGGAGGATTGTAGAGACAGTTCGATATTTAGCTGCCTTCTTCAAGATTTAAGACATCCAAATTAAATTAATTAATGGATTCTGCAATAGGCACATATATTTGCTAAACTATTGATTGTAGTAAGCCTGCTACATTGTAATGCCCGACTTGCATAAAGATGGCTTTGGCTCCAGCATTCTTTTGCGATTAAGAATGCTTCAAACGCTATTGGCCAATCCATAAGACTTATCACAAAAAATAGGAGGAGCAGGATGATCAGAAAAACAAGTTCAAATTCACAGGTCCACTCAGACCAGGTAAAATATCAGCAAGACTATTTGTTCCTGATCATATTAAAAAACCTGAGTGGTATTTAAGTGGACAGCCAACTGAGGAGATGAAAAGTAAACTTCAGTAAGTGGTTGATTGCAAGACTCCAGAGGACATTCAGAAGATGAGAGAGTGTGCAGCTATTGGTATGGTTTTATTTTCTAATGTTTTGTTAAGGAAGAGGGGCATTAGATGCTGGCCACGCTGCAGTCAAAGCAGGAGTGACAACCGATGAAATTGACAAGATTGTTCATAAATACATTATCGATCATGATGCCTATCCATCTCCCCTAAATTACAATGGATTTAAAAAGTCCCTATGTACATCTGTCAATGAAGTGATTTGTCACGGCATTCCTGATGATAGACCTTTAGAAAATGGGGACATCGTGAATCTCGATGTTTCTGTTTATTTCAAAGGGTTCCACATAGATTTGAATGAAACCTATTTTGTTGGCGAAGTAAGTGAATCATCAAAGTTCCTTGTTGAAAAAGCCTACACTTGTTTGCAAAAAGCAATCGAAATGTGTAAGCCAGGCACAATGTACAGAGATGTCGGAAACATCATTGAGAAGTATATCACTGAAAATGGGTTGGCTGTCAATCGAACATATTGTGGTCACGGAGTCGGTTAACTATTCCATTGTGCTCCGACGTAAATTTAAATAATTAAACTTAGCATCCCACACTATGGCAAGAACAAGGCTCCTGGGTTCATGAAGCCTGGACATACATTTACAATAGAGCCTATGATTAATCAAGGAACTCACTAAGATATCCTCTGGACATTCGATAATTGGACAGCTGTATATCTATTCGCTAATAATTAGGTTACTGCTGACGGCTAGCGTTCTGCTTAATTTGAGCATAGTATTCTAATTACAGAGGGAGGATGTGAAGTATTGACAGCAAGATTGCCTACATCACCTCCTTTAGACTTTAAAATATGAGTGCTATAATTTTATTAGAGTATAATATGAATTCATATCATCTACCAATGATAATTATTTATAATTATAATTATGTCTTCTGAAAATAAGGAAATAATTGAGGATAAAATTTACAAATAACAAACCAAAATAGATCAATTAGCAAGGAAATCTTTTATTATGAGAAAGATAGAATAGCCCAAAGATGAACATGAATTGTAATTACTTAAAAGAATTGAAAAGTATTTATTACCTTTTTAGAAAGAGCCCGCTATGAAAGAGAAGAAACGAAAATTATTCAATCTCACTAGATTTCATCTCCTCAATTTTGGTAGATCTTCATGAAGAGACACTACGATTTAGGTGCTTGGCTTTTATTGGATGTAACAACTAATTTTGCATTGTAATTCAATTATTCTAAAATTGTTTAGATACTTCTTTGACACCATTAGAGTCAGAACACAAGCACAGAATAAGTACGTAGATATTTCTCATTTCAATTAAAACAATGTCAAAAACCTTCCCATCTATTCTGGACTTCATTATAAACTGTCCTATGTAATCCTAAGTGATATTTTGAGAAATTTCACAAATCAAGTGAGATATCAATTATTTATGGATCCCTCCTCCTAATTTAGTGTAATTTCTTCAATCTCATTCTTTAGAACTATAATTAATTAACCAAAATCTTGATACATGGATTAATCGCAGAAACTACAATCACAACACTATTGTTGCCAATAGAAATAAGAAAGATGGTAGTGTAATTAGGATCATTTGATGCCAACATGAATCACTACATAAAATCATATATGAGATGCTATTTCCCAGCTTTAATTAGGGATTCCCTTTTCTTTGTAAGTCACTCAATCACTTATAATCTACTGATGTATGGAGATCATTACATAACTTCACTCTTTAGATCTGGAGAATTCACTCCACCACCTGTAATCCCTAATTATCATATGCTTATTAGACGATCTTGAGAGGAGAAAGAGAAAGGAAGTTTACTTGTATGCTAGGTTCCTTGGGATTTTCGATTTTGCTCACTAATCCATTCGATGTCTTGGTCACCAAGTTGGCCACTCAAAGAAATGTATTGATTTAATATCAAATCCAGGAATCATACACTAATCCATTCTAAGCATTTAAATTCATCGTTTCCCAAGAAGGATGGTCCAAGCTAATTGCCAGTGCCATCTCTCAAAGAATTGGTTTCTACTTCCTCAAAGGACTGGTGTTCTTTAGTTATTAGGATCGTGTATATTAGATGTTCCATGATGCATTTAATTATGAGTGACTGTCTATATCAGCTAAAACATATACAAAATTGTATCACAGCCTGTTTGCCCGAGCTGGTTAAGGGGGCAGACTTAAGATCTGCTGGAGCCTACTCCGCGTCGGTTCGAATCCGACAGCAGGCAATTTTTTTTATTTTTTTTTTAACGAAAAATATGCAAAATTTGAAATTCATTAATAATGAACTAGAAACCTAGCTCAAGGCTTCTCATCTTGAGACCAGATAGCTTAAACAAGAAATCATTAAAATTAATCAACTCAATGCTCAATTAAAGGAGTAATTGCATCAAATTACTATTAATTCTGAAATCGAAGATCAATACAAGCAATCACTTATTGAAAATAAAATGCTTAAGAAAGAATTAGAATATTAGTATCCTATTGTTGTGATTATCCTTTTAGTTAGTTACAAGAGCAATCAAAAGTGGATTAGATAGCATCAAAACCCTCTTATGAATAATTAGAAAAAGAGCTCAATGATTTACAAATATTTTTTAAAAAATACTACAACCTTCAAGAAACGTAAGAAATTATCAATCTATTTAGGCTCTTGAATAAGATCCCCATTTAGTTACTGAAAGATTGTTGGTTGGCTATTAATTAGACCTTTAAATCTCATTTCAATATTCATTAAACTATTTAAAACATTCAAGAAGAAGTTTCCCTCCTTGAGTAAGATTATAAACAAATTTTGCATGCAAACAAAGACAACGATTCTGAAATCCAATACTTAGCCAAATGTAAATATGGAAATAAATTAATTAGAAAACATAATTGTTGAAAGAAGGGTTGAAATAGAAAAATGCAGAAAAGAAATTTAAATAAAGCAATCAGAAACAAAAAAAATGGAATTAGAATTGGAAGAACTCTAAAAAGAATTTGATTATATTTGTAAAATTGAACACAGAAGATTTAATCAATAAATTGAAATTGAAAAATAATTAGTTCAAGTCAGATAAAAAACTACCTAACCAGTTGTTGAGTAAAAAACCTCAGTTTTGCCTGTCTAAAGAAGTCGATAACATTCTGATTATTTCAGACCCAATTAGATATCTATTGACTCTTAACAATCAATCAAACCTTTAATATTTAGAGCACCTAAGCATAGTGCTGTGTAATAAGAAGCTGAAAAAACTAATCTAGAAAAAACTATAGATTAAACTAGATAAAAATTGAGTAGACAATTAAGTTTAGCGTCCAACCTACGTGAATCTACAAAATGATATGATTATTTATAAATTAAAAACTCTCATTTTATATTTATAAAAATATCAATGTGTTCTAATGATAAATAATTTTATATTTACACATATAAAATGAATATAAATGAATTGATAATGCATTACCTAAATATTAGTATTAACATATTTAAAATTGGATGACATATATGTAAAAAGTATCCAAAAAATTTTATGAATTATAGTTATTCATATTTTAATGAAATTATTACTTCCTAGGTTTGCTGGAAGTTAATGTATATTTCAACTGCTTTAAGTTTATGGCCATAGTTTATGAAACTATCTCTGATTTAGCATCAAAAAATCAACAATTAGTTGACATTTATGGACATTTTTGTATTAAATACATATGTTGAGAAACCAGTAGCAACATTAATCCGCAAAAATTATGAATATTAGATTTGTTTTTATACGATTACTATCAAAATTTTTTAAAGAAATGGATATTTTAGTGTCTAAAGTAAAAATAATATCTTTTGTACATCTTATTCAAATAACACACTATAAACAAGTTAGTCAAAAATATAAATCTGCTCATGTTATCGTTATAATCCTACTGAACCACAAGGTCTTATTACGAAAGCAAATGTCTTATAATTTTAAGTAAAGAAATGAAAATTCCTAACTTTATTTATTGTACAAAAGGTAGCTGAATGTAATGATGACCTTCAATGTTATCTTTGACTTAAATGGATGAGAAACATTTAAGAAAAGACATTGAGCTCCTTTTCACTCATGATCTTTTTACAATTAAGTTCTCTATTGATTGATTTAAATGAGATAATCCTTTATTAGATATGAATTTAATAAGTACATAAGAAATGTTAGTTCAATTTTGATAGTGATTAAATTAACTATTTACCCAATCTAGATAGATGTGTTCTAGAAATGGAAAATAGTTTAGAAGTGCATATCAATTAAGTCAATACATCTTTTTGATCATTTTTAAAGCAATCTTATGTTATAATATAATAGATCATGAAAGGATAAGTTAATATGGAGCATTATTAAATGGTATATATTCTAAGAATAAAATAAAATGAAGGATTAATTGGTGGAAAAACTCAAATAATTTGATAGTATTAAATAGTCAAAAGTGAGATCCTTTAGAAAGAATCCAAGAAAAAAATTGACTCATTATAAAAAGCTGAAAATGGGGAATCAAAGTCAAGAAAGAAGGAGAAATTGATATCAATTAATCAATCAAGGAAAATGGGCAAGTCAATTAAAAAAAAATGATATTGCTAACATATAGTTTCATTACTTTTTCTTATTTGAACCAATCAATTTTTATGCTTTCTACACTAATTGTTTATGGTAGTCTATTAGAGCACTAGTAGATAATTTAGATATCGGAGTGTTTTGGGTTTTTTTCTTTTCGCAGTCTCCATTAAACGAATACAGTAAATAACGACTATTTGTTGACAGTGTACGCGTTGGAGATTTTGGAGATGTGTCTACTTTTGGTATGTGGCTTTATCGTCTTGATATGTAGGGGTTGTGTAAAGGTTTTTAAAACCGTGTAGGCTTATTGCCCATATGTGGTTGCGATAAGACTCTTGTTCTCGTTTGCGAAAAACCATTGGACATAGGGTGTTTTTGATCTAGGAATTAGGTTAGGTAAGTCTTCATTTGATTTGATTCTTACCTCCATATTTTTAGGGTTTTGCATGCTCATTATAATTAGTTATTAGAGCCGACTGCGTTCATCTTAGTAGTATGATTTGTTAGTGCTGCTTGTGTTTGCTTTGGTTGATTACTTAGTCTCACGATCTGTCCGCATTTTGGCAGATTTAATCATCACATAGTGCTCTTTGGTTGTAATTAACATATAATATATTGCATATTTAAATTTATTCATAAGTTATTTGAAACAGTACCATTTTCTCTTTTGTTCTTTATTTCTGAATTATCAGCCCAGCAGTTATAGTTTACACTAAAGTTGGATGCATATGATTTTTATCATTTTTAAATTGATTCTAATTTAGCAAAGATGTGATCAAATCAAACTCTTGTTACTGATGTCAGAATTAAAGTGTTTACAATCATATTAAAACTATACAAATAAAATATTCTTTCAAATACTGATTTATTATTACTAAATTCATCAAGACCAAATTAATTGAGCAATGCATGTATAAGGCCAACTTTCAATCGTTGGTAAACTCCCTCTCTCCTCTTAATACTTTTGTATTATTGGATTGCCCTTTAAAGTAAGTTTAACATTTTTTGCTCCCTTTTTATTAAGGATATCAATAATTTCTTCAAATTCCTTCAAATCACACAACCCAAGTTGATTGTTAGATAAATTTAGAGTGTATAAGTATTACACATTGATTGATTACAGCAAGTCTTTCAGCATCTAATCAGATAGCTATGAATTCATAATTGTAATCTCGATTAATGGTACATCCTTTAAATCATTTTCTGCATTATAATTCTCTATCAGACTATTATCAATATGAATAGCTTCAAATTCACCCAATGAAAAGTATATATCATCAAAGTTGTTAAAAACTCCCTTCTTGTGGAAATAATCAGATTGCTCTTGTTCAGTCAGTTCGAAATAATCATCTTCTATAAGTGCTCCTGAGATCTCGCCTATTCTTATTCCTATGCCACTTAATTTTGATATCTCTCCAAATTCAGGATGTTGAGTATTTTCAATTATTACTTTTTTTTCCATTTATTATAATAATTCATTGATTTTAGAAGGAATACAAATTATGATTCCAACAACCATATGAACTAAATCAAAAAAGTAAATAAACTATCTTAACTTCAAACAACACAAATTATCGAATTATTTTATATTAAGCCAAAAGATTTAATAACCATAATAACTATAAGAGAAAGTTGGATTAAGTAAAATTCTAATTAATTATAATAAAACACATTAATAAATTACATAAGTACTTAATGTAAATTAAATCTTAGGCTATAAATTGTTGGATTTCTTTATGAATATAATTTTAATCAAATTCTATTCAATACTTTATAGTTCATATTCATTAATTAAACATTTAATTAGCTAATTTTATAATAATTAATAAGACCAATTACTCAAATCTATTAAATTATTATATCATACTTGTCAACTAACTTTATGATATTTGATATATTTGATGAAAGACTTTTAAAATAAAGAAGATAATTATGTTAAACCTAATTCAACATTATTATCATTAAAATTAATTTTTTTTCAATCACTGCTTTTTATTTTCATTTTTGATTGATTCTTAGCTTATTACTCTATACTATTAATTATTCACACTTTACAATTTATGCAATAAAAATAAGATTATTAATTAAATCTATAATTAATCATATTTTTAAGACCAAATTGATTTATTACTTAAATTTTATTTATATATAGTCAATTCTAAATCAAGTTCCTATCTTCTCAAGTAATTATCTTATAACTTGTCATTAATTGGAATCCATAATTTAGATTTTAGAAATAATTTCGAAGTTTGATTAGTTCTTGAAATTCTTGCTGAAAAACCTATTTGAAATGATATATTATATGAAAAAAAGGAAGGTAATCCCCTCCAATTTGATAAATGAAGAAACTAATACAAAAAAATCAAAAATATTATTCTCTTATTTTCTTCAGGCCTTCTTTTAAATTTCTAAGTGTTATAATTTGATTCTCTTAAATGTTTTATAGATTTTATTAACTCTATTATAATCTTATAATATCATTACACTAACTCTTCTAAAGTTTCCAATTCTGTATATCTTTCTGGTTTTGTGCTTATTTAGCAGTTTAACTTTTTCAAAAAATCGCTAAAATTGGTGGTCTTTTGATTATTTATTCAAGTAAACATAACAGTCTGCAGTTCTGTAATAAACTAAGTGATTAGTGAAGCTATAAATACCTTCTATCAACTCTTAATATTTTACACTAGTTTGATTGATAATCCAAAAGTGAAAATGGATTTCCTTAGAACTAGATGTCTCCTGTTTTGAACAATATTCGAGATAATAATTTTTTTTTGATTTTCTAAATGTTCCACAATATTTAAACACTTGGTCAATTTTATCTAAATTGTCTATAACCAAAACATTAACATTGCTTCGATCTTTGATCTCTGCTTCCTCTTCAATGGAAGTGGTCTATCACTATTGGTAATATTAAATTACATTTGTTTCTTTTTCTGAATTATCAAATCCTCTCTATTAACCCGCAATTTCTTAATCTGATCCATAAAAAATCAAATTTTATTGCCAGGACATTTTGGCTAATTCAATATACTCCTCAAGAGAGTCAGCATGTAAGGCTCCTAATCTTTAACGCATATCTGAATTTGCAATTTTTAAATAATAAATTATCCTAATATATTTGGGTATTCAATTTCAAAAAAATTTATATTCTATGCTAAATTTAAGTAACTTAAATCTTCAATCTAGAAATCACATATTTCTTCTTAGAATTAAATTCCTAATTTATCTTAAATGCATATGTCATGTAAAATTATGGTCCTAATCCTTAAATTTAAAAAATCTGTATTAAAAATGATGTGAGACTAAGATTATTAACTCTAAATTTAAATTCAGACTGAAACATAAATTACTTTTTGATTAGCTTGTCGCTTAATATATTACAATAGTTTATAATTCTTCCATTTCATCATTCAATTACATTGAATCAAAATTAAATATAATGTTTTAATCTTGTCTTTAATTTGTTATTTTTTGATATTTATAATATTCTTCAATCCAGATGCTTGTACTTTAAGTCAATAAAGATAATAAAAAATAAATCATAATGATAGTTTTTATTTTACCTGAATTATTTGAAGAACTTCTCGCTACTAGTATCAATATATAATTTTTATTATCTAGGTAAAGTTCTTTACTTTAGATAAATAATATAATCTATATATTAATGACATTTTTTTTACATAAATTAATGAGTCCTACCCAATTATTATCTAGATATTTTATAGTAAACTAACATTGACTATTCTCTATTGTAATCTTAAATTAAATTATTATAAGGAATTTTTTAGAATTCGGACAAGCCGCTGAATCTAATAATTGTAAGTAATTCTCTATTAAGATTGTTTTGTTATCTATATAAAGTGAAATAAATTAATATATTTATCATTTAGAAAGAAAGATTTATTTAAATGCTTTTATAAAATAAAATAAAATGATTCATTAAAAGCCTTAGCTTTGTTTTTATAGCACCATATTTATGTAATGCCCTAAAATAGTTTAGAGTGAGACCAAAACTTATTCAGATTGTGAATTTCTATTATTAAACCTAAGTTTATATTGGTATTTTATTTTGTGTCAAGTGTTATTATAGTTTGAGTCTGATGCACTTCATTAAAACAATTAACCTTTTTTAGGTGCGTATTAGTTATACAGCTTTAGGATGAATCACACTTTAAAATGCCAATAATTGTCTTTCATAATAACCAGTTTATTGAGCATCCCAACCACCCAATCCTGGCCTTCCTTATGTAAAGTATTATGGTCTAGAAGATCATAATAAATTACTCAATTTGATATTTTGAATTTTTTGATTCTGAGAAAACGAAATATTAGGTACTATTGAAAATTGATAAAAGAATTTAGAAGAGGTAGAAAGACAAAATGAAGACATAGATTTAGAATTAGAATATTGATATTGACTGGAGCTTAAATTGAATTAAGAAATCAATCATGCCTAATTTTTAATCTAATTAAAAAGTGTTTATAAATTTGAAGAAAAGGAGATAATTATTGAATGAGGCCAAACTTGATATTTTTAAAGAGTAAGTTAAGAAGAGGTCACTTTCAATTTAATAATATTATATATTGAGTTTATTGTAGAAAACTATAAGTTGTAATTGTTCCAATATAGAAAAAATATCATTTCAAATTTGTATCAATTTCAACGAAAATTCAAAAACATACAAGAAGACAATATATAATTAATTTTGTAATTATAATATCAAGTAAAATAAAATTATATTAAAAACAGTTATAGAAATGAAGTTGGTTCCTTCCTTCCTTGTATTTATTTATTAGTAGAATTATCGATCAGTAATTCAGTAACTCTATGATAATTGTGGTATATGGCTGAAATAAGTTCCTTTAGGAAATTGTATTTAATTCACAATTGTTTTAAAATAAAAGACGTATCTTTAATATATTAATGAGTTTTATTAAAAAGGTTGATTGATTCAAAAAAGAATCTGATAATGTCTTCAAAGTGGACTCAGACTCATCATAAATTTAAAATTAATGATAAATTAAGGAAATGGATTAAATTCGAGTTGAATTGAAGAAAAATGTAAAATTACTGAAAGCATTGAGCTCATTAAATTAAGTCTGAATTATTATACTCTGTTTAAAGGAGTATTTGCCCTTAATAATAATACATTAAATAGTGTAATTGAGTATATTAGATTGTTTTTAAATCTTTTTTCACTAAAATATTAAATAATAAACATACATGGGATAAAGTTGTTGTAACAAACAAACAATAGAATAAAGTAACGAGCATATGACAGAATTGTGCTAAAATATGGATGGAGTTAAATTTTGTGAAAACCTTGATGATATTTTTAACTCAAATGATTGTAACTCTAATCAAGCAAGAGTTCTAAGCTCTTAAATAATATTTACATTTTAATAATAGCTGCCAATTACATTATCATAGGAATGTAGTTATTACGAAAAAATGAACAGCATTTAAAAGTACAACTTCGACGAAGAAAGCCCAACATTTTAAGCATAAAAAAACGTACTATCAGAAAATGATATATATCCATTATGATTTTGAGTTTATTTATACTACTCTCTTTTACAAATACATTTTGAATTCATTTAAAGAATTCAATAAATTATCGACATCATGCCTATATTATTATTAAATAAAATTAGTATTCATATCATTAAAAGTGGCTAATATTAAAAATATTATCCAAGGGAAATCCATTAATAACTCATGAATCTACCTTAAAAAAAACTACTTTTAAAGAAACATCATATATAAATTAATATTAGAATAATGATGGTTTATTTAGATTAATAATTATAGATATAAATAAATATTGTATCAATTTGTTATATTGCTATAATCACCTTTGTTGCTGTATGCTGTCGATTAATAATCTACATACTTCAATTTATCCATGAATTTGGTTGAATCAGCTAGGATATAGGGTATAGAGGAATCTTAGCATAAATCAGTTTTAATAAATTTGATTCAATAATTACAATTTATTTTTTATTGGATACGTCTCTAAAACGCAAAGTAGTAATTGATAATATGATAGCAACTGCTCTCTCTGTGTTTTATGTATGTTAATTTACATATTTTTGAAACTGCTTAATAATCTAAGACAAATTTAAAAATAAAATTTCATTTATGAAATAGATATTTCTTATAAATCATAACAACATCACTATTAGCCATGTCTTAATTAGTTCCTGATTCAACAAACACTTTCACTTTTCCACTCTTCCCAAATGCGCTATCAATCTTCCCTTGTATATTCCCTTATTTAATAACAATCAACTTTCCTATGTAATTCGCAATATTTGTTTCTTTCTTAAATAAATCCTTAATAAGTAAAGTGTAATTGTCTATCACCTTTTCCACCTTTCCATTTTTAGTCTTCTTTCTGAAAATTCTTAAAAAGTTCTATTGAAATATTTATTAAGCTGAGTAAGAGTACAGAATGTTTCCATAAAATGCAATTCTACAAATATTTGCTTCTAAATCAGTATCCAATTTTGAAGCAATAACCAAAGAATTCATTGATGCAATTAATGGTTTTTCCAATTATAATACACCATACAAGTTGTACTTCTCTTGAAGTTTTACATAATCTAAAGAGATTATAATCAATACATACCTTCATAATCCTCCAGGTATTCCCCTTCACTATTGATCTCCAATTATAAATTCTTGGGTCTTATGATCAATTTCAATTATCCCATGACAGTCAAATGACCTGAAGTGACATGAAATTTATTCTAAGACTTTAATTATCCTTTATAATAACTAATCTTCTTGAAATCAATAACTATGTTTTCTAACAGTGATACAATCCCTGGTTAACAAACAATCCCCCTCTCAATCTCTTTTGCATCTAGATTAGTGAATAAGGCAGCTATTCTATCGCCAGGTTCTCCAATTTACACAGGTTTCTTGAACATTTATAGACTTTTGATCTTTTTATTCAAATTGAGCATAGGAAAAAAGACTTCATCGTTTGGCTTCATGGATCCTTGTATGATGGTGCCAGTAGTGACTGTTCCTTATCCCTTTATTTAGAAGCAATGATCAATCATAAACAACAGACCCTTATTCAATTAGGTCTATCGATTCGGGATGGTGATATTTTGAAGTAAAATTCCTAATAAATCTTCTATTCCAAGTGCTTAGATGGCTGAGACTGGTACTAATGGGACTTAATTTCCAAACTTTGTCTTGGATAGAACATTAGCAATAATTTTTTTTTGTTTACTAATTACTTCTTCAGTTGCTAGGTCTATTTTGTTCAAGACCACAATTAATTTATCAGCCAATATCTCACCAATGACTAAACATTCGGCAGTTTAAGTTTAAATGCCTTTGGTCACATCAACTACTAAAAACATCATATCAATAATTTGTGCTCCTCCTATGATGGTCTTAATTAATGATGCATGTCCAGGACAATCGACTAATGTAAATTGAAAATATCTTAAATGATTTATTGTGGATACTTTCCCTATTCATTTGGATTACGAGTATAAAATGCACTGAACCCCAGATCCAAAGTAATTCCCCTCTCTTAACTCTAAGGGTTCTTATCTAATGAGGCTGTTGATGTGATCTAAATGGTAGATAGATTCATTACTTTAGATAATGTCTTAACCAGCGATGTCTTGCCAGAATCAATATGTCCTAAGACACCGACATTAATGTTGATGGTATTTAATTTATTGACTTGTTCTATTTCTTGTTATGAGATGAATAAACTTTATTCCATTTATTAAGTATATATAAATAAATCAATAATGATCTTCATGCATGATTTAATATTCAACCTTCTTCTCTTGAGTGATCCCTTGCAACTACAAAGAATACTCAGCAATTGCTTTTTCTTTTGTTACTGGGTTCTCCCGATCATAATCAGTATCAAACTCAATCTATGCCTTTGTATATGAGACAGGCTAATGTCATATATTATTAATACATCTTCAAAGTTCTTAACTGGAAACATGGCTTCTATACAACGATGTATTGGTAAGAATTGAAAACTTAATCCAATGATGACTCCAATAGCAGAATAAATATCAAACTTTTAGTTAAGAAATATTGAGACTGCTGTATTGCCCAAAGGATTAAATAGGACAACAAATTCAAGCATATTTATCATTTGCCATGATAATTGTTAAGATATGTTTTCCTTCACAGTTCTCCTTCTCAGTAGGTTATACTTATCAACAAGATAAAATAAACTTAAACCAATTAAGGAACTGAATACTCCTAGAGGTATAGCAGTACCAAAGAAGAATGTGAGCCACATAGTTTTGATTATGTCTGCATATCTCATGGCCAATTGATAATCAATTTATTCCATGATTTCATTTGCCTCCCGTTACGTTAGTAAGCTACCATTACCCTTTGAAAATTAGTAGTCTCTCTGCAATTTTTTAAACAAGGACAACGGATCAATCAGCCAAATTAATGGTGCTATGGCAGCATTCATGATAAAAATCAGAGTTTCATTATACATGAATCCGCCAAAGCCATATACATTGCTAAATATCAAGATATCAATGACATAGCTAACTATTGCAGCATTAGCAAATAAGGCAATGGTTAACTTATTGGCGTAAGAGATTTGAAATTTGGTATTGGTTGATATTTTTTCTACTTTTGTGATCCACTTCATTAGAGGTTCAATTAACAATTTATTGACCAGAACTATCGTTGAGGCAATGGTGAATGATATTATTTAAATTTTCTTTATTTTCTCCTTATCATCTACTCCAATCCTTCTTTTTTCCAGTTCTTCATTTTGGATTAATCTAATACATCTGATTGATAGATAATAAATAATAAAGTATGTAATTCCTTAAAAAACTAGTGTAATGAAGAATCCTTTGATTCTAGCAATTATCTTATCCTGAGTCAAAGTGGCCAGATTATCCCACAAAATATCATTGGGTTCAGGTGCTTATTCAAGAAATAGCTTTTAAGATTGCCATTAAAGTTCCATTTCATCTAAACCAGGAGTCTTGCCTGAATATAGAAATGTCTTCACTTTATCAAAAAGAGTATGTGTATTTTAACTAAGTACTAAGTCTTTCATCTTCTCACTCTCAAAAGAAACAAAAGCTATGCCACTGAATTACCTATTAGTCCAAAAGTACTCATCTTGTAAATCTTTGATCCTCTTTTGTGAAGTTTCAATTTCGATTTCACAATCTCTCACATCTTGACTATCATAATTCATATTAGATGTTTGTAATGAAATCTTTTTCTTCTGTAAAGTTGTTTAGATTTTTGCTTCTTCTGTCAAAATCTCTGTAATATTATAAACCAACACAACTTTCGTTACTGTTATTTAAAAGTTGTTATCTGAAACCGCATAATTTTAAAATAAATTAGTCAATTCCCATCGATAATTGACATTCAAAGTTTTTGGAATGTTCGTCACCATAATTGTATAATCACTTGGTGTTAATTAAGATTCATCTATTTAATTATCTAATTTTTTTTGATGTCTCCTAAACAGTTAGAGTAGAATGATCATTATAATAAGCATGATGAGATTGGCCTTTTGGATGAATACCACAACTTCTGAATTGCTAAATTTATATTTATTCAATCACTTTAGTTTATTGGCTATGGACAATTACAGGAATATGGATTCTTGACAATTAGGTTCCATTTACTATGAAATCGTATTCAAGGTTTATTATCTAATTAACTAATAGATTTACTGGCAGAATTCACCATCATAATTGCTCAACACATTGAAAATAGCTACAAGACTTTGCAAACATAATAACAGGATGCAAAATTTCAAAAAATTATAAAATAATGGAAACCCTGCTCCCAAAAATTTGAGCGATTTGATATCATCACAATATGGTATTTCCTTCCTCTCTATCTCAAAACCACAACAAGGACATGTTTCAGCTGTATATGAACTCTTTTATACGTTTTTTTGGCTCCTCATCATCATCATCGTCATGATGAACCTTAGTATCTGGAGCAGTCCTTCTGGCCAATGCATGTTTTCTGGCTACATTCCAATCACATGGCATTTTCAAAGGGTTATAATCCATTATATATATATCTTAATTAATTTTATGTAAAAATGTTCATTTTACACTTTTTAACTAATTATTAATATAATTTATGGAAACTGACGAAGCTCCTAAACCAAAGAAAGCACCCTACAAATCAAAAAGATACTTCCTAAGTTCATTGAATACTTACTTTGGTTATCAATTAGTACAACTGTGTACTCATTTAGATTTAATAACTTCGCAATGACATTGAGCATCCTGAAGATCCAAATCTTATTGTAGGCACCACAATCTTATAAAGCAAATACCCATTGCATCCAGCAGTTAGAAAAGTCATCGATGTATGATTATCAATCACTACCAAAATAGCCATCCAAAATGTCATTCTTATAAAAAGTCATCTTGGATAGTGATGTGATAGTATATGACATTAACACATGCGATCACAGTGAATGCGAATATGCCATAAAAACCTTGAAATTAGGCACTTATGACTAGGAAAAAATATTGATCCTCGTTTCTTCAGTCATGGCTTGGTCAGCAACCGATCCCAAAGAAAAGAAGGCTGGAGAGGAAGAGGAAGATGCTGGCTACCCTCCTGAATCAGGAGAAGAAGAAGGCAAACCATAAGATGATGCTGAAGATGCACCTCCTAAGAAGGAATACACTCGTTTTAATGAAAGTGATTATCCTAAGAGGAAAGCTCTACCTGAATTTGAGAGCTTGTGTTCTCTAGAAAGTCTTTGCTTGAGTATTAATAGGCCAAATCTAAGAACATTTATACTTTGCGCAGGTATTTTGTATGGAATGGGAGAAGATCACTTCTACACTAAATTCAAAGGGGCTTGGTTATAGAATACAATAACATTTTATAATAAAAATAAAGTGCCGTGCATTCACGTTAAAGATTTGGCTTTGTTTGTGTAAAAGTTGGTTGAGAAACCAGTCAATTAAAAATATATCTTTGCAATTGATCACAATCAAAATCCCTCCCATAAGGCCATAATAGATTCAATATCTAAAGGAGTGGGAAATCAGAAAATTCAGCAATCTGATGAGGCAATTCCTGAGTTCAAAATTGATCTCAGAATGAAACCGACCAAAGTTTTCGATGCTTTCCTTGAAGAATAAGGAGATCAAGGGGATGAAGAACAGGCGGTTGATAAATTTACATTTAATTGGTGGTGCAAAGAAGGTATAAGAGCTAATATTGCAAAAATAAGATAAGAATTTGTTGATTATCATAACCTAAAACCAATTAGAATTGCCATTACAGGTCCACCTGGAATTGGGAAAAGCACCATTGCTAATCAAATATCGACCTATTTTAGTATTCCTCACATCACCATCAAAGAACTGATATAGGAATACTTGAATTAAACAAGTGAGGAAGTCGAATAATTGAAGGCAAATTTGGAAGAGAATAGAAATCAACTTGTTGAAGAAGCTAAAGCTCAATATGATATTTAAAGAGAAAAAAGGAAATAATTGAAATAACCTTACATCCCATTTGATGACAGTAAAATCGAAGCAAGATTAACTGATGAATAGTTGATTACTATTTATAAATGGCGATTGATGTAGAATGATTGTTAGAATAGAGGGTTTATTTTGGATAATTATCCAAAGACATATGCATAAGCCAAATCACTATTTTATAATACTGAAGGAGAGGGAGAGGAGTAGAAAGAAACTCTTAATAAATTGATTTTGCCTGAACACTTTATAGTGCTAGCTGGTAGTGATGAATAAATAATTGACAGGATCAAGTTCTCAAAAACTCATAAATATGACGAAGAGGTGCTTCTCAAAAGGTTGAAGAATTACAGAGCACTCAATACTAAAAAGGGATACACTATTTTGATTGACTTCTATAAGGATTTGAAGGTGGACATTTGTGAGATCTCTGTGTTCAATAAGTAGACTAATATTCAAGATACATGTAGAAGTTTTATTGAGAGGGTATGATTTCGATAATTATTTTAGAATGGGAAGTATAAGAATTATAAGCAGATTGAATAGGATTTGGAAGAGAGTAGGTTGAATGAGAAGAAAGAGTAGTTATTGAAGTGGGAGGAGCAAAACTAAAAATTGAAGGAGTTGAGGGATAAGAAGGAAGATGAGTTGTGGAAGATTCAAGAGGAGGAGTACAGGATTAAGTAGGAACATAGTGTTAATTATGAGAAGGAATTACTTGATTCAAGGTCTCTGCCATTAAGGTATGTTTGTTAAATAAAACAATAGATAATATTTGAATGATAATGTAGTACCATTTATTACAGAAGGGTTGGTGGAGATTGTTAAACAGAATCCAGAAAATGTGATTGACTTTTTATCCGAATTCTTGTTTAAGAGATCATTGTAAGTCAGATTCCCAGATCCCAAATTGTATTTTGAGAATTCTGAGTGATCGACACCTAATAACCAGAAATCATATATTCATTTTTTATACTCTCTTTTTTTCAATTTTAATGAATTCCATTGATTGTCAGTCTAAGATTTTTATTCTTTATATTAGGTAGAATATTCCTTTGAATCCATTCTAATGTACTTACCCTCAACTTGGGACGGGTATTGTAGACTGTAGTTCGAAAATCCTTTATTAAGTATATACAAATCAGGATAATGTAATTTTGGATAGTCGTTTAGGTTTCGATCTGTGTTTCTTATTTATTTGTAACTAAACCATTATATGGGATTCATTACATTTAAACGCTTCTCTTCTCCGAGAACTCACAATAGAGTACGATTACTGGTTTTAAGGTGGGAATTTATTTAAAAAATATAGACTCTATCTCGAAGGGATTGCAAAGATGAGTTGCACCATGGATGTGACCACCCTCAAACTCAAATTTGTAACGACAATCAAACAATGTAATATCATTAGCATTTTTATACTAAATTATAAATTACTCAATTTTACTAAAGTTTCAGGAGTGATATAATTAACAGCATCCTTCTCAAAGTGCTCTAATCTATTGGATCCCTCCTGCTCATCGCAGAAATTAATTGGAACCCTGAATGAACTAAAAAATTCTTGTCTTTCAAATTATCTTTCCGGACTGCTCGTTTCACTTGAGATTGTAACACCTCTTTTCAACCAAGAATCATCTCCTATAACAATTCTTTTGTTTGGGTTTGAGAATTGCTGGCTTCGTGATGGACTGTATAATAACAATTCATCTCCAAGTCTCTTGGTAGAATGATTTGAATCACAGTCAAAGGAACTTAATGAAGCACAAGTCTTGAATAGATGCAAGAAATTAGGCATCTCTGATGATGAACTATTCATCTTATCTTTCCGCTATTTTAGTTTTAAATATAAATATATAAATCTATAAAATAAAAAAGTAAATTATTTTCATGAGTGTACACTGTAAAATTATAACATTTTACCAATTCAAAATCTCCTTAACATTCCTTACCTAAGGAATATATAAATTTACCTACACTTATTTTAAAACTCTAAATCTCTTGTTAATATTTTGTGGATTAACCCAAGCATAATCTTATAAATAATGTTGAATATATATGCCAACTAGATTAAAATATGACCCTCTCTATTCATAAAGTTTTCATTATTCTTTTTTCATTTGGCAGTGTAATTTATTAGAGTTGTTAATTTATTTATTCCAACCTAAGATAGAAAAAGAAATTCATCTTAAATTTAGAAGCATAGATCTTTTTATGCTTCTCAGCACTATTTACTAGTATAATACAGTGCTTTATTAATCATATTTGAAATTTTTGATGTTTTATATTAATTACTTACTTTATCTGCAGTTGAAGTTGGATAATTCTGAATTTGAATAAAACATAAAACATTCTTAAATAAAAAATTAACATGTTTCACTTAATATTTTCCTAAATTTTACAGGCAAACAAATCATGTTGTTTTTCCAAAGCCCCAATATTCTTATTTAGTTCAAATGGTATTTTTTGAGGTTTATCATAAAGTCAATGGTTGCTTATCATAATCACAAAAAGCTAGGTAATTATGTATTTTTTGGATATGAGTTAAAGAAATAAGTGTGTCTAAACCTTATTTAATTATAGCGAATAATTAATGGAACTATAATATTCAATAGATAAACATTGCCTAGTAAATGAATTCTAGTTATTTATCATTTATATGGCAATGATATATTGTGGTTGAATAATGATCAAATGTTTCTAATCCAAGATTATTCAATCGTTTTAATTAAGCTTTATTATAATTAATGAGCACGAGTAGATATGTGGCCAAAAAGCTTCAGCCATTTATCACTTCCAGGGCAGATCTGACTTAGTAATTTGAAAAATTGGAGAAGGAGTAGAAGGAAGAGGAAAGACTTAATGATTAATACTTCGATCAATTGGGAAAATTGGAAAAAGTAAAATAGAAAATCATCCATAAACTTAGGAATACGACACTCTTGCCCACATTTTGGAAGATTATGGGAAGAAAACGGTTGGTAAATAGAATGGAGATAGCGATTAAGATTAAAATTTAGATTCTCGGATTGAAAAAGCAGTTATTGAGACTTTGGGTTTGTATTTGTTAGCGGGTAGTCGAAAAGAATAATTAGAAGCATTATAAGAAAGAGAAATGGCTAAAAAATAAACTGCCTTGAATCTCACTCTTGGGAAGACTGCCGTAAACGATTTAAAAATATTAGAAGATAGTAATGAATTAAATGAGGAAGAATATGGTTATTATGTAACATTGAAGTCTGATGATGCTTGTATGCAAGTTAAAATACCTGCAACAATTAAGACCTTTAAAGAATTGAAGTAGATCATTAAAACTTGCTTCATGCTTGAAGAAAATTAAATATTTTGCACAGATCAGATGGGCAATTTATTCTAAGATAATATGATTTTGTTAGATCAAATTTATCCTCCTCTTTACGATCTAATGAAAAAATATCAACCCATGGTAGGAATCTAAGTAGTTAAGTAAGTTAAACTCAAAGAATTTATTCAGAGTGGTGATGAAAGTTTGATGTCTGATGATGGAGCAAGGTTTTTCATTAAAAGATATTAAACAGCCAAACCTGTTTAGAAAAAAATCGATTGGAGTTAATATCTAGGCTATTTAAACAAATTTAAATATTTTATTGAAACAGTTTTGTTTCTCATAGTTCTAGGATTATTTTTAGTTGTTCAAATCGATTAAGTTAAATTTACTACAAGTTCTTCTGTTATCACTTCATTTAGTAAGCAAATGCAGATTTCTAAATCTCTTCTATCGCCAATCAAAAACATTTCACAGCTTATAAATCAAACGCTCTCATACAGCAATGATAACCATTAATATCCTTCGTATCCTTTAATAACTGGTTTGCTAATCTAAACACTAGTCAAACAAGTAATTTATAATTTCATCTAGGAAAAATTTGAAGATTGTTCTATTTTGAATAACAATTAGAAATAAATGTTTATTGATAAAAATTAAAGTTGCTTAGATTTTTCCACTGTTTTAATGGATAATTTGACTGAAGATTACGAATTCAATAAGTTTAATCCATCTGTGTACAACCAACAATTTGGAGGATATGTCTGGGAGTTGAATTTAGCATCCTAAGAGGATTTCAATTAAAATATTGAACTGCTCTTTGAAAAGAATTGGATTAAATATAATATTAAGTAATCATAATTCATTTTAAATTATTTCAACTCTCCCACAAAAAGGCTAATTTAAGTGGTTATTACAACAATTTACTTGTTTAATGATGTAGATACTTATTTTAATTTAGATGTTATTAAATTTTAACACTATTACCTTAGACTCATTTGATCTTAACAAACCTTCAGAAACTGAAGATCTTTATGATGAAATTCTATTTTATTTATCCATCCTCCTCTTGTCTTCATCATTTCTAGGTAAGGATTATATAATAAATTCTAGATTTCTTTTCCATATATTTAAAAACATCAAAGAACCCTTTTGTTCTGTTGTATTAATCTTATACTGAACTAAAAAGCAAATAAAGAAAGTTATAATCCAAAAAAAAAGAATTATCAACCTTAGAACAACAAGATTTGCAGTAGAAAGAATTAATTGTTGGAGATTATTTTATCCTTAAAGTATCTGTAGTTTATATTGTGATTAAGATACCTTTGATATTTGACTTTGTTTGTACAATACATTACTATATTAGATATTCTATCAAATATTGCCATATTAATTAGAGGATCGATATAAAGGAGTTATTAGGATGCGCTAGATGATATTTAAATAAATTCAACGGAATTTTAGGATGCGTCTTAATTAATAGTTCCAGCATTTTTGTTGAGAATCTTTACAGGAATTTTAGTTATATTTTTGATGACTTCAATAATTCGATTCTTAGGTAATTGGAGTCCCTATCTCAAATGTTATGGATTAGTGATGATAAGAGTAAACTATTTGATCATCATATTAGTTCAATAAATAATCTTCATTTTTATTATTAGTTCTCATATTTATTATTAGTATCAGTGCTATGTCATGGTCTATAACAATTCAAGGAAAGTTAATAGGATAGGATAATTTCTTATATGATTTCCTTGGCTTATTACGTTGTACATTAAAATACGGAATGCATAATGACCTAGAAGATTAAGGACTAGAAAACAATTATTAAAAAGAAATTAGTTATTCTTTTGATACTAGATATGTATTTAAGATCTTTAATATTAAGCTATAATATTTGATAGTTTTAGTTATTACTTTTATCATGATTCCAATATTCATCTCCCTAATGACATAGCAAGTACACAATACTAAACTAGAAGCAAAACAAAAAATGATCGAGATGGAAAAGGAGAAAAAAGAAGAATAGTAAAAAAAAAAATGAATATTACTCTACATGTTAAATAAATCCTTTAAATTTTTGCATAAAGATATTCTATTGTCAATATATTAAAAAATCATCAATTGATTTCATCTCTTTACATTTATGCCTTATTTTACAATGATCTAAGGATTTTAATCATACACAATATTAGTGTTTTTTGTGTTCTCGGAAAATGTTTTTATCAAACTTTTAAGTTGATTTTTAAATAAATTATCTTATATTTATTTGTTATTCTTTAATATATTAAGAACCTACTTTTAAGGAATTTTCTTTAAACATTTGCAAAAAAATAAAGGATTCCCTGTTCGTACACTAATAGAAATGATTTCAAATAAACAATAACTATGATAATTGTGATTGCAATTCAACTAAATTAATTCCTAGTCCTATTGTTACATACAATGAGAACATGGTTAATATTTGGTTTATACTAAAGTTTGATGAATTCCATCTTAATTCTCACTCAAATTGTCATCTTCTACATCTTCTCTAATTTGCTTAATTGCTTGATATTTTTTTTCTAAAGCATAGCTATCCTGTTAGGCTGTTTTAGGTACGACTATTTCGCTTTCTATAAATTAGAGATTCATAAAATTTACTTTCTGGAAAAAGGAGCTTGTATTTTTCATGATTGTAATGAATATTCATTCGGTCAGCCATTGATTCACTATTATTCTGAGATTTGGATTTATAAATTTGCTCTACAGATTTGATTTTATAAAAATTGCGTCCTCCTTTACCCTTACTTATTTCATTTTAAGGATCCATGATTTCTGAAGGCCGTGGCAAGTTATCATGCGACTAATATTTTAACAAGGTAGCAGATTTCATATTTCTATCGTATTGTTAATTTTTAAACTGGTTATCAAATTGTTAATTTTGATATTGATTAGCAAGTTCCTAATTCTTATTCAAGTGATCATATAACTAATTTTTATACTGGAGAATTTATTGCTCAATTTGAGACTGATTATCAGATTAGTAATTTTCAAAATAGTTATCAGATTGCTAATTTATATTGAGGTTATCATATTTCTAATTTTTCTACAGATCATTTTGCTGATTTTTCTACAGATTATCAATTTACAGATTTTTCTAGAGGTGATTCTATGGCTGAATTTTTTATAAGAATTTAGATTGATTACTTACAATAAGATGTCTTTGTTTCTAATTTATAGGCTAGTGATCTTGTTTTTGAACTTGATACTGGTTATCAGGTTGCTTATTTTTAGAATTCTTATCATTTTGTTAATTCTTAAACTGTTTATTAGATTGCTAATTTTTCTATAGGTTATCAGATTGCTAATTTTTATTCAGGTGTTCATTATACTGATTTTTTTACTGTTTATCATGATGCTTATTTATATTCTAGTTATCAGATTGATGAATTCGTTATTGGATATGCTATTATCTAGGACTTTAATGAAAACCAACTTCTAAATCCTTATTCTCTATTAAAGCCATTTGATAATCTTAACGAATTTATTTACTGACTACTCCTTAAGAGAGTGTGTTTTAAATTAAATTCTATTAATTTTGCTAATTGGGTTCTGATTTCAAATAGGTCTGTTTGAAAGTGATTCTACCTGACTTATGATGGATTCTGTTGGATTAAGAGCCTTTAATGCTGTTTTAATTCTTTATTTAGATAACATTGATATTTTTACTTATTATTATACAACAAGATTTCTGGAAATATCATATTATTCATTGATATTATTTCTTTGTGATTATATTTATTCCTGTTTTTATAATGTTGAGGGAACGTAATTTTAGTTCCCTCTCTTCTGGTCATATGGACGATATTTTGGAAAATTTAGGTTGATTATATTAACTTTAATGATGAAATCAACANTTTCTAAAGCATAGCTATCCTGTTAGGCTGTTTTAGGTACGACTATTTCGCTTTCTATAAATTAGAGATTCATAAAATTTACTTTCTGGAAAAAGGAGCTTGTATTTTTCATGATTGTAATGAATATTCATTCGGTCAGCCATTGATTCACTATTATTCTGAGATTTGGATTTATAAATTTGCTCTACAGATTTGATTTTATAAAAATTGCGTCCTCCTTTACCCTTACTTATTTCATTTTAAGGATCCATGATTTCTGAAGGCCGTGGCAAGTTATCATGCGACTAATATTTTAACAAGGTAGCAGATTTCATATTTCTATCGTATTGTTAATTTTTAAACTGGTTATCAAATTGTTAATTTTGATATTGATTAGCAAGTTCCTAATTCTTATTCAAGTGATCATATAACTAATTTTTATACTGGAGAATTTATTGCTCAATTTGAGACTGATTATCAGATTAGTAATTTTCAAAATAGTTATCAGATTGCTAATTTATATTGAGGTTATCATATTTCTAATTTTTCTACAGATCATTTTGCTGATTTTTCTACAGATTATCAATTTACAGATTTTTCTAGAGGTGATTCTATGGCTGAATTTTTTATAAGAATTTAGATTGATTACTTACAATAAGATGTCTTTGTTTCTAATTTATAGGCTAGTGATCTTGTTTTTGAACTTGATACTGGTTATCAGGTTGCTTATTTTTAGAATTCTTATCATTTTGTTAATTCTTAAACTGTTTATTAGATTGCTAATTTTTCTATAGGTTATCAGATTGCTAATTTTTATTCAGGTGTTCATTATACTGATTTTTTTACTGTTTATCATGATGCTTATTTATATTCTAGTTATCAGATTGATGAATTCGTTATTGGATATGCTATTATCTAGGACTTTAATGAAAACCAACTTCTAAATCCTTATTCTCTATTAAAGCCATTTGATAATCTTAACGAATTTATTTACTGACTACTCCTTAAGAGAGTGTGTTTTAAATTAAATTCTATTAATTTTGCTAATTGGGTTCTGATTTCAAATAGGTCTGTTTGAAAGTGATTCTACCTGACTTATGATGGATTCTGTTGGATTAAGAGCCTTTAATGCTGTTTTAATTCTTTATTTAGATAACATTGATATTTTTACTTATTATTATACAACAAGATTTCTGGAAATATCATATTATTCATTGATATTATTTCTTTGTGATTATATTTATTCCTGTTTTTATAATGTTGAGGGAACGTAATTTTAGTTCCCTCTCTTCTGGTCATATGGACGATATTTTGGAAAATTTAGGTTGATTATATTAACTTTAATGATGAAATCAACATTTACAATTCATTTGCTAAAAATTATATACCTTTTCCAAGTCCATTTCATTAACATTTATTTCAGTTTAGGGTTTATAGTATTTTCTTAGCATAAATTGAAATAATTATTTAATATATGATATTAATGAAATGCCAAAAACATCAATGCACAAGAATGACATCCTAAATTAAAATCTGATCTAATAAAATGATGCTGTAAGAAATCCATATTAACATACAATATTGGGAGTTATAATTCAATAATTAATTAACAATTATTTATTAATTATTGCCAAATACATGGTTCCTTCAATAAGTCTCGAAGTTTTTCTTCTCAAAACAACAACAAAAGGTTAAGTTCGAAAAGGTTCTAGGAGCAACTATTAATTGAAATTTAGCATTTTCAAATTACAACATAAAGTGTGATTTGGAACACACCAATTTAAGAAATCTAATATCTTAGTAGTAGTAGAGATTAATATCAATAAGAGGCAATGGAGATAGTATCGAAACAACTTATTTAACTTAATATTTTCTTTTATAAATTTAAATTACAAAAATGTCAGAAGACCAAGTTAACGAAACCAATGATGTAAGTGAGTCTTAAAAACCAGTTGATATTTAAGGTGATCCACCATTAATTGATCAAAAAATAGCTCAATCTACTTATGGAAATGATGATGTACCTATTGGGAAATCTTAAAACAAATAAATGTTTGACGAATTTCCACCTGAAGGTTTCGTCCCTAAAAAGCCACCTCCTAAGAAGGCAACCAAAAAACCAGTGCATGCTCCTCCTGTTGAAAATGATGAACCTAAAGTTGTAATTAACCCTGATGATATACCGATTAAATAAGCAGGAGCAAATGTGATGGATGATTAGCCTGTTGGTGGAGGCAAAAAATTTGCAATTAGCGAATATCCCGAAGGAATGGAAGGAGGAGGAGAAGAAATTTAATAGACAGTCCTACCATTAGCTTAGCGCTTGAAGTCAAAAGCATGGAAATTAAGGCAAAGTGCGTTTGAGGAAATGGCAGAATTCTTTCAAAAAGACGAATCTCTTGATGAATACTACGAAGAATGGCCTAAATTAATCAATGACAATAATCCTGGAAGTTAAGAAAAAGCTTTGATAGCCCTTTAAATATTTATTGCTAAGTGCATTAAAAGCTAATTTGCAGCAAGATTTGATGCTAAAGAGACTATTAGAATGTTAATTGATAAATGCATTGCACCAGGAAAGAAGCAAATAGTCAAACTTAGTTATGAAATTTTATTTGATATTTTTGAAAGAAGAGATAAACAAGAGATGTTTGATGTAGTTAATGAAATGTTGAAAAATAAAGTGCAAAAAGTATAATGTGCTGCAATTCAAAGTTTAATTGAACTATTGATTACATTTGGTCCTAAGAGATTGGATTATTTGAAACCCTTTTTTCCAGAAATTGAGAAGCTATCTCAATCTACAGTTTCTTCAATTAAGACTGAATGCATGAACTTTTACAAGGAAGCTCATAAATGGTTGGGCGAACCAATTTTAGCTCCCTTTATAAAAGGCTTAAAAAAACTGCAATTAGAAGAATTAGAGAAATTTCAAAAAGAATGGCAACCCGTTCCAATGGTGCCAACAAGAGGAGGAGATGCTGTAACTGTTGGATAAGGAGGTGGAGCTAATAATGGGTTAGATGCATATGATTTGGTTGATGCAGTTGATATTTTCAATAAATATAATGAAAAGTGGTGTGATAAGGTCTTGGCCTAGACTAAATGGAATGAAAAACAAGCCTTGTTAGATTAACTGTTAAAAGAGGCAGCTACTCCTAAAATAGCTGCTGGTAACTATGTCCCAATGATTGCTCTGATTAAAAAGCTATTGGCAGATTCTAATTAGGTAATAAATGTATGTGCTATTAAATTATGCGGAGCTTTTGTTAAGGGGCTTAGAAAAAACTTTAATGCTTAAGCAAAACTTCTATTTCCTCTTTTGATGGTTAAATTGAGGGAAAAAAAAAACATTTGTTAAGAAGCAAGAGCTGCTTTGGAATTATTTCATTACTGTTTATAAGTGGAAGATGTTGTAGAAGATTTCAAAGAAGGACTTGCTGATAAAAATCCTTAAATGAGAGCCCAATGTCTGCTATTATTTGCTAAACTTGTTTAATTGAAAGGATTTCCACAAGGAGCACCTAAACCTAAGTTTGTAGATTGCGTCAAATAAATATTACCCCAAGCAAAGAAACTTATAGAAGATAGTGTTCCAGATGTAAGAGAGGCAGCAGTATAGAGTCTAGGCACTCTGAAACCTTATCTATCAGACTAATTAATCAATTCCTTTTATTCAGATATTGGATAATAAAAATTAAGTAAAATCAATGAGATTTCTGGTCAAATTGAAGAGGAGAAGAAAAAGGAACAAATCAAAAAATAACCTCCATAAACTAAAGAATAACAATCAGCTTCGTAAATTCAATAATCTGCTACACAAAACAATACAATTCAATAGGGGACTGCCAAGAAACCTCCACTTTATTCAAAAAGTAATATTGTCATTACTGAATAACCAGATTAAAGTGTAGATCAATTAGAAAACTCGCTTAGAGGTTATGGAGTTGATGATCAGTTCTTTGAGAATATAAATGGTATGGCTAAATAGAAGGCTGAAGCTATTAAAATGCTCGAAAATGAAACAGATGTCATGCAAAATCATTTTGAAGACATATTGAATTTCTTAAGATTTAAATTGAAGGATTGGAAAGAAGCAAATCTTTCAATCAACAAGGAACTGTTCTCTATTTTAATCTATGCCAACAACTTGGATCCTAAGCCTTTTACTCAAAAATCATTTTAGCCTTTGTGCAAACTCCTGGTTGAAAAAATGACTGATTCCAAATTTAGAGAAGATATCTATATAATTTTGAAGGGATGTTGTGAATGTGTCAATCCGAAATATATCATATTGTATTTGATGACTTAAGCTGTGCCAAAGGAAGACAAGGAAAGTGGAAAAGTTATGATTGTGCCTCCTTAAAAGACTGGAGAAGTAATTAACAATATCTCCAAGATTATTGAAATAGTTACTATTCGAAATGTTCCCACTAAAGAAATTATAGATTTCGGCAAAGAATAATTGCAATCAACAAATGCTATTATCAAGACTTCTTGTGTAGAATTGTTTAAAACTATCTATAAGTATATTGGTTAAGAGTTACTTTAGTTTTTATAAGATGTCTAACCACCAATTATGAAAACACTAAGCTCTGAATTCGAAAAAATATCAGTTTTAACTTCTTATGAACCTTCAATCACTTTTACAGGAGAAGCAGCTAAAGAATGTGGAGTTATACAGTCTCAGCCCTTATCTTAATCCATTATGCAATCTACACAATCATCCATGAATGATAACTTACCAAGAGCTGACATTTCAAACTAGTTATAATCAGTCTTAAAGAAAATGGCCGATATCTAATGGAATAAGAGAAAGGAAGGAATTGAAGAATTAGATAAAATATTAATACACAATAATAATAGAATTTAAATAAATGGATTAAACGATTTAATCAATATGTTAAAACAAAGATTGAGTGATAACAATAAATAATTAGTTAGGCCTATTGTACAAATTGTGGGTAGAGTTGCTGAAGCCTGTGGAAAAGATTTCAAATCTTCAGGCAAGTAATTAATTTAACCATTAATTTCTATTCTTAGTGATAAACAAGTATTAGTTAGGTAGGATGTTGTTGCTAGTTTAGATAAATTTTGTATAGCCATTGGAATTGATTAAGTAGTGTTGCAAATGCCTCCTTATTTATAGATGGAGTCTATCGAGTTGAAATAAGAAGTTTTGTTATTCATTATGAAGTACATTGAAGCATTACTTAAAATTGATTACAAACCATTCATATTGCCATTAATTAATTGTCTTTGTGATAGAGTAAAAGAAGTTAGATAGGCAGCCGAATAAGTTTGTGAAAGAATGGTTGAAGATGTGGGCATAGATCCATTTTTAAATTAAATGAAAGATCTAAAGCCTGCAGTTGTTTAATAAGTAAGGTTATTTTTTGCTAAATTTGGGATGGCCGAATTAGAAGACACATCCAAAAGAACTGGGAAAACACCAAAAGGAAAACAATAATAATTACAACAAAGTTAGTAATAAGACATCAGAAATATGAAGAGAAATTTAACTACTAAAGATTTACAAAATGATTTAAATACTTCTCAAGAACCAAAATAAAGAAATGAAAGAACTCCAAACAAATCATTGCATCAAAAATCTCTCAAAACTTTACCATAAGATAATACTCCTTTAAGATAATAAAAAGAAAAGGCAGTCTTCCAAGACAGCAACAGTTTAATTGCAAAAAGTTCTAGCATCAAGGAAATGAAATAACTAAGAATACAATCAGATTCAGTTTAATCATGGGCTAATGATTGTTTTCCAATTAGCACATTTAGTGATCTCTATGTTTGTTTAAGAGAGGACCTTTACAATAATCTGATGTCATACAATTATAAGGACGTTATGAAAGGTATATAATAATTGATGACTGTTTGGAATGATCCTGAGTAAAAGTCAGATATAATTGAAATAAGTGATTTACTTCTCAAATTTGTACTTGTTAAAATATATGGAAGTTCTGCTAATCAACTATTAATGAATGCCTTGATTAGCTACTTAGATGCCTTCTTTTAAACAATTTCAAAAGCAAGGTATATCTTGACTGAAGTAGAATAAATTGTTACAATCTCCATTATAAGAGAATTGATCTACGCTGGAGTTGACGTCCATCTAGAGTTAATTCAAAATTTACAATATGTATTCTCAGCTGTGATACTTTTAGAAAAACTTCTGCAATTATTAAAAATTAATCCTTAAATTATGCATCCATTTTTAATTGATTAAAGGGATAGGATAAATACCCAAATATGCAATTTAATCATCTAAGGTTAATTGGCCAGATACTTTCCTTTGGATCTATTCCCAGAGTACTCTTAATATTTAACTAAAGAATTACAAAATGAACTCATAGCTTTACATGGATATCATTCTATTAGAAGATACACTTAATAATAATAGCCAAATTAACAATAATAATAACCATAATAACAATAATAAGTGATTTAATCAACTTAGTAATAATAATAATATTAAACTGGAAAGTAACCTATTATATAAGGCACTGTATAATTATAATCAGCAAAGGATCCAAGATCACAGTAATTCTTGTAAATTTTAGATTCTCTTCTTAGTTAATAAACCTCTCAAAATATAGAGTCTTTAATGTAAATTAGTGATTTGCTTACCTAAAATATTTAATAAAATTAATAATTATTTGTTGACAATGCCGAGGCAATTTGCAAATGCTTTCAAACTTTATTATAGAATACGTTTAACTAAAGAGAAACATATCCTGCCTAGTTTATATAGTTCTTTTTATAAGCATTGAATAAATTGTATTAGCTAAAGGCTTATGTAAACTAATTACCATATGAACTATTATGTGGATTTACTGAAGAGATTATGCTTAGACTGCTATTGGAAGACGAATTGAAGAATCAGTAAGAAAATGGAGATGCTATCAAGCAACTTAATTCTACTATTCTTCGTATCTTAGAAAACACTAGTTAAGATATTATGTTTTCAATATTATTTGATGTATTGACCAAACATAGGCGTAGAAGCAATGCATAAAAAATGATAGATTTGCTAGTTAAATGCATAGCTAGATTAACTGTCAAAATCGAATAAAATAGTAATATTAGGATTGAATTACTCCTTCTTAAATTTCATAATTATTTAAATGAGTTCTCGATGAGTCCAAATTTTGCTCTTGATGAAAAAGGAGTTAAAACTATAAAAGTTGTACTTTAATAGTTGGTTAAGATAAAAGGAGAAAGAATTTGGGAAAATTATCATTTAGTCAGCAGAAGTACTTCATAGGATCAATATTTAAATAAATGGATACAAGCGTATTTAGGCAATCCTTCTTTGTAAAATGCATAACAAGAAAATAATCTTCCAGATCAAGAACTATAATAAATAATCGACATGTTAAGAACACCTTCATTATTAGATGGAGGCATTCTAAAAATGGTAGAAAAAATTAAGAGAAGTCCAAGTATCATATTTTAAATAATGTAGATATCTAATGGCAAAAGTATGTCCCAGATTAATAAGTCTAATTACTTATATAGTAGTAATTGACAAATGGATAATTATCCAATTAGGGAGGTTACATGAGTACTTAACCTTCATTATAATATTCCTATCAAACACAACTACCTCTATAACAATCACAATTATAATAACCTTAACTCTCTGTTAAACCTTAGTTATAACAATAATAATAACAATAATAATAATAATAATAATAATAATAATAATAATAATAATAATAATAATAATAAATTTTACAGCAATTACCTTCTTACTCAAGAACAACAAGAGCAGCTGATCCTTAATAATAATTTAATGATTCTTTTGGTGTTTAATAGATCAATCAATATATGTCAGTTAATTAATATCAAATGAATTAAAATCAAATAGGATAATAACAATAATAAAATGTAAAAACTCCAGAGTACCTAATGTAAAAATTAACCGACATGAAAAATAAAGTTCAAACTCTAGTAGGACCAAATAATGTATAATAAGCATAGAATCCTAGATAATTCCAAAATAATCGTATGCCTTAATGATCATCAATTATATTTAATAATTTGTTATTCTAAAATTTAATTTGGATAATTTAATCTTATGCTTATTTATTAATTTTTTAATTTAATCTATAATAATTAATTTATTCATAGTCCCTAAACAGCTTATTAGAGAGCAGTTTAATTTGATCATTAGTTTCCAAAAGTTGGCTAAGTTGAATTGTAAAATCGTCTTCTAATAAAAAATAAGTAGATTGAATTAATGAATTTTGTTAGCCAAAGAATAAAAACTAAGATTTTTGAAAATTATAAATAAAACTTGATAAATCAAGATTTTATCTTTGAGAAAAACTAACTTAAGTTATTAATATTACTCCAGACATTGGCTTATGATAGATATTTCAAGTAATATATTATTTTTTGAGTATTTGAGATTTCGAATAAAATTAATAATTTAAATAAATCAAATTTAAGCCAAAATAGTGATATACAGCAAGGCATCTATCATGATATAATTAAAATTAAGCACATTAGAAGTTTTATCATTATTTCAATAACAAAATCTGAATTCTTCTAAATTGGATAATTTAGGGATAATTCACTCTAAATTCAATAATTCTTTTTTGAAAATATATCTTTGTTGAAATAATAAATAAAAGAATATTTAAATATTTTAATAATACGCTTTGACTTTTTTGTAAATATTACTAAGTCTACAAATATTTTTTATCTTATTTAATCGTTTAAGATTCTTCACCTTCCAAAACTGTAAATTTGATTTCAGATGTTTATTCTTAAAAGTAAGGGATATACACAAAAATAAAAATAGTTATAAATTATGATTATAAATATAAAAATAAAAATAACAGCTTAATTATGACTTAAAATCTCTAAGACTATGCTTAATAATTAGTGAATATTTCAATATCAGATGATGAGGGGATAATTGATTACTCACCAATGAAATAATCTAATTTTTAAAATGTTCTTACATAAGGTTAACCATCTGGAAAAAAATCATTAGCAGCTTCAGTCAAACCGAAGTCTACTGCTTCAAAATCAACCAAAAGTATGATTACCAAGTATGATTTAAGAATCAAGTGGGATTAAGTCAACTAAGGATAGAGCTAAAGAAATGAAAGAGTAATTTGAGGAATAGGCGAAATAACTAAAATGGTATTAAGAAGAGTATCAACGATTGAAAGATTAAAAAAAATATTTAAAGGAAGAGAAGACTTAATATGTATTTGTTTATTAATTTAATAATAGCTTCTAACGATCAATACATATAAAACAAAGTTAGAGTAAAGTATAGGAAATGAGAAGAAACTTCATTAATAATTGAATGAATAGATGAATGTTACAAGATAAGCATTAAAATAGTCAAGTGATGCTCAAATAACTTTGGAGTAGAACAAATAAAATTACTTATAGTAATAATAAATGGAGGACTTGGTCAGATAGAGGTAAAAAGAGGAATTAGAATATTAATATCAAAAGAAGCTTGATCAATCAGTTAAATAAGCAATTGCTGATGCAGAATGCAAATACGAATTGAGAATTCAATAAATGAATAAGGAACTAGATGTTTTACGAATAGAAAACATTGAACTGCACAAAAGACTAATGTAAAATGAAACAAACAAAAAACATATTTATGTTTAAAGCGAATTAGATTAGTTGAAAACGAAGTACTTAACTACAAAGGGATGATTCATATTTAAGTGATTATCATTAAGCATTAAATTGTTACTGAACTAAATAATCTAAATAATTTTTATTTTGTTAAGTTGCCAAGCTTTTTAAAATTAGATTATTATTTATCACAATATTTTAATATAAATGTTAAGATTGATGAGCTATTAAAGATAACCACTAAGTGTTAATTGTAGGATTCAAATATTAGTTTAATAATTATGTATCTCTATATTTCATTTTTTAAAACCACTTTAAGGTCTTCTAGCATTTTTCTTTATTGCTGATTATAGTCGAACTTTATTAGGATTGGATGGAGGATTCAATATGGCTTCCTTATTGATTATTGAAGGATCTTCAATGTAAACATTAGCTTGTTTTTCATTTTGTATCATTTATTGTTCTTCCTAAATATTTATTAATAGAAGTTTACTTCATCTTCATTCAAAGCCACATTTAAGACTTCTTAGATCTTTTATGAAGGTTCAAGAGAGAAATCTTCAGTCATTCTTTAAGGTAGATCTAGATCAGTCTGTAAAATGTTTTCTGGTCGATACCTAGGGTTAGCATCTCCAAAATTGATTGCCATTCTCGAAAAATTACAAATGGGTCTTTTAAAGATAAATGCAGATGCTGGTTTTTTTAATGGATTCGCTTCAAACTCCTTAAGAACCCAATCATCTTATTCTTCTGAAAATTCTAATTTTTCTCTTAATCTCTTTTCTAAATTTATAGTATTAATCAAATACCTTCATCTTCTGGGATGAAATGCTCAATTATAAGATTCATTAGATTTAACTGTCTCAGAGATTCTCTATTATCTTCTATTAATTCTTCTTTTTATCTCTATCTAAATTAAGTCTATTCTTAAGCCTAACTTTTTAATTCTTTAATTTTTTAGATTAGATTATTTAATTTTTATGTTTTGGCTTCAATTTCTTCTTTAGTTGAATTATATTTCTATTCTTATTCCATTTGCATGGCTTCTTTCTTTGCTAATTCTTCAGCTTGTCTTCTGGCTTATTAAGATCTCTCTTCTAATTCCATTCTTGCTTTCAATAGGTCCTTTTCTTTTTATCTTGTTTCCTCTTTCATTTTATCTCCATGCAATAGTTACTCTTAAAGTTCCTAAAGCTTCTTTTGCATGTTTTCTTGTTCTTTTTTGAGATTATGTTCCAATTTCTATTTCTCTTTTAATTTCAATTATAATTGTTTTTTTTCTTCTTCTTACAATGTACTTTATCTTCTTTATTGCATAATCTATTATTCTAAATCAGCCTTTTCCTTTTAGGCCTTCTATTACAATTCAGTCAATTCTTCGTCATCCTCAACTTCAATAACTTATTCTTTGATTTTTTAAATTTATCCATTTGGTCCAATAACTCCTCCAGCTTTTCTGGCTAATTCATCCTTTAATTTATTAATTTGTTCTTGGAATTCTCTAATCATGGCATCTTTAGGATCTTCATTAATTTTTGGATTGTTTTGAATTTTCTTGGCTCTACTGGCATATCTGAGAGTGGACATTGTTTCATCAAAATTATAATCAGCTGGACCAATATTTGCAACCATGACAGTTTTTGTATTACCTCCCAAAGAATCTTATAAAAGACGAGTCAATTTGGAATCTCTGTATGGAATATGTTGACTTTTTCCATCAACCAAAGCTGTGATGACATTACCAAGGGTTGTTAAACTCAAGTTAATATTAATAGCTTCTTCAAATCTAACACCAACAGCTTGTGTCTTTGATTGTCTTTCACTACCTGCTAAATCAACAAGGTTCAACTTTCCTGATTTAATATGTTATTATTGATCTGCTCCAATTTCACTTGATTCAATTGTAAGTGTGAATATTGAGTGGGATCTAGAGGATTCTTAATTCATTTTAGTTTCACCAACCTTTCTATTGGCTCTACCAGCCTTTAACCATTCATTCAATTCAGCCACAGATTTTACAACTATTTTAGAGAGGTCCTTAACAAAGATACCTTATTCAGGCTTTTCTCTTAATTCTAATTTTGTGAGATGATTTGGACTCAACAAATCTCTGATTTCCTCATTATAGAGTTCTAAATAGGAACATCTAACTAAGAATTGTATATTAGGTGTGCCTTCGATAACTTTGATGATGTGATCAAAAGTCCTGGGAGTGATACCTCTTTCATGAGGAGGATCATTCTTTCCTTCCATAGTATGTGTTTTTCCGGTACCAGTTTAACCATAAGCAAAGACTGTCCCATTATAACTATGATACATTTTTGAGTTACCCATCCATGACACTTTCAACAATTGGCAAAGCTGTATTATGGTAAACTTGTTCTTGTTGTGAATTCAAATCAAAAACTTCATCGAAAACAAATGTTCTTTATGCTTCATTACCGTCTCCTTTTATATTTTAAATAATAATTTCTTTTCTTGTTGTATCAACTTCAATAATTTTCCTTCTGCCTTCTTCTATCTTAAAATAACCGATTTATCATACTTCTTTACTTGACAATGGTCTTGCTCTCACAACCACCTTTACACATTCTTTTCTTTTCATATTATTTATATTAAATAATGTTATCAAGTTTAGAAATAACTATAATATATGTCTTTGTCAAATTCATTATTACGTATATAGAAGTTTAATGACTAATATTTACCATTACCAACTTTATTGTTTCACTAAGAAAAACACTTAAAACAAGGTGAAAATTTATAAAAGAAATTAATTTGATAAATTTTTTTATCATCTTAAAATAAATTGATTATACGATTCCCAAAATGATAATGCATTTAATCAATTTTAAATAAGTGTATTATGATTGTATGTTCAAAGTTGCTTCAATGAAAAATAGGAAATGTATAGGATTTAATTTGATATTGCTTTTTTGCGATTCGATGATCATACATCTGAACCTAACTCCAATCTCAACGAATCCTTCAAGAGGGACATGTGTAATTCATTGAAAATCAGTTCTATTGAGGATTCCAGGATATGTTTTATCTAATGAGATTGCGAGGCCAAAGTTCGAAGAACAACTGCTTAAAATTCATGTGTTGCGTTTTCATTGGCTGATTTTAAAGGAATTTGGATTTTTTTTTATTGAAATTTTAATTAAAACAAAAGTATTGAATCTCAATTTAAATAAGAAAATACATTAGCTTAAAACAAATGACAGATAAAAAGGTATATATATAAATTAATAATTTGTTTAGGAAGCTCCACCAAAAAGACCCCAATGTGCCTTCTTTATTTACAAATAGGAGGTGTACTAATAAGTCAAGGATGCTCATCCCGGCAAGAAAATGACCGATATCACCAAGATCATCTCTGAATAGTACAAACAACTTCCTAAGGATAAAATTGATTAATACGAATAAAAATACAAAGACAGCAAGGCTATATTTGAAAAAGAAAAGAAGTTCTCATTTATATATATATTTTTATAGAGCCTATGAGGATAAATTCGGAAAAATTAAGAATGAGAGAAAGAAGAAGAAGGAAGATGGCAAGGTAACCAAAAAGGCTCCAAAGAAATAAAAGAAATAAGAGTCAGATGAAGATGAAAGTGGATCAGACGATGATTGAAAATTCATATTTAATATAAATAATTATTTTTATTATTTATGGGAGGATCTAAATCTAAATCCACAAAGAAACATGCAAAAGTGGCATTCACAGATTACGAACTAAAAGTCCTTGAAGTATACTGAAATGCCATGATTGTATGTGAGTAAACTATTCTAATCAAAATGAAACGGATTTCTGAGATAGAAATCAATGCTTCCAGAATTCCCTGAGAATCCAGACTACTCTGTTAAATTGAATAACAGGATGAGAGAAAGATGTAAAAATTAATAAACTGATTATACCAATTTTGTCATCACATGTAATATTATAAATTTATTTCTTAAGTGGAACTCTTGCTTAAAGAATAACAAGAATATTATCTAAGTGATTACAAGTTTTAGAGTTCTAGAGAAATTTGAGTTGTTTGCCTTGATTAGTTTGGGTTGTCTTGAAAATTCAAAGGAATCAATCAATAGATATTTGCTAATTTCTATTCTAGGTTCACTGCGAGTTATTCTCAAGGAAGCATTTTTATCAAAGAACGATTAAATATGTTCCATTACAATAAAGAAATAAAAAATAGTTAAAGAAATGATTTAGCGGCAACAAGTGTTGCTAATTCTATTTTTGAATAAAAATCCTATATTCCATTCAACTAATTTATAGCTTTAGTAAAATAACAATTGATTTATGCAAATAAGATGTGCAAATAATATTTTACTACGAAATTTATTGATCCTTATTTGAAATTCGAAATTCCTTCATTAACTTCCTCTAGTGTTATATTAAATGATTAAGCACTTGCTTTATTGCAAATGAGTTCTCCTGATTTCAATAGGACTAGCTAATTAGATTTGAAATTTTCATCCTCAGGCACAAATGATTTGGAATACATTACTGAAATCATTATAGACTCATTATTATTCCTATTTAGAAACAGAGAACACGAATCATAAAATGATACATTTTAATAATAAGTATTTTGAGCATACATTAGTATCGATGAAGCAATTGTAATTCATTTCATAAGGAAGAGGGAGAAGGATCCTATGGGTATGTATTTTCTAATATAATAGAAATCTTGTACAATTAGATATCTCTCTATTTTAGAAAGTTCTCTATTCTCATTGTTGCCCAAATATCAATTATTTATGAGTACATTTGATGTCCAATCTAAATAATGCTTTACTTACATTAACAAAAGAGTATTCAATCTTAAAGTAGATTCACCATATGGACTTGGATTTGGAGGTGATGGCAATGATAACTTTAGGATTTGGATTGATGAAAAAGTGAATGGAAATGCAACAAATAGAATAAACAATAAATGCGATTAAACATACGAAATGAGATATTTATTAGAGCCTCATATAGAATTTCTAATTGTAAAGCAATTGATTATATCAATAGTTGTCATCATTTGAAATTTGGGAAATTAATTATGAGAATAAACATAAGAAAAGATGAATTCTGCCATCTATTTTATTCACAGTATTCTAGCATCATATAAACCCTATTTATTGTATATGTTTGAATAAAAATAATTAAATAGAGTAATTTTTCTTTCATTTCTTTAATTTATAAAATTCGAACATATTATTATTTTGTTTATTACATCAATGAACAAGAACAATATACTTGAATTTTAATAATTATCTTAAACAATTCGCTAACAGATTCACTAAAACTACTTTTTTGGGAGAAAACCGCTTAATTATCACGATAAGTCATTTTATCGCTACATGTCTCAAGAGTAAAGTTAAGACGAAAACGATGAATTTATGCAAAAAGAATTTAATCTTACATGCTTGGCAGTGGATTCTGTTGAAAAAAAAGCAGAATTCCAGTTTAGACTTAAGTTTTCTTTAAGAAACAAAGATAATTGTACGACTTTTCTATTAATTTATTATTTTAGATTATTTAATAGGTTCTCTTGAATACCTTAAATATTTGAATGAACAAAAGGAAGAAAAGAAACTTAAAGTATGTGATGCATATAATTAATTTCTCAGTTCATTTCATTTTGAAATCAGGCTTCCTTAAGTAATTGATGATTTGCAAATAACAAAATTAAAAGAAAATTTTAGCAATCCTTATCCTGCGTTCAGATTTAAAAAAAAAATAATCGAACAAAATGAAAATTATATTTGTCTAAAAGATATATCAGAACAGAACTTTTCAACATACGTAATCTCATTTATTTATTTAGTAATTTTTGATATACGCAGTTCCAATTCAAAATATTAGTTATTTTGCTCTAGAATTAGATTCTTAGATAACATATTTTTTTGTTAAAAGTTATAAAGATAAGGATAAACCTATTTGGCTTAATAAAAACGGAGAATAAGAATTAACATTTGTTGTTGGAGTTGAAGATTAATAGACTATAAATAAAAATCTTTTTCAATTCATTTTGTTAGATGAACATGACAAGAATTAGATTGACGAATATAAGAATACTAAAGCAATATTATAAGAGTATGAAGACAATCTTAAAAAATTAACTAACTCTATAAGAATTAAAATTTCTTCATTCCACTTTGATATTATTGTCCATCACAATACTTTAAATTAATATGCTTTAAAATAGGGTAGTGATTCAAACTACGAAGGCATTATTGATAAAATGGACTATTAAATTGAAATATATGAAATAATTTTGTAACAATTATCGTTTGAGAATGGTTAATGGAAATTCAAAAATGAACAAAAAGAGCTGAAATTTTAAAATAATAAGCCTATAGAGCAGAAATTCTACAAAATGGTCGACCGTTATGAATCTTTTTATTTAAAAACTCAGGAAACTGCTCTTATAAGCTGCCCAAGTACAAATATAAAATTCTCTTTCAACCCAGTTTTGGAAAAGAAAAATAAGGATTAATAATGATTTTTTATAAATAAATCAATATTCATATATGTTTTAATCGATGAAATCATATTTTGAAATTGCCTTGCTATTTTTGCCTAATGGGGTGTGTAATTTCATCTCAATAACAAAGTCAGCCTATGAAATTGCTAATATAGTTCAATCTAAATTTCTACCAGAATATTAATCAGTGATGGATGCCTAAAATTATTAAACTAATAATCCTTTATTATATTCCTAATTATTCTAAGGGTCTTTGAATCTAGAAACTATAAAAAGAAAATCAGTCACATTATAGTAGACTTGCTAAAAGAACATTTAAAAGTTCTTATCTAATTATCAATTCAATTTAGAATTAAATATACCAAAAATTCGTGATGAATTTTATTCTAAAAATTTAAATTGTTGCATTATAGACCTAAATGTAATTTCAGCAAACTTACCTCATTATCTTGAGACTGCTGAGTTGAGATAATTCAATGAAGAATAATTAAATTAAACAATTAATCAACTCTCTAAACTTTTTATGGAATATGTTGAGGGATAATTCCATTCAGAATCCATTATCAACGAGTTTAAACAAAATTTCTAAGATATAGTTAGGGATGTTTATAGATCAATTATTTAGGTTGCTAAAAAATAACATAAGGAGATTTATGATAAATTAATCAAAAAAATAAAATTATTTTACAAAAATTATTTAAACAATTCTGCTTTAGATGGTGCTTGTACAACAATTAAAGAGAACAATATCCCTTTATTTTAAATTAAGAAATTTATTCATAATTTTTTTGCTTAAAATCTGAGCTATTTTAATGATGAATTAGAAGACTTCTTCAAGTTTTAATTATCTCATGTTGTGATTTTGAGGTATGTTTGCAAAATAATCGACCATTCATTATTTCAATTGAAGTCTTCTCTTCAAATCTTTATGAAACAAGATGGGATGCAAGAGGCACTTTACTTAAAAACTTAACACCTTTTCTATCAATATTTTGAGAAAAAAGACTTCCTCTTAATAACAAATAAAAAAATTGCTGCTAAATTGTTTTACTTATTTTTATAAATTGATTTATAATCAAAAGAATTCGGAACCATATTAGATATACTCTCTTAGTATGCTGAGATTACAAAAAATGATTGCTCATAATATGGAAGCGAACCTTTAATCGAATTCAGGAAAGCATATCAAAATGAAATTGAATCAGCTAATAATTTTTGGTAAAAGGCAATTACTGAATAATAAAATTTAGAGGCAATTTTTGATTTATTTATTCTTTTAAGTGGAACTCAATTTTTTAATGGTTAATTACTGTTTTAAGAGTACTTATCAGCCAACAAAAATATTATGATGAAGTTAATTAATTTAATGAATGATGGATATTATGGATATTTTAACTGTAAACTAATCAAATTAATGGAGAAAAGAGTCGGAGAAATTAGGAATTAAATATTTGATCAACTTGAAAAGTAGAAATATAATGTGAGATTGTCAGTAGTAATTTAAGATAACAGATTTCTTATCTCAATCTTTGATACTAATCAATAAAGCCAAGAATAAGTATTTAATAGGAATCAAATGTATTTTAGTATCAAAAATTCACTTATTGATAATTAAATTAATTAACTTTACGGCTTATTGGTTTAAACATAAAGAAATTATTTAAGTAAAATAAGTATTCCAGAAAGGATACATTTTGAAAGTCTCTAATCTAAATTAGAGCATTCATCTGTAGTCACTCTCTTTATTTCAGGATTTACTGATTTGAAAGTATAGAAGAGAATCTTAGAAGGATTAAAAGATTAAAATCTTATAGTTTTGAATTGGAATAATCAAAAAGAAGACAATGGTGTAGGAGAGAATCTAAGCAAGTTTGTTAAAGAATTTATTTCAAATTCTCCTTTGGAAATAGTAGTGAATCTATTAAAAGCCTACGCCAATGCTTCATTTGAAAAATCTTGTTAAGAAGCCAAGCGTGTAGGAAAATACTTAGCATATTTATTAATTAAAAACAAAATCTTCGGTGATTGCTAAATAAACATCATAGCTCATTCCGTGGGATCATTAGTAATGTATGAAATGATGAAAGAACTGGACAACATGTAAAATACAAATCTTATTATTAATGAAATATTGATATTAGGAGGAATAGTAGATGTAAGGAAGCTTCAAAAACGAAGATGGAATCAAGTTGAAGGCAGGATTTGCAATGTGTTTACTAAAAATGATTTGGTGTTGAAGTTAATGTACAATACATTTAGATTTCAAGATATATTCTGTGGTAAATAGATTAAATATGATTAGGTTTGAATGAAGTGAAATAAGGATTCAGAAGAATTGAGAATTTTAATATGAGTAATTTAATATAAGGACATGATGATTATGGGGTGCATATATAGAATATATTAATCCAAACAGACTTTTAGTAATATTTAAGATTTTTATACGAATGATTTAATATTTATTTGATAATATTGAAGAAATTTTTGTGAGATTATCATTATATAAATAATTTAATATTGAATCAAACTTAGAAGGATTTTAAGTCATCTGCAACTGTTAATTCAAACCCAGTATTGGCTCTGACCCACTCGAGTGTAGTATCACTTGCAATTTCAGTTAATACTAATTGTCCATCTCTTTTAACAAAGACAGCCTTGTCTGTAATGACTTAGCTAACTTTATTCATTCCTGTTGCTGGGTATTGTAAGTCTTTAACAAATTTGACTTCTCCTTTGGCAGTGTGTTCCATCACAACAAGTACTTTTGATCCTGATGCAACCAAATCCATGGCTCCTCCCATTCCTTTAACCATTTTTCCAGGAATGACCCAATTAGCGATATCACCCTGTTTAGTAATTTGCATAGCTCCCAAAACAGTCATATCCAAGTGTCCTCCTCTGATGATACCAAAGGATTCACTGCTTTCAAAGGTAGTGGCTCCTGGATTGAGAGTGCATGATTCTTTTCCTGCATTTTAGAGATCTCCTAATTCTTGTCCCAATTTAGGATAGGGTCCAACTCCAATAGCTCCAATTTCTGTGTGGAAGTGGATGGTCATGCTTTTATCAAGGAAGGCTGGAATAAGGGTGGGAATTCCAATACCCAAGTTTACATACATTCCATCTTTGAATTCTTAGGCTGCTCTTTTGGCAATTCTATTTCTGGTTTGATTCAATTTTCCTTATGGTTTGATATCTAAACAATATTATCAAATTATATACCCTTGTGCTTGTCATATACACTCTAGTCATAAACAAGTCTTTCAACTGTTTTTAAGTAATTATTTCCTTGATAGAGATAATCAACATAAATTCCATTGACGTGGGCCTCATCGAAACCAAAACTGCCTACTGGCACAATTGTATCGACTTCAGCAATAACCACCTTAGCTGCTTTCACCATATCTTAATTGAAGTTTCTGGCTGTTCCTACAAACTTGAGATTACCATTGGTATCAGCCATGTTTGCTTTGATAATGGCGTAGTCTCCCCAAATAGAGTCTTCTCTGATGTATTTCTTTCCATTAAAGTATTCGACCTAAAATAAAAACATTGTCATACCGGTTTTGGTTTAGATTCAATTTCTACACGATCACCTCCTTTGTGGTATTTAATAGGAATGCCTCCCTTTTCAACAACTGTGTCTGTACCAGTGTGTGTGTAAAATGCAGGAATACCAGCACCTGCAGCTCTCAACTTCTCAGCCAAGGTGCCTTATGGTACTAATTCCAATTCCAATGTGCCATCAAAGTATTATCTATTGTTAGGATATTATATATTACCTGGCTAGATTGTGATTCTCTCCTGCATATGATGCGATCACTCTCTTCAATTGTCCATTATTCAAAAGCAATCCTAATCCCAAATCGGTTGTTCCGCAATTGTTACTTACTACAGTCAAATTCTTAGTTCCAGCCTCCTTCAAAGCGTTGATGCTGCATTCAGGAATACCGCATAATCCGAATCCACCAACAAGCACAGTAGATCCTGCGGGAATCTGTTTGATGACACTTAAGTCCTTTATTATGCGCACATAATATCTGCCTACATGAGTGAGAGAGGATATTGGCTTTACGTACATGAATTTTGAATTTTTATTATAATAAGTTCAAGATATTTTCAAGAGGATATGAATAATCATTATAATACGTAATATATTTATGGCAAAATATCTTTTTATAAAATATATAATAATTATTATAAAAATTATAATAATTTATTAAATTTATTTAATTGTTGCTAATTATTAAATATAAAATTATTTAATGTGGTAATGCTTATTGTTATGAGATTTAAAATAACTATTTCATTATTGTCATTTCTTAGTGAAGTTTTTGAAAATAAATCGCTAATGGTCCATTTCATGTTTTAATCTAAATATAAAAATAAAAGATGGCTTACTTAAATGCTATTTTAAGGTTAAATTATGCGTTTTATATTAACTTTCTTTATGATATTGATTCTAGATTCTTTTATTAAAGATAATAGTAAGATTACAATTAATAGGCATATTTATAATCATTCTCATATCTGTATAAAACTATTTCACAGTAGTCTCTAAACTCTCAGAAGTCATTTTGTAAACTTCATATGATTCGAAGGTTAGAAACAAACATGGATAACTCTATCTTTCAATGAAAAAATGGAGAAAGTGATAAAATATAAATAAAATATAATAGCTAATTTATTTACAAAAAATTATAAAAAAAATTGCACTGTACGAGACTCGAACTCGTGTCACAAGGATGGCAACCTTGTATACTACCCTTATACTAACAGTGCTTGATACTGTTTCCAGGTATTCTATCTATAAAAATAGGAATATGCATTATTGATTGACAATTTGATATTGCAGCTGTGATTATAAAGTACTATAATAGACATAAGAATATCTACTACAAAAAGTTTCATAGTAAATTTAATAAAATGTATCTTATTTTGTTATCACTTTGGAGTGGAGACCAATTCCGATTAGTATACTAATTAAAATCGATCCATAGAGGGCATTTGTAAGATAATTAAAAAAGAAGAGCAAAATAATTTGATATTTTTATTAATGAGTTTGAATTCTTTAGAAAATTACAGAGTTGAATTGGTTGCATGAATGGAAAAGATTGATGAATCTTATGATTAAGCGATCAAATATGAAAATTTATGGAGTAAGTGTATTGAAACTCAAGATGAGTGAGTTTTGTATGATAAAATAATTAAAAATTGAATTTGTTTTAGCAACATAAATATTTAAAATTTGATATCTTGAAATGACTGAGAATACTACGGCAACAAATGTTAACTGGGCAGAAATCTCAGATGATGAAGATTAAGTTTAACCTGTTGTTGAGAAGACTCCAGATTAAGAAACTTAGCCAACTGCTCAACAATCCGAATAAAATAAGGAGTTAAAGAAATAAGCAAAAAAGCCTTATCATAATAAAAATAAACCAGAATGGGTCAGATTGAAAGAGTTATAGAAGAAATAAGCAGAGTAAATATAAAAAGAGCAATAAGCAGCATTGGAGGCAAGAAGAATTAAACCTAGTGTAATGATGCAATGTTATTTTTAGAAAAACAATTTTCAAGGTCTAATGTACAATAGTGACGATGAAAATGAATAATAAGAATAATAGGAGTAGAAAACTTAAGAGGATTCTACCACATAATAAGTACAAGAATAACAAGTAGAGGAAAAGCAAGAATAAGTAGACTAATATCAAAGTAATGTATTGTTGATAATGCGAAGTATTGAAATAAAAGCAGTTGTAGGAAGAAGATAAATAGTAATAGTCAAAAAAAAAGGAATAAAAAAAGAAAGAGACAGAAGATCTAGATGCAATATTAAATGAATTAGGTTTTACGTAAAAAGGGGATTCTAAGGAAGAAGCAGTTCAAGAAAAAAAGAAGAAAAAGAAAAATAAAAATAAAGAATCAGTACCTACAGAAAAATAACCAGAACTGCCTTAGTAGTAACAATAATATTACTAATAATAAACTGAATAAACAAATAACAACGAGAAGGCTGACATAAAAAAGGTTTTAGCAGAAAAAGCAAAAAAGCATTAAACAGGCACACATTAAGTGGATAAAGTATAATCAAAAATATAGTATAGGACTTAGAGAGAGTGAAACAAGAAATTGAAAAGAGAAACTAGAAATCGAAAAAGAACAAGAAATAAGATTTAGATCTTTGAAGGAGTTTCTGAGATATATATACATTAAATATATTTATCTTTTATTGTTTAATTAACGAATAATTGCGATGCATTTAGAGAAACATGCAAAAGCACTCATAGATTACTAATATAGTTCAGATGATGATGAGATTGGAGATTATAAAAAGAAAGCTATGAAATATAGAAATGAATTCAATGAAACAGATGAATAAGTTCGAAGATTGAAAAAAGAAAACTTGCACAATGTAAATCATATTTATGAATATGAATATAGAAATAAACCATTACTGAATTATTAGCAGATTTAGAAGTACATCAAAAGAGAATTATTTTGTTAGAGTAGGAACTATTAAATCAAAAGAAATTAGCATAAGATTCTCAAGATCAACTTAAGAGAGCCAAAGTCAAGAAATAAGAAGATAGAATCTTGAAGGAATAGAAAAAATTTCAAGAGAAATTCGCTTTGTAAACAAATGATGCTCTTGAGAAATTAAGATAACATTTTGACTAGACCTTGCAACAACTAACACCTAAACCTGATAACAAATGAATGTAGTTCTATTGATATATTATATCATGATAATTCAAAATGATTCCTTCTTAAATCATTAGCTTAAAATTTATTAAGAACATTTGGTTTTCCATCCAAAGGTCTGTGGATATCATGTGATTATGATATTAAATCTCCTTCGTTTTGTCCTAGTGTAAAATGATGCGACCTATCTCAATAACTATTGAAAATACTTCAGATTAGCACTAACTAGAGGATCTAATTTATTAGGAGATCCTTATTATTTATTGAGAGTCGCCATCTATGTAGTCATAAACGTATTCCTACCACTATCGTCATTAAATCCGAAATGAGATGATTTTAAGTCTTTTAAAAGCTTTTCAGATAATTGAGCAGCCTTTCCAGATGGATTTTTGAAACTGAAAAATCATAAATTTATAAAAAATTACTTGCATTACGTCTCTGATGTATATTGTATATTCTCAGTTCCAACTTTGAAATTGGACCCCCTGTCCAACTATTAATCACGGGGGAGAGAATTCGATAATTTTTAAGGAGGTTTCATTGTACTTGTATAGTAAGTTTCTGTCTTATGATTCATAAATCTTGGATCTCCAATTGTAAAATGACTTCCTTGAAGTGCTGATGTATTATTTACTAAATTGACTTTATTTTCTGAGTAAGGCCTATAATGAGACATAGTTTCTGATAAATATGGCTAACTATCTTATCCAAAAAGGAAATGAGTTGCTAATAAGAATGCCATTTTGTTTTACCTCTCAAATTTTATCTATTTTCTTCAGTGAAAGGATTTGATTATACTTCTTATCTCTAGAAATATTCTTAATTAATTGTTTAATATTCAGGATTAGCTGTTCCTAAACTAATATGCGTTGTCTAAAACCCTGCTTTAAAGGATGCAGAGGGTCCTCCCTCTTTTCTATTGTAGTATTCTTGTTAGGCAGTAACCATAGGAAGTTTCTAATTAGTTTAAATTGACTTATTACTTCTTTCCCAAGAAAAATATTTGAAACTCTTATTTACCTAGCTTTTTCAGCCAGGTCTTATTTTGGTTCTAATTATTGAGGTTAATATTGTTCATAGTAATTAGTCTACATCATTTTATGAGAGGTTTCTGCGAATTTGTGATGATGTGATATCATCTTATTCTTTTGGACTCATGATATTCAATTAAGATTACTTTCTTATTCATTTTATAATCCAGGCTATAATGGCTTTTCGTTATACGCCGCCCTATTAATAGTAACTTTATGAATTTCTTGATTGCCAAGGACAAAATGGTTAGTTCTTAAATCATTTTTCTATTCTTGATTCAGGGCAGCAGGTTTTCCAGGTTACTTTCCCTGAAAATCAGTTTTAAAAATGGTATTGTATGATGCTTTAATCTTGGTGGATATACAAATTACATTTGGATTCACCCAGATTAAAATGAACTCCTTTCAAATTTAATTTATCACCAACTTCACTTGCTTGATTATTTGTTTAATCTCCTTGAAAATTCATTTTCATAATAGATGCGAATTGATTCTCTAAAGAAACTCTAAAATCCTTTACTTTAATCCGTTTGCCCTAATTGAAAATGGCTGCTTCTCAACTGTTGCATTTATATAAATTAAAATATTCATTTATTTTTGGAATCCTTCGTTCGTCCATTCAGAATGTTTAATAATTTAAGCAATGAAAGCGCAAATTCTATTTATTAAATAGTATGATAAATGGAGTTAAATTTATTATATATATATATTTGAAAAAGTAATTCTAGTTATATAAGTTCTTAATTGTGTTAATAAAATAAATTAATACTCATTGCTTAATTGGATCATTCATGCTGTGTTGAGGTTAAGCTTTAAAGCGATATCTTCCATTCGGCTATAATTTTCCTGATATCAAGTGGTTTTCTAAGAATTCTCGAGCTTCTTCTCCAAAAAAAATGTGATTCTGTATTTTGATTTAATCAGTCTCATTTGCATTTTCTTTGATTTTATTTCGACATTCAATTCTGACTCTATGAAACATTTCTGGATCCCCATTAAATGTTTTCATCATAGTTTTGAGCATCCTTCTATAAAAAAGCAAAGTCCCTTTATAAATATTACTCATTAAATTTATTAATAAAGAATTATGTAAAAAAAGAAAAACAAGGAAAAATATGAAAAACATTAGTAAATGATGAAGGATAAATAATAACAGAGATAAACAAAAAAGTCACTAAAAAAACAGAGAGGATAAGCTCGTTCACTCAAAGGTATGATAAATAAAGGATAGTCGTATAGGATATGCTAAACATTTTTAAGAGTTTTAAGATGAAATGAATTAATTAGGACTCTAAATAAGAGATGTTGAAGGGGATGGAAATTGCCTTTTTAGATCAATAGCAGATGTATTACATGGAGATGAAAGATATCATAAATAATTAAGAAAGTTAGCTGTTTAAACCATGCAAGAGAATTAGGAATTCTTTGGACTCTTCATTGAAGATGATATGACGTTCAATTAATACTTGAAAGAGATGTCTAATGATGGAGAATGGGGAGGTAATTTGGAATTGCAAGCTTTGTCATAGGCTTTGGATGTGAACTTTTTTATTCACATGAAAGGGAGACCATGCATGATTATCAAATCAATGACTGATGAAAGACCTTTAAATGAAGTAAAATTTTGATCATACAATTATTAGAAAGACGCACTTCATTTAGCTTATCATTTAATTGAAAATGTTGCTGAGCACTACAGTTCAGTTAGAATGTTAGGAGATGATAGCAATAGGAGAGCGGAACCAATTCCTTTGGATATATTTGAAGGGTTATTGGATACTTTTTAATAAGCTCCTTTAGGAAATGATGATAACTTTGAGTAATACGAAGACTTAGAATAATTTGAGGATCCTGAAGAAAGAGAGTATTTTTAGGCCTTAAGAGAGTAAGAAGAAGCTGAAAAGGCTGCAAAAGAGGCTTAGAGAAAAGCAGAACTTCAAAAATATTAATTGAAATAGAAAAAAAATAAGAAGTGCAATTGTGGCTCAAATAAAACATATAAAGACTGTTGTATGAATATTGACTTAGAGAAAGCAGAGAAATAGAAATAACCAAAACAATAATAGCAATAATAATAATAATAATAATAATAATAATAGCAATAACAATAACAATAACAATAACAATCTTATTCAGAAGGGCCCATGAAAAAATAAGCTGTGTTTATATGATAATTTATTATATTAATTACTATTCATGAATTATTGTATTAAAAAAATAGCTGTAAAAAATGATGAACATACATCTCTACCACAAATATATAATCACAGATCATTAAGCTTAAATAAAGAGAGTACGAGCTCCAAGGATGTTAACCGCTACAAGTACTTTTCTTTCGTACATTCAAATCAAAAATCGTAGGATAGGTATTTATAGAAGCCTTTGCATATGAGAAATATATAGAGAAAAAACTAAATGCTGAAATTGCAGTTAAAACGAGTATCTAATATAATAGAACAAGGTTTCACCACCTCGTTTGTAGTATGAAACTTTAGAAGAGATATATTTTATTAGGTACAAAAAAATGACATGATCCTTATATTAATTTTTTGCTATTTTATTCACTTCTTCTTTTTGCTTTTCTTCTTCTTCTTGGGTTTTCTCTTTTTTGTTAGCGATTTTAACTTATCAGTAAGGGGTTTGGATATTTGATCTGAAATTTCAATAAAGAAGATGGATTTATTTTTTTCGATTAATGGAATTATTTTGGTGGCATCTAAATTATAAATATCGATATATACCTTCATCGCTAAGTAAATTAAATTTAAGATCATAATATCCTAATGTTTTATTTAATTCGAAGGTAGAAAGAATTTTATTTATTAAGGTTAAATCGCTTGGATCAGAATGAAATTGGTTGTCTGCTAACTTAATTCTTTCTAAAGTATTATTGATTTCCAATGCTCTAAATAATTCATATGCTCCTTCATTTTTTAGTCGATTTCCACACAATTTTAATTTATATAACTTGCTATTAACATTCGCCAATATATCCTATAGATATTTGGCCCCATCAGCCTCTATGCCACAATAATTCAATGCCAGACTTTCCAAAGTGTTGTTCATAGCCAACCCTTTAGTCAACTCAGCCAATCCTTCTGAACCAATTTGATTGTGATCCAATTTCAGTTTTACTAATTTACTTTCACACTTCGGATGGAGTATGTCTGCTAAGAATTTGCATCCTACAATAATGGAATCTGCTTAATACCTAAAACACCTATTTAATTATCTAAAAGGTCTAACACTTCAAGCAATCGAACTTTATCAATATATAAGCATATTGTTCTGACTCCTTCATCTTAGCATTTCACTCTCCATAATCTTAACTATTTTAGATGTTTATAGCCTATTTCAGTAAATGATTCCATCATTGCTCTAACACCAACAGGTCCCATTTCTTCCCACAGTTTTACATTTTATAAATGTTCTCCTTCTGAACATACAGCTTCCAATCTTTCCTTAAATATTTTGCACAGAGGAACTCCATTAATTTCACATCGTTTCCGATATAATTTATTTAATTGCTCTGTTGAGAAATCCTCCACCTGATCTCCCTTTTTCTTTTTATCTCCCATTTAATATAAAAATTAATGCTAAATTTTTCTATTTTAATTTTCTGGATTACTTTCGGATTTCATTAGTACACCATTTCGCTGTCGATTATAAGCAATTACCATTAAAAGGGAATAAAAGTGGACAATTTTCAATCAATTTTAGGGATTGGATGTATATAAAGGAAGCTATAATTGTATATGTGATTGCAAAATCTAGTTTACATTAATAATACACTAATTAGAGGGTCCTTTTATTTGCAATTTAGCCGATCTTCGTAAAGATTTTGATCAGTAAATTAGTTAACTCACAATTTTATTAAAAATAATGATAAATAGTAAGATAAATAACCTAGGAATTTTAAACTAATTTAAATAAGTCAAAAACTATTCGTTATTTTTGTAATCATAAGTGTTGGCAAAGAAAAACTTCTGATCCAAAGAAGTTTGTGATTACTTATTTGAACATAGAAATAATTCCAGTTAATTTATTTTTTCTGGGTCATTAGAAAAATACATTTATTTAGTAGATTATCACAATTTATTAAGAGAGGTTATAAAAATAGTTATGATATTTTAGAATATTCTTGATTAATAATATTATTTAATTTAATAAAAATAATGAATATAATATGATTTATTTATAAATAATTTGAAAATGTTGGTTTTCTAATTTGCTTATTAGTTTATAAAAATTAAAACATTTTATAGTATAACAGTTGAGGAGATTAAATTGTATGGAATGAAATTTAAGCAATTCATAATGTTTAATTGTATTTTAGTTAAATAAATAATGGAAATTAAGTATAAATGGATATTTTCTCTGATCCTTAGCACAAACGTTCTTATAAATTTAGACCATGGTATCATTCCTGCAGGTAATTCGATTAAAATATAATTTTCTTAGCCACTTAATAAATAGAGGCATCTCTGAATTTGAGTGCTGAGGAATTAGGATACTTGGGGTCACTGGTTTATGCAGGTATTTCGTTGGTTGGGTTATTTGGGGGGAAGCTATTCATACATTTTAACGCTAAGCTGATAGTCTCAATTAGTTACATAGGAATGTTGGGTTCTCTGTTGATGTTTCCTCAACATTACAAGAGCAGTTGGCTGTTTTATTTGAGTAGATTTTTAACAGGCTGTGCATAAGTATGAATTGGTGATATATTGTATAGGCACCAATGATGATTTATTTCCCAGTATGGGTGGACAACTTTGGAGGAGAATCTAAGACAATCTGGTTAACAATTTTGTAGGGAGTGATTCCTTTGGGAATATTTGTCGGATACGTGTTGTCAAGTGTGATTTCGAATATATGGACCTGGCAATTAGCCTTTTATGCTTAAGTTGCATTGTTAATTCCATGTGCAATATTTTTTATTTTGTTTGTGAGAACAAAGGATTTCGAGATAAAAAGAGCTAGAAGGAGCAAAATTGATAAAAAGTCTGTGAACCCTGATGATGTAGGTGCTTCTATGTTGAGTGTGAGTTCTCATAAATCATATTGGCACATGATGGGAGAATTGTATTCTATAAAATTATGGTTGTGTTGTACAATAGTGATCAGCATATTATATTTCATAGTAACAGGGATACAATTTTGGATGACTGATTATATGATAATAGAGATGCATCAAAATCAGAAAACAGTTAATATAGTTTTTGCAGTAGTTTCAATTACAGCTCCAGTCTTTGGTTGTATAACAGGAGGATTGATAGCTTAGAAATTGGGAGGCTATGAGAGAACTAAGTCACTTTACATTTGTGTAATCTACTGTTTTATTTGTTGTCTGAGTGCTGCTCCGGTGCCTTTTACAGAAATATTTTGGTTCGGAGCATTATGTGTTTGGTTCCTCTTGTTTTTCGGTGGAGCAATAGTTCCCCCATTGATGGGAATCATGCTTTCTTCAGTTCCTAAACACTTGAAGGCTTTTGCAAATTCGAACACAACAATGTTTTAGAATTTATTTGGCTTTTTACCAGCACCTTCCATTTATGGATTTCTCTTGGAAAGATATAATGCAAAAGTGGCTATTTTTACATTGATGTACTACTCGTTTTTTGGGTTACTGTTCATGTTTCTTGCTGTTTATGTCAAGAAATAAGAAATTAAAAATAGAAAAAACAATCCCACTTCAGTTATTAATAGAACAGAATCAGTACTTGAAGATGAAGAAAACTTCAATATTACAGATAGAGTACTTCAATATGGCGATATGCCGTTGAGTGTTTCATTGGCTTAACATATTGATGATCAAATACCAAATTACGAATACGAAGGCACTAAAGAATAAGAATAAGAATGAGAATTGTCATACATCAAATTTGAATACCAATCTCATATATATTATTGATTTATATATCCTAATATTAATAATATTCCAAACTTTTTCTGGTTCACAAAGTGCAGAAAATTATTTTAATAATTAGTCAATATATGTCAAGTGTTCCTTCAGAGTTAGAGATTAAAAATGGTTTAAATGAAGAGGAGAGGTTATAGCTTCATCTCAGCATACAAAATTTGTTACTCAAGGACATCCAACTGATATTACTAATCTGAGGATAGTGTTTAGGGATCACCAAAATTACTAGAAACTTAAATATCATTTAGAAATTCACTTAATAGCCATAGTCTGACTTCACTTCCATATTGTCTGGGGAGAATTAATTTGATATTTTGATTCAATTTAAAATTAAATTCATTAGTAGCTTTACGCTAATTCTCTAGTTACAAACTTATTTGGGACTTACAATAAATTATTTAATAGATATATATTATTTTAAGAGAAAGCAGATTTCATATACAAATTAGGAATCGTTTGGAAACATCCTTATTAATTATCTATAATAAGAAAAGTCTCTTAGAAATTACTTGAATTAATGATTCATATATATTCATTTGTTTCACTCCAATATCTTGTTCAAATTGTAATAAGCAATTCTTAAATTTTTCTCTTATCCCAAAATTGCCTAAAACACTTGATCATCCTTTAATTTCTACTCATCTCCTTCTTTTTTTCTTGTTTCCAAATAATCTATGGATTACTGGATATCTTTTTCATATTTCTTTAATAACGGTTTCCATTTTTAGTCAAATATCTTATGAAGATCTGCCTTTTTCAAATTCTATAAATAGTTATAGAAATTTTTACCAATTATTAAATTAATAGTGTTGCTGAATCAAACAATAAAACTTTGGCATCAATATTTCCTACTTCTTTCCTAAATATAGCTGAAATCAGTATGTCATAATTTCTGATTAAAATTTAATTGTCTAATTATGAATAGGCACTTCTAATATCATTAACTAAATGTGATAGCAAGACATAATTTTGAGATTTATTTATACACTATTCCACTATTCTTGTCCAAACTTCAGGGATGAATGAATTTTGGGCTTATTTCCAAGCTGAAATGTAAGGCTTTTCATCAGTCAAACCAGATCCTGCTTTCTCCATTATTAACAGGAGTATAATATCAAATGGAGTAGTGAAATGGTTGGCTGATTTCAATTTTGTTGAACCATCTCGTAAATTTAAATACTTGACTATTAATTCTATCAACTTGCCTTAAATATCACATTTAAAAGCTGTTAATTTTTTTTATTCATATAACACTCCGATTAAGATTTTCAACTTATAATCTACTGTCAATATCGACTCCAAACTACTGTTTGTCAACAATTCCTTGGTTAAATAACAAACAAATGCAGGATTGTATGTTTATTCATTTGTATAATGTTAGTATTATTGAGGCAATTCTTGATCAAATTAAATGCTGAATCTGATCCAATTTATATAGTTTTCTATTATCTCCAATTTATTATCATGAATCTCATAAACCATTTAATTTGCTTGTGTGATAAGAGATTGAATAACCTCTGGATCTAATTGAGAGTCCTTCATTGATTACTCAGCCTCTAGAACCCCTTGTATTAAATCGGATAGAAATAACAAAATATAGTGTTTGACAACTAACTTAGGATCTTCAGGTTTTCTGCTTAACTAATTATCAAAGTAATCATATTTAGAATCAATGCCATATAATTCTCGTATGGCTACAGATTAAGTTTTGATTTCAGGAAACTTCTTAATTGAATCGAAAATTCTTTTAAAGAATGAGACAGTCCAATTTTGAAAATTGGCCATATACAATTTAGTGAACTTATTGTCTTCATTCAAGTCATTTTGAATTTGCTATTATTTATATTTCAAATATTTCTGCAATCCTTCATTGATTACAATCAATATTACAGGGAATATGACTGCCAAATGAATTTCCCTTTTCTCTATTTTTGGAAGTATTTACACAAATATTTCTAGAAGAACAAATTTCTTTTCAACTGTTTTTTGTTATCGTAGGATGCTAATAAATATCAATAGATATTTTACTCATTCAAAAAGATAATAAGAACTTTATGATTTTCAGAATGGTATACACGTTTAATGATGTATAATCCTAATAGATTTTCATCTGTATTATCTTTGTGAAATAGGATCTTATCCCAGCTTAGTTGATACAATAGTTGATAGACTCCTCTGTTTGATAGATAAAGGGCAAATTTGATGAATAATTCTACATGGGAATTGAAACACGAATCATCGATTTTCTCTATTTATTAATTTACTTAAAGAATTTATTCAGGAGTCAAAGTGCTTTTCTTTTGTATTTTTGTAGTCAGAGTAGACAACTATTCTACAAATTGCTCTTCTGTGATTTCCTTTTTGTTGAATTACTCAAAAAACTCCATTAAATTATTATAATTAATCAAATTTATCAAATGGCTGGATTACGATGCAAATATGGCAAAGTATTGGGATCTCGAGGCATTTTTTCATTTTTAATTACTGAAATGACAGGTCCTGGGATAGATTGCTCTTGCAAAGTTTTTTTGGCCTCTCTTTCCAATATTTTTCGAATAGAAGAATTAGAATGGATGTTGGATAGATTCTACCAATAAATGGCAATTGTATTACTTTATATTGATTAAGGATCTCATCGGCTACATGTTTTGCAATGCGATCCTCTAATGAAGCTTTTTGATCTCCATTTGTAGTTGTCTTCTCCCAATCCTATTTGCCTTATTCAATTTACTCTTATCTCTTTCTCAATTAATTTATGGAATCTACTCAATTGAACTTTTACTTTAAGTTTTCTCTGAATGTACTGATCTAGCCTCGTCATTCTTTCCCAGAGACTGACTAATCTTGTCATACATATCTGGTTCTCTTTATTCCTATTTCTTCTCCCCTTATTCTAATTTCTCCTTCCAATTTCCTTCCTTCTTTATATCAGAGACTCTTTATTGTAATGCTTTCAACATCACATTCACCTTGGATTTAATAAATACTATACTTCTAGGTCATTGATATATGAATCATAATCGAGATTCTCAACAAAATTGAGTAACTCATCCTCCTCCTATTTAATGTGCTCCTCTTCTTCCTTTGAATATTATGATAAAAATAACTTCTTTTGTCATGGCCCAGACTGGTTTGGTTTTGTATCTCTTCTTCTGATCTCCCTACTTAGTATCCAATTTATTATCAGTTTTCACTTCTTATTGTTTGATGGCATCTCTGTCTTCTAATTTCTTTAGGTTTTCGGCAGTCAATTACACTCTTGAAATTAAGATAACAGCCTCACGTTTTGCTTTTGGGACCATCATCTTGCAACTCTTTCTTGATGATATCATTGATTTATTTGTATTCTTCCTTCATCTTCTTTGTTATCTCCCTGTCTTTCTTGGCTAAATCTCTAACTCTTTGAAATTTTTCATCCTCACGAACTTATTACTCCTCTTTGGCATGTTTCTTGAGTTAGTTTTGCAATTTGAATTCTTCCAACCACTTCTTATGTCTTTCTAAAACAGGATTTATGGCAATCGGTAACGCTTTAGTCTCTTCGTATTTTTTTGTTAACCCCCATTAATCTTAAGGTTAAACCCTAGAACAGAAAGGTCTGAATAGCTTATTTAAAAGGAATACTTTTCTTTGATAACCATCACATTTTCATTCGGCCTGTTACAGAGCATCACTCCCTTGAAGTTATTTATTGGGACGTCCATTTTTATATATATAATGTAATTATTAAAACTTAATCAATTTTAACTCCTCTCCAATAGAAATTGAACCTATCATCTCTTTACAATTAGTACTGCATTAATTTCAATTATATAAGGGAATCGTATTCAAATACATATACGCAAAAATGTTATTCATATGCTTATAAATTCATTTAAATACAATCTAAAAGGCATTCTATACTATTTCATAAAACTTTTGAGCGTCTTAATCAATTGTGTCTAATCTAAATCCAATATTAGCTTAATTTCCAAATGGATGTTTGTCAATCATTTACTTCTTCTTTAGAATAAATTGTAAGATGGCTGCAACTTTGTCATTCAAGTAAATAGGCGCAAAAAACACAGGTAATATCGAGGATATATCTGTATTTTCATCAAAATGATCTTGTCTTGTAATTTGAGTAAAGATTTGGGACTTACCTTTTAAATAGATTTGATAAGCACAACCAGCCTATAATTGATAAGTTCTGCCTGAAATCCAAAATTGATTATTCTCTATAAATAAGAGTTTAGTTTATGCAATTTAGAATATTTGCATTGCAGATTCTTATAATGCTGAACAAAAATGTTCCCTATCCTTACATTAGATCAATCTATTAAAACATCTATAAAACAGATCTCTGTAATTTAATTCCTTTACCAAAGCCTCAAAATCCAAGATACTTTAAACTACTGATTTACTGAGCATATTTATTAATAATCCATAATATTGAGAATCTAAAAATAAGTTCTCTTAAATATTTTGTATCTAAAAATATAGATATAGTATACTTCTAATATTCCACATGGTTTTGAGCTGTTTCCCATAATTGGAAGTAAGAGAAAGTTCTTTCCAAAGACTTCATTGTTTTCTGTTATGTATAGCAATTCCTATTTTTTTGATGGGCTACGTATACCATAATCTTCAAATACTAATTAGCTAAAAATTCCATCTGTTAACAAAGCAACATGTTAAACTCCATTGCAATCATAAGTTTGAGCTCTACATGTCATTCCATCTATAATCCATAAATGCACAATTTCAGTTCCAAAGATGGGTCGAAATGCTTTGCTTACATGAATTTAAAAATCTTGAATATTCTTGTAACTGATCATAGTTATAAATTCATTCATAATTTAATTAATTTTTTCTGAGAAATCTCTTGCACTTATAAATTGAGCTAATTGAATTTACAATATAAGATACATGCAACCAGGTTAATGAGATCCTTTTTTTGTTGTGTGGAATCAAGTGTGACAACCTAGTTTGTAAAGACTTCTGGTCCATGTTCTATTAGATCTAACAAGAAATCACAATCATCGTTATCAAGATCATTCAATCTAAATTCTAGATTACTTGGTAATGAATTTGGATTGAAGGCATAGTTTATTATCTATTGGTTTTCGGTTACAATATCTTTCACACCAACTTTCTTGGTTTTCAAGGAATCTAATTTTTTTGTCAATCTATTATTTTATTAAAGTAGTTTTGAATTTAAATCTTTTAGTCTTTCATTTTCTTTCTCTTTTTTGACTAAGTCCCTTTTGAGTTACTCGTTGTCTCTGATCAACTCTGACAATGTGTTCCTGAGTTCTTCAGAATGAGACTATTTAGTGTATTTGAATTACATATAGATTTTTCTCCAACATCATCTCTATTCTCTTCTCTAGGAATTTGATTTTCTTATACTACTCTTCCACCAATTTTTTCTATTGCAATAAATCTCTGCATAGTTTATGTTAATCCTGTTGAGAGAGAGTTAATTGTTTTAGGTATCCCTCATTGTCCATTTTATAATGATTCTAAATTTGCTTACTTACTAATATACTTATTGGTCTTTTAATTTTTGTATTGTCTATTTCTACATCACACTCTCCATGGTCACATGGTCGAGTTGTTTGTTTTTTTAGTTTAATTCAATTTCAGTTTTGGAAATGCTCTTGAGTGTTTTGGCAATCTCTTGCAAACTATTTAGAATTCTAGTCTATTCGATTGAAGTGCTGGGCTTCAATGATTCTGCTAACTGCTCAATGTAATAGAGTCTATTCTCAAGAGCCTTTGTTCATAAGTGAATATAGTTAACATTATCATAACTAGATAGCGATTCCATTTTTCGAGATTGATTGAAAACCGTAGTTGTTCTTTCATCCGGCAATGTTTTTAGTGGTTGATCAGAAAACAGCCTTGGACTCTGAACCTGTTTCATACGAAAAGCACGATTAGTACTGCTCATTTTAATTAAAATGTTTTTATTTTATTGTTTTCATCTCGTCTCCTCTCAAATCCCATAAGGTTTTGTTCGCCTGAAGGACATTGACTCCACTATATTGCAGGAAATGCGATATGCATAATATCATAATTTTGTTGGTCGACCCATAAAGGGGTATTTACTTGAAGAGTGCGTCCTGACTATTGAGGCTGCGCAATAACTAGCAAAAAATCAAAGGGAAGCCATAAAATAGGGTTATTTGATTAAGGTTTGGGATTGCTATCGTCCTTAAAAGGCTGTTGATGATTTCTATTAATGGAGTTTGAATGATAATACGACAATGTAGGAAGAATTTTACCCTGGCGAACAAAAGGAACTTCTGTTTGATCACGGGTACATCGCCAAGAAGTCTGGACATAGTAGGGGATCGACGGTTGATTTGACATTAGTCCCGTATCATCCTGATAAACAAGAAGAATATAAACCAGGGGATTAGTTAATTCCATGTTTTCAAGATAACAGGTAGTGCGAATAACAACCATATTGTTAGGTTTAAAGACAACACCGTAGATATGGGGACGGGGTTCGATTGCTTTGATGTGAAAGCCCATACTTATTGTGGTGATTTGACGATCGAATAGAGAAATAATAGAGATCAACTATTAACATTGATGTAGAATTTTTCAAATTATATTGACGAATGGTGGCACTTCACTTTAATAAACGAACCATACAAAAATACATATTTTGATTTCGACATTAAAGATTGACAATTTTTGTTTAAATATTTTTCAATTTTCTTTCTTATGATCCAACTTATTCTCTCTATTATCGTAAATATTCTTATATCGACCCGACGAGAAAATGCCCAATCCCACCTTCACCATAAATATTGTCCAATAGATGTGCATACCAAACAGCAACACCATTAGACCAATTTGATTGTAATAGGCATGCTTTGTTTATTCCCTGAAGTATATTTAAAAGTTTTACCAATATGGCAAGAATTACGGATGGTTGACCAAACAATCATAAATCTTAATTGGGAACACGTAAACCCTTGTGTACAACCAAGATACTTATATTGATGAGAATCCAAGGTAGACTAAGATCTTAGTTTTACCAAGATCCGCATAAGCTCTGCCTAAGGCCAAGAATATGTCACTGATGTCGTGGAGTATCAGTACAACAATCCCAATACTCTCGCAGTTGTACATTGTTGAAAAGTAAAGTAAACTAACAGCAAGAGAGTGGTGTAATAAATATTCCCAATACTTCAGTTCTATTTTCGTACCATAAACCATTAGTAACAACAATGCATGAACATGACTTGAGGCTTAGACCATATAATAGATTGGAACCCAAGGGTTCTAATTAAATTCTAACGTAATATTTGTACTTCAGGAATGTTAGGAAAATCATATAAAGTCTCCTTAAAATTAGATCCTCCAAATTCCTTGGGGAACCACTTTTCATCTCGAAAAGTGAAGAATGCAAAGAGAGTTGCACTTGAGTAATATACTGTGTCGTAAATCCATTTCACTATTTTTTGTACTCTAATCTATCGATCAGCTCCTATATATTTTGAATCTAGCTATCTTTCCACATAACCTGTCACAGCCTTCTTATTTATTTCTTTTGTAATCTATTGATAAGTAGCACTAGTACATGTATCAAAATCAATCCAACAAATAGCCATTTAAGATCTCTGCAATCAAATCTTCTGAAGTTCTTCTCTTACAGGAATTGCTGAAACTATATGATATCATAACTATAAAGGGTAATAACAACTAAATAAGTTGATTGATTAACAAATACTTAAGACGAGAAAGAACACAAATTTGAAGATGGTTTCATAATGTGCAAATTTGACTAACTTTTTCAAAGTGATCTTTTGTTACCCTTCATTTATTAAACGTTGAGTATAAGAGGACTTTTAAAGCATTATTTGTATTTTTATGAATAAATCAAGATAAAAATAAATCCTAAGAATACTCAAATTATTCCATTCAGAATTTCCTTAAATAAAAATATTGAATTAACACCGATTTCCTTTTAGAATATTTATATATGAAATTTATTTTAATATTAGTCTTCACTTTTGGCCTGAATGCCCTAATGTTCAGAGGTGTGAATGATAAATTAACAGAGCATGTGATACAGGTAATTGAACCGCATTATTTAAGTAAATACGCGAATAAGTAAAAAATCCATTGAGCCAAAATTACCACTCAGCATATGATAGATTGGCTTATTACGTTGATACATTTGGTCCTAGATTATGGGGATCGGAGAATATGGCAGATGCAGTTGACGCTCTCTATAAGGATATTCAGACAATGGGATTTGACAGAACTTGGAAAGAAAATCTGGGAGAGATTACATCTTGGAAGAGAGGAGAAGAAAGTGTCACATTATTTGATCCAAGAGAAATACCTCAGAAATTGAATATGATTGGATTGGGATGGACCCCTGCTGGAAGTGTAAAGGCTGAAGTGGAAGTAGTTCATTCAATTGAGGAATTGAAATCGAAGGATGTGAGAGGAAAGATTGTATGTTACAATTTTGAATGGAATGGGTACGATTCTGGTGTGGCATTCAGATATGCAGGACCTGTAGAAGCAGAAAAGGCAGGAGCAATCGGTACAATGATCAGAAGTGTGGCTAGTGTATCAATTGCATCACCACATACAGTATATATTTTGTTAGAATTTCAAGGGAATGACGGATTATAACAATATCAAATATCCAGCAGTTGCAATTACTGTTGAGGATGCAGATATGCTAGACAGGATGAGAAAAAGAGGCTAAAAAGTAGTAGTGGAAATCAAAACAGAAGGATAGTAATATAAAACAACTAGTGATAACGTCATTGCAGAAATCAAGGGATCGACATATCCAGATGAGATCTTGTTAATGGGTGGTCATTGGGATTCATGGGATGTTGGATCATAAACAGGAGCCAATGATGACGGTGGTGGTGTTATTGTCTGTTTAGAGGCATTAAGAGTCTTAAATACATTGGGAATTAGACCAAAGAGAACATTAAGATTCATTGCTTGGAGTGGTGAAGAGATGGGCTAGTACAACAATGGAGCAGTCCATTACGCTCTTAATCACGGCAAAGAAAATCATATAATTGCATTCGAATCTGATTTAGGATCAACCAAACCATATGGATTTGGTATCACAGCTGGATAGCAATTTACGTAATTTTATATCTACAAAACTATTAGACAATTAGTAACATATTTGGCTTAAGAATATTTAACCGGTATTGGAGCTGAACGCATCTTTCCAAATGATGGAGAAGCAGTAGATAGTGGAATTTTGGCTGAATTCACTGGAACTCCTCTGTTGAACAATCGAATAGCTGACAACAAAAATCATGACTTCTATTTCACTTATCATCACACTGCTGGCGATTCTATGTGGATGATGGATCCAGAAGATATGGATGATAATGTAGTTGCCATTGCCAGTATCATGTATTTGATAGCTGATTATGATGGACCCATTCCAAAAGATTGAGTAAATTAAATATTGTTATTAAATGAAAATTATATTCCTCATAGTTTTGTTTGACATATCAAGTTTAATTAAATGCACACTTATATTAAAAATATTTTAGTGGTTTTTATTGAATTGCTAATATTCAAAGGATAGCTCTCCACTATTATTAATAAAATATGATCAATCAATATTTTTTCATTAAATCTTAGATTTATTCTAAGATATCATAAGCATGAGTACATTTTAGATAGATTTAGTTCTAAACTTATGTCAAATAATTATTAACTATTATGCACCTCAATAAAACGTTAAGAATTTTGGAATAAATAACAGTTCAGTGAAAACTATTTCTATCTTTTATAATTATAATTTCTTTTAGTTTAATAAACATATTACATATATCAAAGAATTATGGAATTATATGAACGTTTTCATAATTTTTAACTAAGCTAAATTGATATAATAATTGATATAAATTTATTTTTCATTCAAATTCTGGGTTGCATAATTTCATTAACAATTCTCTATCAGGTTTTAGAGTAACATTTAATTAAGTAGCTCTTTACTTAAACTTGGTGCACGGCTCAAAATTTTTGATATTTTAGATCTTTGGAAAATATTGATGTCCGATTTGTTCATCTTCTTCTAATTGAATCAATTCTCTAAACAAATTTTCTTTTTTTTTTTTATCTATCTCACAAACTTAAGTCTGAATGAGACAACCAACTGGTCTGTGATCAGAGACTTGAAAATTCCCTTAAATTCTATCATACCATTCAACTGAATGAATAGCTACCTTCTAAATCTTTTTGAGCAGAATCCTATCTGTAAAAGAAGGGACTCTTTTTTTGACTGTGTCATATATTTCAGTTCCTATGTCAAACTTATAAGTAGGTAAAAATTAAATATCAGCTTCATGAAACTATTTTAGGAATTAAGACTTTAATTTTTCTAAATGCAATTAATCATACTCTTTTAATACTTAGAAATGGATTACCTTTTAAGTGCTTCAAGATGGTTTCTTTCTATTCTTGGTTTTAAATACTTTGATAGTTAGAGATGCTGGCTACTACTTATTATTGAGATAGATTGATTCTGAAATTCATATCTCCAAATGTTATAACCCAATCGCATTAATTTAATTCAGCTCTATTGTGGATATAGTCAAATGCAGCCATCCTATCATCATTAGACTTTTGTCCTGCTGGCAGATGCACATTGACAAAACAGATGTTACTATCATAAAATCGCAATTTAATGATCTATGTATATATGTTATCTTTACCACTCCTCCTTTGTTGCCTAATGATTATCCAAATCCGTATTTGACAATTTCTGTTTTGACATTTGAAATGTGCAGTTTTTCATCATCTAACACAAAGACCAAAATGAAAGTCCCAACCATAACTTATTGAGCTGCTAAAACATACTTAGCTTTAGTATTCAGACAATTATATAAAATCTATTTCCAATTTTCAATGACATCTCTATTCTAACGACCAACCACAGTTAGAGTATTAAGTTTGACTAATTCTTGAAACCCTATAGCCACAATGTGAGGAGGAGTTTAGAATTGAAAGAGCTAACTATACAAAGATTTATCATTAGGTGAATGGGCATTGATATTCCAAGTTACAACATAAACACTCTTCTACAACAATTGCGTGTATTCATTTTCTCTCTTTTTCATGGTTCTTTCTAACATCATAATATTTTCATTGGCCTAACTCTCTGAAATCGGGAATCCAAGTACTCTGTGAATAACTTCTTTCAATTATTTCTCCTCAACCATGTTTTTATAAAATTGATTCAAATCACTATTCTATTATCCAACCTTATATATTAATCTTAATTGATCTCCATTTTCCATCCATCTCGATTTGAAATAGAGGAGGAAAGGATGTATATTGTGAATACTTGGGATGTCCAACTCAACGTAGAGATTCTAAGCATCGAATTCCTCCGAGATGTCAACTTTGAAAGCCTATAGGATTTTTTAAACTCCCATCATGGCAACTTTGGCCATCACAATATTAGTTTGATCCAAACAATCATAACAATTGATTCTCATGATATTTTGCTATCTATGTCCTAAGGTGGAGGAGTAATCAACCCATTCATTCAGTTTTTCTAGGAATTTATTGATACTATCCAAATCCTTATTGAGAAATGCTGACTTGAAATTGAATTTATAGATAGACATTTATTCTGACTCAGTTAGATATCTGTCTAGTTGATTTGAGAGCTATGAACCATCATCAACTAAATTGATGAAATGGATTTTGATAAAATTAGACAATAGAATTTGAAAGTGCTTATTCAATGCCTTTTTTGGATCTTCCTAACTCATTACAATTTAATTATTAAAGATATTGTATTACCAAAAGAGAGGAATGCTACCCCTACACAAAATCTACCTAGCCTTTTCATTGTTCAGGTAGATCAATTGCTCAGTCTCAGTGTAATTGGCAACATTACCTTCAGTGTCTATGCCAGTGTCATTCCGAATAGATCCTCCCTTATAAAAGGATCTTCGACTGACTAGACAATATTGGATTTGATTCAAATTTCTTAGGCTTATTTAGAAAATCCCAACATAGCCTTATATGATCTTCAATTGCCACTCAGGTGGAAACATTTTACAAAGATTACTGTTCCACCAAAATCGATTATGCTGATAATTTGATTGATTAGTCAAATCTATTCCATAACTAAAATAAAAAGAGTTGATGAATAGATTCTTCACCTTCTCTAACTAATCCTTCTCAAAAATGTCATGTTCTGGCTCTTAATGTTTCTAAAATAATTAACTGGAATACCTTGTCTACAAATCCCACCTTAGTAATCTGATAGATTGGCCATCCTTCCAATATCCCAATCATATCTGCATCCTCTATAAACAATAGCACAGGCTTTCCGCTTACTTCGAAAATGCCCAAAATACCAAAAATCTTTCTGGGTTGAAAACTCTAATCGAATTTTTCTTTACTTTCCCACATTTTCATGTTTCCTCTATCGATGATCAACTTGTTAGAAATTCTAGTTAATTGAAAGTCAGGGTCTATCTAGGGTTTCTTTAAATTTGTACAATCATCTTATTAGGAGTGAGGGTTAAACTCATTAGTGCTTGATTCATAATTATCTATATATTTATATATATATATTTTAACATCAACAATCTCTTCCTCAATAACTTTTATATAAGATTATTTCATTTATACCTAGATGATGATGAAGAATCTGATTGAGAATCTAGTGATGAACTAGGCTTTTATTTATTTCCAACCAGTGAGTTGTTAAAGTATCTAACAAATAACATTTTTTAATACTTGCTGCTTTGGATCAGTGCTTCTTCATTATCACTAACCACGATAAAATGACTTTGTATTAACTCTCTCAATGCTGATTTTGTTATTTTAACTCGTTTATCATTCTAGTATTACTGCTTTTCCGAGACTTTCTTATTATTTTCTTGTTTTTTAACTACTGTCTTTTAAACCTTGGGAACTGGAGTTTTCTATTCTCGTAACAGTTCCTTTGTTACTACGGACATCACTCCATTCACAGACATTACTCGTTTGCGTTTCCCATCAACTATTTTAGATTTGTCACTCACTTCTTTCATGTATGATATTATAATGAATCAAAATTTTGCTTCATTAATCGCTGATTAATGATAATCCCTTTTAGTGCACACACCAATAAATCATAAATTCACTTTAAAATTTATATTTTATTATATTATAGTTAATTCTCATGCTAAATCCTTCCATTTCAATGTCACTAGGCGTTTTCCAATTATTAATTTAAACCTATTTTGGAACTTCACTCTTTTTTCAACGACCCTAATCTTATTGATAAAGGTTCTGTTCAAAATCTCCAGAACTTCTTCTTCTCTCCAGAATATCCTAAAAATACTTTGCCATTTTTTAATCTTCATCAATGCAACCTCAATTTTGCCTTGAATAACTCACTTGCTAATTGTGATTAAATTGACTGGGATATCAATGCTAATCTCAAATTGGATTGCTTCAAACAAAAACAGAGTAGCATATAAGATTCTCATTTGAAAGTACATTCATTATATATTTAATTATTTAATGTTAATTAAAATAATTACAATTCATAAATTCACTAAGTTTTCTTGTCTTTTGCATTAACTTTATTCATATATTCATGTTTATCAATAGCATATTTTTTAGTATAATATTGAGCAATTGATTTATATCCAATTAGATCATTAGCCCTAAGTAAATTTGCTGCATCACAATTCAACGGGCTGTCTGGATTGGGTTCTTAGAGCATTAATCTAACTGCTCGAATGATACTTTCAATTGTCCATCGTGGCTCCCATTTTTGCGAGAGTACTTCTAAACACACTTCCCCTGTGTCCATATGAACATTAGGATGAAATATTCTTGTTTGAAAATGTAGTGTAGGGGCTGAGATTGGATAATTCTAGGGAATGGAAACTTTAATCTAGTTTCTTCAAGTGATATTACTTTAAAGATTCCATTCTCAAATGGAGAGTCTTCAGGACCGAATAAGTAGACAGACCAATTAAGTAGATCAGTCTCATTCACTTAGATAATCATAGTGGGGTCATTCAACTTTTATAGGTCATTTTGTTCCTTCATTAGTCTTGGTCTGCAAATCATCAATTTATATATTATTAATGGCAGATTTTAAGAAAACCAAAAAGCCTAATTTATCATCAATCAGTTTGAATGAAAAACCATCAATCATAAGATAGTAGAAATCTCCTAAGAACTATAAAAATGTCATTCGATCCGGAGAAGTAAGTTGAAAAAGAAGATTATGTGAAGATGGAAAAGAAATATAACGAATTGGTATAGAAAGTGCAAACATTATTCCTGGAGATAAACAATAGATATTACGTAAGTATTGAAACGCTAAAGAGGATGTTAATGACATCAATGAAAAATTGAATAGAAAATCAAATGAATTTGGTTATACTAGATTAGCTCCTCATAGATTAATTGAATTAATTAAAGAAATGCTCTCTACTTATGTTAAGTAACCAAGTTTCTGCTATTAATGAAAGGGGTATCATTTAGACAGAAGAAGAGGTTCAATCATATAAATTATGCAATTATAATAAATCATAGGATTATATGTGGTTATTGCACAAGAGCAAAATGGACATGAAAAAGATGATAAGAGAGAATAATAACCTAAATTATTGATCTAAAATTTGGAAATCAAAATTAGCAATAACAAGAAATAAATCGAATTACTCACTACATACACATAAAAAGCAATAGAGGAGACGAAGAGCGAATTCACATTTGCAATAGATTTATTAGCTGAGAGAGAGAACAGTTTAAATATTCTTAAGGATGCGATAAAGAGATAAACTGAACTCATAGCTACACAAAAATAACAGTTGATTTCTGTTCAAGTATTAGAACACAAAATGGGGCATTTAGGTGAAAAGTAAACAAAGAGAAACAAAAAATCAAATAAGATTATGATCAAGCTGTCAAACAGAAGGAATTGTATTTAATGCAATCTTTTTTTAGTTGGATTAGAGGGCAAAATAGAATATTGTAATTGGAATAAGAAGTTAAACAGTTGTAAATTGAGAAGAATATTATTGAGAGGGATTTCGCATAGAAGATTGAATTTTCATAGAAGAAGATAGACATCCAAAATTATCAAATAGCGGAAAAGATATCTCAAATATCAGATCTTTAAAGAAAACTTATAGATGTGCATCATAGCAACTATTTATAAGATGAAGCTAATCAATTAATCAACTAAATATTAAGGTTGATGTATATAATGTATGCATATATCACAACTTTAAGTATGAAATTAATAGTTTATGAAGTGGAGTTCTTTCAAAGGCTTTTATGTCATTCATCTATAGTATTTGTTGATTCAATAATTTTTGTCTAAGTCTTTCCAATTATTCTTTCATACATTGATTTAAAATTAATTAGCTAATTTTTAGATGCTCAAGAAGTTTTTTAAAGTTCTTTTTCTGAATTTAGTTTTTATTCATTCTTTCGTCCAAACTTTTATTCAGTAATGATCGATTTGATTCTTTTTCTCTGAAAGTGAATCTCATTCTGTTTAAATTCCACAATTATCTTTTTTCATAAATAGTCTCTTTTCTTTGAGATTCACTTTTGTTAACTAAATCCATGACCTCTTTCTCCTTCCTTGATTTTATAGTTCTATTTTGCATAATAATACGATATAAGTTGAAAAATTGCATCCTCAAAGGATCGGATTTACAATTCACATCCTTTCTCAACATATCTAATATAATTTTTTCTTTAACTTGCTGCAAATTTAATTATTTGAATGGTTATCTTTGACCCTAATAAGATGAATTTCGTCCTGATTATAAGATTTTTGAGCTTATTAATTTGATGTTAAGATTAGGGTTATCATTCTAACCAAGAGTTATGTAATGTTCTAGTTCTTAATTTTAAACTTCTTTATTATAGGAACTAAACCGCAATTCATTGACATAAGATTTGTGTCTTGAAACTAGTTCTTTCTGATTGTCTTCAAGTCTCAACATGATATTGGAGATCCTTTTCTTATTTTCATGACTTGTTCTAATCATTAATTCTCTTGTTCGACCATCTAAAAATTCCTAAAAATCTTTTGAAACCAAAATGATACTTGAACTTCAGGTATGTCATCAGTTTTGGGAACGGATTCCTGCAAATCTCCGAGCCAGACAGAATTATCTCTAGAAGCAGATGTTTATTTTCTTTTATTTTTCACCAACTGCACCCTTTATTAATGAATGTTCTTACTCATGCTCTTACTTTTTGATGTATTTCAATAGACTGTTGTTGGTTGCTGTTGAAGGCAGTTGAAGATCCTCTTGAAAATTGAGAGCATCATAAATTCTCTCCATATCCACACTTGGTTGTGTTTAGATTCTCAAATCGTTTTGCTTTTTGTTTCTTCTTGTTGTTTACTTACTTTACAATTATTCATACAAAGCTAAATATAATTTGAATCATATAATACGATCATTAGTTATATCAATGTTATAACTTCTTCTCATTAATAATAAATGAAATAAAATTATTATCGATAATAAAGAGGATCAGCTGGTGCAACATCCAAAATAGTGCCTCCCCTGTAACTCAAGAGACAGTAGAGCACCAATAAAATTGCTGCACAGCCATCCATGGGGAGTCATCTGAGAGAAATAATGAAATAGTAATTTGTACCAACAACTTCCACCAATAACATTTAAAACGAAATCATAAGATCACAAGAAACACAATTGCAGGAAGTGCCAGTTGAATTGCAAGACATTAAAATGTATCAAATTTTAAATGTTCTTGGACATGGAGCAACTGCTGAAGTAAAAATGGCAAGGCATAAGATGCTGGATTTTGTTGTTGCTATTAAGATATATGGAAGCAATGCCAATATTCAACTATTAGAGTAGGAAGTTCTAATTTTGCAATTACTATCACACCCCAACATAATTAAATTATATTACCAATTGAAAAGCACCCAAAACATTTATTTGATCTAAGAATACTTTTCGCCCATGACCTTAGACACCTATTTGAAAGGGAGAACAATCAAGAGGTTGAGTGAAGATCAAGCCAAAATTATCGGCAAACAATTAAAAAATGCAATTATATATTTACATAGTTAAAACATCATTCATAGAGATCTGAAATTAGAAAATATTCTAATAGACCCTTCAACCTTGAAAATCAAGTTGATTGATTTCGGATACTCCATTTAGACTGAGAAGGAACTGTCTATTTAATGTGGGACTCATTAGTATATGGCACCCGAATTGATTAAATAGCAGAACTATGATAACAAGGTTGATGTTTGGGCATGCGGAGTTATTCTGTTTAGATTGCTGACTGGGTTATTCCCATTTAAGGGCAATAATGATGCTGAATTGAACAAGAAGATTATCGCTGGCAAATTGGAGTTCCCATCTTTTATGAATGGAAGTTCAAAAGCACTGCTGCAAGGAATGCTTAATGTTAATAGTCAATAAAGGACTTTAATTGGTTCAGAATTTCTTTAATGACAATTTATTTAATTTATATTCAGTTATATGTTTCAAAATAAAATAGAGTAATCAAAAACAGCATTCTTTTGGGATGTATTCAAATGATTTCAAATTTAGATCCTATTGGGCACTTATTCCCCACAATTGCCACATCCCTCATTTAACGAAATAAATAAGACATCAGTCGACCAGCCACAATATCGCACTTTGAAAATGGATATTCCACGGACTCGTTCTCAATTACTACAACCTCAGATGCATGGCATTCTAGAAAAAATAATTGTTTTCTTTTGTTAATAGGAAAATATTAGTTACAAATAAGGAATGAATGAAATATTTGCTGTTGTAGCGGTCTTTAATGAAAGTGGACTTTCATGGGAAAAAGTCTATGAGTATGCTCGTAAAATCATACTCGATAACAACTTCTTTAAAGACGAAGAGTTCTTGTCATTGCAAGTTGCCTTCTAATGGATAAATTTGCTACTTAAATTTCACGATTTCTAATTGTATGATTATTTGGATAAAAATCTACTCTCCCCAGAACTCTATGCTACACCGTGGCTGCTAACTCTGTTCGCTAATAAAATGTCCTTGGAATGCACTTATCTGTTTTGGGAGATGCTCTACATCAAGAAGGATCAATTAATGATATATTACTTCGTGATTGCTGTTCTCATCTTCTTCAGAGAGAAATTGCTGTCCATTGATTCCTCACTCTTGCCATAAACCCTGAGTGGTATCTACATAGACAATGTTGAAATACTAAAGAACATCTATAAAAAGTAACCATTGTGTTTATAAATAGAGCAGTTGATTTAAAATTGAACACTCCTTCTTCTGCCTGCATTCCCACTAAGATATTTGATTTACCGAAGGAGGAACTTAAGATTCTTATGGATTACTATTAACAACTTGATTGTCTGACTCTTCATTACTCAGAATCATTAAAATTAGAGACTAACTATTGTAGATTATGCTCAAATAATGGATGCGTACAGTGTAGACTTGTGAGAATGCCTCCTGAAATGAAATGCTTCATCTATTCGAACAAACATCTATAAGAATTAGTTTAATACGTCGGAGGCCCCATTAAACAATATAAACTGGTAGAAAAGGTCTAGAATCAGTAAAATTTAATATAGATAATCAAATACTCTAAGTTCCAATCTGAATAACAAATTTAACAGAGTTATATCTGTTTTTAACAGTAATAATCATACTGTCAGAATACTGAGGAAGATACCACAAGCACAAGGTCTTAGAATAGTTTATACAGTTCTTAGATTATTGTTCCTTTTAAATTCAATAAATTACAATTACAATAGTAATTGCAAAAGTAGCCGGATGATTAATTTGATTCGATACGATCTCAGGAATAATCTAATAGGCAATAATCTGTATCATATAGATAATCATCCATTATTGAATGTAACATTTTACAGAATATTCATTTAAATAATACATCACCTGTGGAGATTCAACCACTCATTTTAAAGAAGGATTCCAGAGCGAATTCATTGAAATAAGATCCTATCAAAAGATATGAAAATAAAGGGTTATTTAAAAAGATGATTATGGATATCAATATGTTGAATAACATCAAATTTCACATTTTTAGATGCAAACTGATTGGTACCTAAAAATAAAGAATATTGATCTTAAATCAGGGATTCATCTGTTTAGTTAAAGAAGATAAACAAGTGTTTTCGAAATTACAAGGAATCTAATAATTGAAACCAAAGTTACCCCTAAAAACGGAGTAGTAGAATCAAGCAATCTAGATTTAATATCTGTATTACATGATATTCCTAAAACGAATCAGCAGCAAAAGACTCAATAGCAATGTGATCTCATTCTACTTCAAATAGCCAATTGTGAATGTAACTATTTGTTTAATCTTAGTCACAACAAAATATTAACAATCACTTTTTTAATCTTTTTAAGGAATTTCATATGAATGTAGATAATGATTATATAAATGAAGCAAAAAGAATGATTAAGACAGAATACAAAATAACTCTGGAGATGTTAACAACTCAAGAAGCTTAAAATTGTATAGAAATGGGTAAACAATATTACAAGCAATGCTAATTTTGATATATAAACCCATTTTCAATTTAATTTTACTCTCTTTTTCTCTTCTATTTCAAATTTTAATAAGTCACCATAATCTACTTCTTAATTGCTTTTGTTATCTCTCTATGGAGATTACTCCTTCGCTTGTTGTTTGGCTTAGTTCCTTTCGTCTTTAATCAATTTCTGAAACTTTTGAGAAGCCATTGGTTGTGGCCTATATTGTGCTTTGTCACTTCTATGCTATTGTAGTCTGATATCATTTTTCAAAAGAGTTTCGTGAAATTCTTTGTCAAATTGAGGCATCTCATTTTGCTAACAAGGCTTTGGGTCCTGCTTAAAGAATTCATGGTTCAAAGCTTGGGCTGCATTCAATCTTTTTGTGGGATCAAGTATCAACAATTACTCAATCAAATCTAAGGTAACTTAATCAATCTATTTATTCTAGATTTGACATAATTCCTTGATATGTTTAGTTAGTAATCTCTCGTAGTTTCTTCTAGGTTTGAATTCCTCCCATTGTCTTAAGTTGACGCAATTAGGCCAATTCTGTTCGTTAGCACTACCACACAATTCATAGATCTTTTCCATTTGGCGGTACTCAATGTCTCCTTTGAAAAGAACATCCCCAGTTATTAATTCTGTAAATATGCAGCCAAGACTCCACATATCAATCTAAGTGTTATAATTGGTTTATCCTAATAGGAGTTCTGGGGCTCTGTACCAAAGGGTCACAACCTTATAAGTGTATTTGGGATTGCTAACATTAGACAAAGTTCTGGCCAAACCAAAATCAGCCAATGTCACTTACCCTTTATTATTCATTAAAATATTCGCACATTTCAAATCTCTATGTATAATTTTACTCTCATGAAGATATTTAACACCCTCTAAGAGTTGTTTAAAGATGCATTTTAATTGAGGTAATGAGAATATATTTCGTTGTCTATGAAGACCAGCAAAATCATGATCGTAATAGTCAAAAACCAAGAAGGTTGAACCTCTGAAATTATTCCTATGAGATGCTTTGCTTACAATGATTTCCCTTAATCTTAGAATGTTTTTGTGATTCATTATTTTCAACAATTTGATTTCTCTTATGGCCGTTATAGGGAATCCTAAAGTATTGTGATAACCAATGATTACCTTCTGCCATAATTTTTTGATCCTTAGTATCAATTTTCTTCAAAGCCACAAAATCATTTGTTTTTAAACATTTCGCCTTATACACTTTTCCATAAGTTCCCGAACCTACTTCTGCAATCACTTTATAATATTTATTCACGTTTTTTGTTCGACAGGGCACTTGCATAAAGATAAAGAAATTAATATAAATTAAAATAGAGACTGCATTCCCAATTTAGATTCCTACTATAGTATCTCTCCACTTGACTGCATTTCCAGAACTTCCACTTGATATTCTTGTGTACATGAACATAACAGCATATTCTAGATTTTCTCATCATTTAAATTCATGTCAGCATGTATGGATATTGTGTGGTATAATATTATGTTATAATACAAAATGATTTAGACTTTCATTGTTTGTTCTTTATATTCGATACGACTTGATCGAATGGATTCTAAGACTATTATTGAGTTTGGACAGGTTATTGATATTGCTATTCGAATTACGGTTGTGGACTGCCAAACATTGATCTAATGAGGAAGTGCATTCCAAAAACACCTATTCCAACTCCTATAAAGGATGCAGCAAAATGTTTAATACTCATTCTGTTATTTTAATTAATAATATGTCTAATTCCCCTTTAACAAAAGTACCAACTTCTGCGCTGTCTCCCGTTTCGGCTTTGGCATTTAGAAAACCAGATCAAGTCCCTCAGGCACTATCCAAGTAAGCCATAGACTTGCAGAATACCTTGAATAAACTCAAGGAAGCCAAATAAAGGAAACAACAACTTTCAAATTCCAATATTGTGGTGTAATCCATAAGTAAGTTTTGATATGAACTCCAGCCAATCCAGTCAGCAGTCCTCAAAATATTAAACACACTGAAGAATCGGAACCTATGCAAATTTAATACAAATCCTTATTTAAGGATATCGAATCCCCCTAGGTGAGTCAACCAAAAACCTACAACAAAATGAATGATTAGGAGGCTGAATAGAAGTATGAGCAGAGAAAAAAATAAATAAAAGAATAAATAGACAGAACCAAATCGAACAGCAAAATATTATAGAAACCCAAATAAAAGCAAAAGAAGACTGTTGCGAAGTAAATTCAAAAAATCGATCTCTCCAAAAATTCCAATAAAAAATAGAAACAGGAATCTGTTCCTGAAGTTAAAACCATTGCACCACAAAAACCGAAAGAGGTCTTGCATGATCAATTGAAAGTTATGCAAAATAAACTCAAGCAAGACATAGCCAAACTTGATAAACAAATCAAAGGGGAAAACCAGACTTGTCTGTTCGAAATTAAGAATAAAGGACATGATTTGTATTAATAAGGGTTGCAAATGGAAGATAGAAAGTACCTACATTATTATAACTATTTAAGACAATTCAAATAAAAGATTCATGAGAGAGAAAAACAACAAAAGGAGATGTAAGAGTGCACATTCAAACCATAAATAAGTCAGCCCAAGACTTTAAACAATCAATCGCGATAAGTACAGTCAAGAATACAGTAAAATGAATCGAAACTATAACTCAAATGTTAAAGTCACAGGGATGGCTAGGTAACTTCCAAAAGGTTATCATGTTCTCCTTCTTAAGATCAAATCAATAGCACAACAATGACCTAAACGCTCAATAATACGAATGATATCCATTGTAATTTGAATATTCAATATTTTAGCTTACTTAAATAGAATTCAAGATAAATATTAACAAATAGTGAATAGAGCAAATGCTTTACAAATTAAAGGACTTTGACTATAATATATATATAAAGAAAATGAATCAACTAGTTATAAATTGATCTCATGTATTATATCGAGAAACTCATATATTATTTTTACTTTATTTTCAACATTTAAACAAATATGAGCAAATTACTTTTAAATGTTAAAAATTTTTATTTTTAGAAATAGGTATTAAAAAATTAGTGTTAATAGCAAGATTTTAACCGGCGCTCCTTTTGGATTAGAGCTTAAACCCAATGCTTTCGACCACTCGGCCGTATCAACTTTGTTAGATATATATTTTAAGAATTAAAATTATGAATTTAAAATAGCTTTGCATTAATTCATACAAGCCTCCAGCTTAATAGTAAAACTGGGCTTCAAGTCTATTTTTGAATCTCTATCGATGTAATTCATAATAGATCTCTCGTCATTTGCATAGGCTTAAAGCCAATAAAATAGTGAAGGGAGGCCAGAGCTATATTTTTGGAGAGGAGAAAGTAGGACTGGCTGTAGGAGTGAAGGGCTCTTGTTATAATGCTGGAGGAGATGTAGCACGGAGTGCCAGAAAATACGGGTTTGGTAGAGTGGTATTAAGCCAAAATGAGTTGAACATTAAGGAAACATCTTAAGTGATTTCAGGATTGATACAAGCCAACTACAAGTACAAGCTATTAGGAGATGCTGCGAAATAGAAATTGCAAAGTGATGAAAACAATGATAAATATAGTTATATATAAGAATTGCATGTTTAAGAAAATATATTTGAGGATCCTTACTTTTAGCAATTGATTCAACTTGCTCAAACCAAGTTGTATGCAAGAGATTTGGCAAATACAAGACAAGAAGGAACTCCCTAATATTTTGTGAATGAAGTAAAAACCCTCTTCAAAGATAACCCAAATGTTGAAATAAAAATTTTAGAAGGCAAATAATTACAAGAAAGTTAATTGAATCTCTTTTATGCAGTTGGATAAGGGTCAATTCATCCGCCTGCATTAATTAATTTGACCTATAGGGGAAATAAGGATTCTCAGCAATTGCATGCTTTAGTGGGTAAAGGCATTACATTTGACACTGGGGGTTTACATTTAAAATCGTATGGCCATATGGAGAAAATGTATCTCGATAAATCTGGAGCCTGCAATGTGCTGGCTGCTTTTAAGGGAGCTGTAGATATGAAGTTGAAAGTAAATGTTACAGTCACTTTGGGAATGGCTGAAAATGCAATCTCAAATACATCCTATAAGCCATCCTCAATTCTTAAAAGTCACAAGGGATTAACAGTAGAGATCAACAATACAGATGCAGAAGGACGTTTAGTGTTAGCTGATTGTCTAAGTTGGACTTAAGCTACCTATAGCCCTACTTCCATCTTAGAAATCTCAACATTAACAGGTGCTTGTAAGGCAGCCTTGGGAGAAAACACAGGAGGATTATTCAGCAATAATGATTATTTGTCACAAGAACTTTAAGAAATAGGAAAGGAGTTGCAAGAGCCTTTCTGGAGAATGCCTGTGACTGATGAACATAAGGACATGATGAAGAGTCAATTTGCAGATTTATGCAATTCTGGTTAGCCTAAGGTTTGTGGAGCCAGTAAGGCTGCAGCCTTTTTATTCAATTTTGTAGATGAAAAGGTATTGATTATCAGTATGATAGACTCCTTTTGCCCATCTTGATATTGCAGGGCCTAAGTATAGTAAGGCAGACAAGGGTATCCATCCTCCAGGAGCAACTGGATTTGGTACTTAGGTTCTTTTGAAATATCTGTTGAATAAGTAGGAGTGACATGTTAATTATCTATAGGGTATATTGGTAATATTTTTTATTTTTATTTATTTTCATTTGTTTCTATAGATCTCTTATTCAACTTGTCTTCTTTAGACTCTTTTGCCCAAATATTTTTCAAATTTCTCTTCGGTGACATCTTCAGCTTCGTAACCTGCAACGTTGTGAATGATTTCTTCAATATCCTCCTCAGTCAAATTGAATCTCAATTCATCGGATATTTTATGTAAATCTCCTTTATCTAAAGTTCCTTTTCCATCTACATCGATGAGTTTGAACAATTGGACTCTTCCCTTCTAATCGAATGGGTTACCCTAAGCAGTATTACTTAATAAGATTACTAATTTAGCTGTCAAATCTGAGATGAATGTTTCAAAATCAACTGCATCATCATAACTAGAGGCCAAATCATCAAGAGCATGTGCAATGATTGGAAATTTGTCAGTGAGACCAAGGGTCTTGGCTGTGACAAGAATATCCCTCACATCTGCTTTCTTTGTTCTGGGTTCAGCATAAAGAATGAACATTTCATAAAATTCTGCAATATGATCATATGTAAAGATGGGATGATTCTTAACCCATGGCTTAGCAAGTAATGCTTACTTATCTTTGAATAATTTGTCTATATACCCTTCTCTATCTAGTCTCTTCTGCTCATTAAAAATAATTAATAAAAGATATGTAAAATAACCCATAGCAAATTTATATTCAAAATGCCTCTTTCTTGTATTTTGTCAATGCGGCTGGAGTATAGGTCTAATCCAAAACGATGGGCAACCTCTGCACTAATTAAACTTGGAACCAATAAGTGCTTCATCCAATAATGAATGTTTTGCATAGATAAACTATCATTCAATCATATTCTCCATTACTCTATTCACATATTGTAATCACTTTCCTCTAAAAGAGATTAAATTATTTGTCCTTCATTAGTTCCAGCATTTCAGCAGAATTATTTGATTGCCTATCTTCATATTTGTTATACAATAATTATGAAACTCCTTATCAAAATACAGGATTGAATTATTAAGGTATTCTTATAATACAAATATAAACATAATATTTCATTCCTATTTTACTTTCTTAACAATGAATCCTACATATTCAACTTAATATTTATTGCTTTTTTTAATCTATATTTAAAATAGAATATTTAATTACTGCTTCATCAAATAATTGTTCAGCCTCCTCTTTTTCATATTCTGGATAAATTGATAAGAATTATGAAACTAAATTCTCCTTTACTTCGTTCATTCTTACTTCTTCCAACTAATTTGATTTGATATATGAATCAATGGACTTTTTCCATCCTTTCCATTCTTTCTTTGGTTCTTCAATTTCCTTTGAATTTTCTATCTCCTTCTATTTTTAGTTGTTCTGCTCTGCCTTAGCTGTATTTTACTGTTACTATTGAGGTTTTTTACCCTAAGGATATTTAGGAATTTAATACATTGGCATAAGGCCCCCAATACAATTGTTTTTCGGTCAAACAGGATACGTGCTCAACGTGGTTATCACTGAACATCTTCTTGCAATCGATGCAGATTAGGGAAGGAGGTTTTCTGCATTGGGTTTTGACATGTTTGTCGACTTAGGGTTTTGTTAAAGTACGATCACAGTGATAACACATAAAAGTCACCATTAATTAAATAGGGAAATAAAATTTATAAATATAATTATCAATTGTTCTGCCAATGAAAAGTTTCCGATCTGAAGAACCGATGAGTACTACTTCAAAAAATAAGGGATTCGTATTTGAAACAGGGAATTAAAGTACAACAAGAGTATATAAAAAAGTTTAATAGCATTAGAAATAGCATAAAATTCCATTTTAAATGAACTCATTGAACACTGAAGAGTGTGACAATGATACATACAGGAGTCAAGAAGCCTTTAAAAAGTTAAAAAATCTTGAATTTTAAAATGATTTATTTATGATGGAAATGCAACATGCATAAAGAAGAAAGGAAGCTGAATCCAATAGATTGAAGTTTCAATTATCTTCAATAAAATCAGACATTGATTTTATGAAAAGCTAATTATCATCTCCAGTTGCGAAAGCAAAACCAAAACAAAAACGATCTTAATCAATCGATAGTGAATTATCTTCTGATGGAAGTAGCAGTAGTAGTAGCAGTGATAATAGTTATGTAAAGTGTCCAATTAAGTTTAAACAATTCGAACCTATTTAAAAAGAGTAGGTCAAGATAGATAGGTATGAAATATGCTTAATTTAGTTATGAAACGATTGAGAATAGATTTAGAAAGTTGTTTCAAATAAGTGATGTAAATGAGAAGTTGAATTGGATGGTAAAGCAATACTTCAATTCTTTCCATTCAATTTAATTGGACTTATAGAACAATTTATTGCCCTTATTATTGGAGAATACTTTGAAATTGTTGATAGAGATAATCGAGAAACTGAACTCAATCAAATTGGATTCGTTGTAATTCAAATCGTACGATCCCTTCTCGAATGGGGATAAAAATAACAAACGATTTTCAAGTGATCTAGATGTTGAAGCCATCAATTAAGAGTATCTGTCTTAAGGGAATCATACTCTAACGGAGTACTGTTAAAAATTTAGTGAGTAACCTTAAAAGAATTAATTTTCGACTCCATAATACAAACAATAACAACCAGAATAGTAGTAATCGGCCAGACAACTATCAAATATGATGAAATCGAAGCCAGATTCGAGTTGCCAGACAAGCAACAATTAAACTCTGGACAAGAAGGTTAGTATAAGTGAAAGGAGTTAGAAGAAAACAAGTAATTGAGTCTATATCTTGTAGCTTAGAAGTGCTAGCTTATGCCTAGTTTAAAGAATAGACAAAAATGAGGAGTGAATTTGAATGTTTAATATTACTATAAATGTATATATAAATGAAGGGAGGGAGGAAGCATATTATATAATTATATAAATAATAAGAGAAGGAAAAAAGAAAATATTGAAAAGCCGATTTTAATACACATATCATTGCCCATCTCTTACTTTTATGTTGAGTTTTAGTATTTATTTAATAAATGAATGTTATCCAACAACAAATAAAGGTTTTCAATATATGATTCATCAATATCTTTGGTGATTCTAAAAATAAATTAGAATGTACCTGAAATTGTTGATAGTGACTATTATGCGAAATGTCATTGTTATTAGTATTATCTTGTTATTCAATATTTACTATTACTTGCTTTAAATTCCTTCATCACATCTTTCTGAATTTTCAAAATGAATTCGCTCATTCTTGGATTCTCCAGCAGAAGTTTCTCCAACAAGTCCTCTCTATTTTAAAAGGCCTGTTTCAAATCTATGACAATTGCCAATTTTTTAGTGGTCGTGAGACTGCCGTAAAATTCCTCTAAAGGCAAACCCATACTATATGTATTCGATGTTTTATAATTCACTTTCTCGATAGCATAAGGTACTGTAATAAAAAAACATATAATAAACAAATCATACATATTTTGTACGTGCTTATATTTGCTTGCGATTTCACTTTCAATTCTCTCCCCTAAAATTTGTAACCATTCAATGTCTCCACTGCAATATTGGCTGTAAATTCATCATAATACTCAGCCATACATGAGAATTTCACTTCTCCCTCTCGTCTATCAATTTAAGTTACTCTAATACTTTGGTGTCCACTCTGCCAATGGTCCAATGCTTGATAGCAACTATTCTACTTCTTCATTTTTAGCCAAACTTTGAATATTGCTTACGTGAATTTGATTTCCTTTTGGTGGCATATATTAAATTAATAAATGCACGATCAAGGTATGTGATTTATTGGAACTAGGCATTTCACAGCCCATACCCTCAAACCACCCTAGCCAATCTTTCGTAAGACAGTCTCGATAGACATATGTATTAATAAATCCCCAAATCTTAGAAAGCCCAGTTTCCCAGGACTAAAAAGAATAATTTTTCAAAGAATCCAAACTTACCATCTCATTTTCCTCTCCGCCGAATTCTGGTCGAGATAACTGCATTCCTGACGAAGAAGTAATATCGTACTTCATCCCAGACGACAATCACTCGCAAGCCAGCTACAAATAGGTACGCTTCATTGAACCTCAAGAAAAGTAATTTGATAACATAAGTAGAGTAGAACTACTAATACTATTGGGTATAAATACAGAAGGCAGAGGTCCATTCCCATCCCTGAAAAAGTTCAAGAAGATTTGATTGGAGAGTCCTCTTAACTCTCCCCTTACAACAAGAGTTAAATCCGTATTAAAGAACGGTAACATATGAATTAATCGACTAATTTATTACATGACAATGAAAATTAATTTGCCTTAAATGCCATCTAACTAGATAATAGTTTTGGCCTGAAAACTATCTCATCAAGCTAACAATCTGATCAAATCAGTCAATTGGCAGATGAACTAGTCACTTTAGTCAAAAATTACTTAAATGATATTTCATACCATGAAAGGCATTTTACTTTTGATGAACGAGAAATTGACTACAGAAATCGATAACAACTTTAACGCAGAGTACTTTAAGTAAACTTCACAATTATTAACTAGAAAGCCTTAGTAAACTTAAATCTTAAGTAAAATTTTTCAACTTCCTCTCCTATTTCCAAAAGATCCAATGTACAACATAGTCAAGATGATTTCAATATAGACTATTAGGAATTGCTATAAAAAATTGAGGATCTAACTGATTAAAATGATTTATTGAAGGATAAATTAGAAATTCAAGATTTGAAATTATTAGAACAATACGAAGAAGTTAAAGAACTCAAGATATAATTTGTGGATTTGGAATTGAAAAACAAGTCTCTATTAATTGATTTAGATTCTAAGGAGTAAGAAATCACTACTTTGAATGAGTAGTTGTTGCAATTGAAAAAATAATTAGATGACCAAATTAAAATTGGTTAAATGCAAACGTAAAAAATCTCATAATTGGAATAACAGTAAATGATTGAAAAACAATCGAATTCTTATTATTACACTTTGAAACCTAATACTAGTCTGAATAGATCATTTAAAAAGGAGAAAAAACATACAAATTCATTTCATGAAGTCTGTTCGTCCCCCAATGGAAAGAAAATTATGATTGTAAACAGTAGCACCAATAGTTCACAACAATCACCAAGGAATCTGTAAATTTCAAATAGCAAAACCCTCAATTTGGATGATACCACCTACTTTGGATCAGTTTACAACGAAAAAAGATAGGGATATGGGAATCTAAAGAAGGGAGATAAGAAATTATATATGGGTATTAATGATAAGTTAACAACAAGGATTCTGGAAGGATGACTCTTTCAATGGGTTTGGACATTTAAACAATGAGACTGTGGATTTTGGCATAATTGATTACAGAAACTTAGATTCAGTAGGAAATAAGTGGATTAGCTATCAAGGGGAGTTCTAGGATGGCTTGTTTCATGGTTATGGAATTTGGACATTTAGTGACAATTCTAGATTCCATGGAGTGTTCTAATTAGGCAAAGCTTGTGGTAGAGGGTACTATAAATTACATATCAATTAGTGCTTACTATACAAATATTAATACTATTTAGGGAATATGGAATAAAAATATTAAAATGTGATAATATATATTTATATCATATCATATCTTGATAAATGTGTGATAATTTTTATGACTGGTGGCTACATAACATTTCCAATCATCTTTTTTAAGTACATAACATTCTTCGCAGAAATAAAATCCAAAGCAATTTTCACATTTATAAACACTTCCAGATTTCTCCAATTCGCAACCTTAGCACTTATATGTTTTCTTTTGGTAATTCTAAACTTCATAAATGGGTTCAAAGCGATGATCAGCTTTATGTCTTTGTCCATTTAATTCTGATTGTGTTCTAGTGAAGAAACAATTTTAGCCTATGATAAGTAGAATAATTCATTACATAAACTAAAATTTGTACACTATTTACAAACAAATTACACTCCTAAAATGGGTTTTTGAAAGCATCCATTGCATTTTGCATCATGACAAGGTATGCCTTCAGCAAAAGTAGGTAGTTCAATCACTTTGAAATCGTGATCTTTATGAGCAGGGTCTCCAGTTATTAATAGATTGTCAAAGCAAGCCTCACAAAAATCATGATTATCACAAGTGACACATTCAAATCTCGCTCCCCAAATAGGATTCTAATCACAACCATTGCATTGGTGATATTGATGTAGCACTTCCTCGTCTGCTTTATTGGCCAAGAAGAACATTTCATTCTCGGTGAAGTCTCCATTACTAACTTTAATAAGTAATGATTACTGAAGATTCTTATTGTAACAATTCTAGCAGATGTCAAAATTGGCAATTTTTTTAGATTTATATCTACAAATTCCTGGTTGCAAAGAGATCCCACAGATATTGCAACTTATCTAGACCAACCACTTTTAAAAGGTTTCTCCCAATTGATTTCCAATAGAAAACCATCCATGTCTTAGATTATGATTTCTGGCGAAGATTTCCACTTTCTTAGATCCTGGCATCATCAATTCTATGATTTCGTATAACTCTATCGGTTTCTAGGATTTATTTCTAACAGGACTAAAGATGATGTTGTTTGATATCTTTGAGTGATATTCCACATGTTCACCTGGAGGACATTTATAACTAATGTAAATTACTATTTGTATACCCAACCAGACATATTTCAAATGAGTGCATAAAGTAATATCCTGTAGAAAGATAAACGTTATTGCCTTATGGATTCAATTTTACCCAAATAATTTGATCAACTATTTCATATCCCCACTTACTAGCCATTTCATAAGCAATATTGAGTTGAGTGTTGAGGATCCAAAGAAATAGGAATCCCTTCTTACTCAATTTCTCTATTTTAATATCCATAATCTCTTGATTGCTCATAGTGTTGTAATCTAAAGAGAATTTGCTATTCGTGAACATAAAAGAAGAATCATTCTATTAACCTCCCTTGATTCTCCAGGGTGGATCCATCAAAACAACTAAAACATCAAATTAATATAGCATACCATCGAAGCCACCCACTTTCTCTACTAAGAAGTCAATGTTAAAGTATCTAATATCACAATTAATATAAGATTTAATTTCTCCCAATTTTGATAGTATTTCTTAATTTTCAATTCCTAACAGTTTTAAATTACGTTTAGTTTCAAAATCTGTTGCATCTTCAGTCAATACTCTAAGAGGTTCATCATCCTATTTAGGTTCTTCTTCAAGTTGTTTGCCATCGCCTTCCTATCCAGTTGAGCATTCAGGTTAGGTTAGTTGTTTCAATTCTGCGGCAGTCACAGGAATATCTTACATTAAAAGTGATATGGTACCTTAAAATATCTTGACGTAGATGTTCTTGAATAGTTCTTTGACTAGGTTCTCTTGTTCGCTACCTGCGGAGAGGATTTATTTTTGTTCATATGATTTTTTAAAGATCTTGTTGACTCTCTTCAGAATGAGTCTGCTTTTGTATTGGGCTTCGTCGGAGGAGTCTTCAAGATCTATGTGTTTGTGAGTCCTGCGAAACTTTTTGGATTTCTTGTGTTTGATCTTGGGATCGAACTCAGAAGAGTTGTCGGATTCGAGAACCAATTATTCACAGGATATTGGTAATTATTTGATTTAAGTTGGTTCTTGGGTTTGGTACACCTCTTCTCTTGGCGGGGTCTGCAATTCAGTATTCTTCTTTTTACGAGGTTACTTATTCTGAGTGACGACTTTGGTGTGCTGAATTACAGGCATGGGTTGAAGTGCTGGGAGTAAAAAGATCTTGTTACCTTGAGTACCAGTTTACTTTCTCTCTCTCTTATTGTACACCAGATTATCAAGATTGATCTACTTTAATCCGGTCTTTTGTTTTTGAACATTTTTTTAGGTGTCGGAGGTCAGTTTGGCATCGCAACTCTTTTCTTGGTCAGTCATTAATTTTTAATTTTTTTATTCAATCCCCACATGGAAGCCATTATAAATATTTATAAATAAAATAAATGGATTCTGAAGACTATCATTTCAAGTTCCGCATCGTCATTTTAGGTACCAGTCTTATGTATGTTAAGGTGAGAAATCAGTTGGAAAATCGACCTTTTTAGATGGTAAATTAAATCATAAAATTTAAAGTATTGGCAATCACCTTCGGTAAGATAATAGAATAGGAAGCATCAGATGAATTGAATTTGAAGGTATCAACGTGATTTAAATACTCAAGACTGTCGGTTACATGGATGACGACACTCTCTACAAGATAGCCTATTGGGAGATCCCTGGCAAGCATCGTAGTCCTGATACCTTCTTCCGCTTCTGTCTGGGAGCCACAGCAGCCATCTATATGTTCGATGGTAATTGGAAACACTCATAAAACTAGTCTCAAAAAGATAAACATTTGAAAAGATAGAACATTGGATAACTGAAAATGAGAAAACCGAGATCCCAGTCAAAGTTCTCATTGGAAACAAGATCGATCTCTATGCCAGTAACAAAGGAGGTGTATCGAAGTCAGAAGCCATCGGTATGGCTCGTAAATACGGGATGGAATATTTTGAAGTTTGGTAAATTATATAAATTAACAATAGTTCGATTGGAGATACTTCAATCGCCCCAGTTTTTGATTATCTATTCTCTACTATCATAGGGTAGATTCCAAATCCACCCACTCCTTTGTCCTTGATGGGAAAAGGCATTCTGATTGGAAAACGGTTGCTCAATTCGTCTAAATATCAATTGGTAATGTTCGATTGTAACAGTAGGCACTTTGTGATATAGCATCACTTTATGAATGATATTAAAATAATTATGTATTGCGGTTTAAATAACTTGGGTAACACATGTTACATGAATTCTCTCCTTCAAACTCTCTTTATGACTCGCCAATTTAGAGAGGCTCTTTTTAAGTGGAAGTATGATGAAACGAAGCATCCAAAAAAAGAAGACTGCATTCCATATCAATTACAGTATCTGTTCACCAAGATGCAAGAAGGCTATGAGAATAGAGCCGTAGATGCTAGAGGTTTAGTTAGATCATTTCAATGGGATCCACAGGAATCTTTTGCATAGCATGATGTTCAAGAATTTTGCAGAGTACTTTTTGATGCGATCCAATAATCTGATGATTAAGATTTCATCACACGTCTGTATCAATCTCACTCATAATCCTATGTGCAATGTCTAAAGTGTTAATCGGAAAGTGTGTCCAATGAAGTTTTCTTAGATCTTTCACTCACTGTCAAAAGTGACTTTTTAAATGTTTACAACGAGTCTCTGGAGAGAGCACTTTACTATTACATCAAGCCTGAGAAGTTGGAAGGTGATAACAAATACTTATGCTAAAATTGCAATGATAAAACAGATGCCCTCAAAGGATTCAGGTTGAAGGCACTCTCAGATATACTCACCATTCAATTGAATCGATTTGAGTTAGACATGAATACATTCGAGAGGAAGAAGGTCAACGATTATGTTTCCTTCCCCTTTGTTTTAGATATGAACAATTTTCTCAAACCATATGATTAAATTCTCATTGAAGATCATCCAGATCTATTAGAAGAAAGAGAGAGATTGAAGATCTAATATGAACAGGAGAAATTGCAAGGTTGTTTCAGTGATCCTTTGAGAAGAAAAAATAGAAAACCCTCCCCAGATGAAAGACCCCAAAAAGTTCGTTTTGATGACACTCCATAAGTAGTGTAACCAGATGATAAAGCACAATTCAAAAAGTAGTTGTTGGAAGCCCATCAAGAATTCTAACAAAAATTCTAAAGTCTAAAATCAAATAACACATCCTCAACTCAATTCACTTCTTAGACTATACCAAATAACCCAAATCTAGTTCTAACAGCTGATGAAGCCTACGATATTGATAGTGATATGTTGTTCGGAAATAACTTGGATAATCTAGGTGATTTAGGGGAAGGCACAACTGCCAATACAGTTAAGACTTTGAAAAAAGAAGTACAAGGAAGTGCAAAAACCTAAAATTATGAGGAAAAAGAAATCTAAGAAAAAACTGAAAATGAATCCCATAACTTATCAATCAAATAAAAGATCTAAGAACTATTACAAAATGGACCAAATGTTTATGAATTATATTCAGTCATGATTCATTCAGGAGGAGCATTAGGAGGACATTATTATGCATACATCAAATCTTTTGAAAATGGTGATTGGTATTGTTTTAATGACTCTACAGTCTCAAGAATGTCGTGGAAAACAATCCTATCTATGTTTGGAGATAAGTATCCAAAATACAATATGGGAAGTAGTGCTTACTTCTTGATGTATAGAAGAGCCGGCGAGGAACTCAGTACTAAAAAGCCTGAAATTTAGGAGCATTTAAAAGAGGCTATAGCTAAAGAATTATAAGAATAGAAAGAAAGAGAGGAGAAGTGGGAGAGAGAAAAAAAAGAAAGAGAAATGGAATTGAAAATCAGATGTTTTTATAAAACTAACGATGTTGTTATTAAAACCAGAAAAGACACACTTTTGAAAGATTTCAAATTATAAGTCAGGTAAGAATTGAATGTATAAGAAGATGACGAGAATACAAGAATAAGATTCTATAATTCTAATGACAAAATTCCATAGGAGACATTTACAAATAAGGAGAATGAAACTCTGTAATGTTTATACTTTAATGATTACAAATCTGTTCTTTTAGAAACTAAAGCCCCACATGAATAATTTGAGGAGTATGATCCTCATCTCATGTTGATTAAATTGTGTGTATGGAGGAATGATATTGACTCATTGGATGAATCAGAATTGAAACCTCTTAAATTCTTCATTCGAGATGACAAAACTGTTGACTAATTTATGGATGCAATAACCTAAAGATTAGGAGTACCTAAAGATAAATAAATAATCTTACAGAAGAATTGGATTAATGGAGCTACTAATTATTCAATTAGAATTAACTAGTAACATTAATTAGAATACACCCTCTATGATCTTAAAATTGGAAGAAATGTGACATTGTATTTGGAAGAAAAGCAAGACGATGCTAATCTGCCATTAAATTGGGATCAAAAATTTGAATGCGAAAAACATAAATGCAGAGTGACTTTTAACGACCCTAGAAAAAATTTGTTACCATTAGAATCTCCTGATTATTGTTTTGAATTGTAAATTGATAATAGAAAAACTATGAAGGAGTTAAAAGAAAAAATGAGTGATTTCCTAGGCATAGATATTGATTCATTCATCGTTAAAAAGAGCAATAGATTTGGTGAGGAAATTAAAGATTTGTCTACTACAATAAAAAACAATTAAGCTATTGGTCGAGCTGCCTTTTGTTTAATGTTGGGTAAGCCATCTACTAAAGGAGTATACAAAATTAAAGTGGGAATGGGAGGCATTTCTCCAAAATACTCGGATACTATTGAATTTGAATATCAGGATCTATTTGATATGGAAATCAATTCAGAGTGGTATGTTAAAGAACTTAAGGAAAAGTTGTGTTAAAAGGTAGAAGAGACAAAATAAATTACATTGCAACCCAATCTTATTAGATTGAGATACAAAGTTAACACAAAACTTAGTCAAGTTTATCATAATGATCAACTATTAAAAAACTTAAGGCTTTTTGATAATCAAACCATTATTATTGAAAAGCTGGAAAAAGAAGATGAAATCAAAGAAAATTAATTATTGGGATATGTGAGATTTTATAATCCAAAAGACTTTACTCTTTCATTTCCTCCATCAGAGATCTTTCTTAATAGCACTGACACTATGCATGATGCATCTATCGTTATATCAAACTTATATAACATTAACTAAGATGCCATCGAAGCTATTAAAATCAACAACATCTTCAGTTTTACAATAACTGATTTAGTAACTGCAAGTTTTGATTGGCAATTGCTTAAATTCAATTAAAATGTTGTCAGCAAAAGTCCATGGTTCCTTCTAAAAGATTCCTTTTTCATTATGTATTTTCATCTCTCTATTTTTCATAGTGTTCGTGATGCTCGAGAAGTTCCAAAGGATATGACTGAACTGAGACAAAAAGTGGATGAGATCCTGGCCAAATCTTCTGACCCTGCTAAAATACAATAAAAAATACCTATGTAATCAACAAAGCCAAAAGAGAAAGCATTGAAAATTACAGTTGTTAAGTAATGAAATTAATTATTATTTTTAGGAAATAGGATGAATAATAAAAATAGGAGGAGTAGTAAAAATAAGAAGAATAATAAAAATAGGAAGAGTTATAAAAATAAGAAGATGAATAATAAGGAAACTAATAAACAAAGGAGGACTAGTTAGAGAATAAGGGAGGCATATAAGAAGATAAAAACGAAGCATCCACAGCTGAATAAAAAGATTGAGAGTTTTTAACACAATATAGATACAATTTAATTCATATTTCAATTTGTTTAATCACATTAAATTCCTATTCTTATTAAAAGTTTGTATCTGCTTGCGCTTCTTAAGATATCACAGTTTAAAAAAAAGGATGCTTTAATGCATCTTCAACTTTAATTCTCTGTTTGGGATGCAAACAAAGCAATTTTGTCAATAAATCCTCAGCATTATCATCAAACCCTTCCATGTTTATTATTTATTTCCATTTGATTGGCTTTGTTGCTGACACTGATGGCAATTTTAAATCATATTCTACATCATAATCTAATCTTACCGAACAAATCACAAATCTACCTTACTTATTCAGATCCGAATAAGCTGGCTAACTCCAAGATAAAGTTAACATAGAAGAAATTTTTTGTATTGGCAGGTTTATTGATCATTCTGACATTACTAAATAGATTGTATTTCTTCGTTAAAAATTGTAAAAATATAACTCCAACTGCCCACATATCAACTTCATAGGATTGATCCTATATTTAAACTTAATATGATATTATACATGGTAATGTAAGATACTTTCCAAAGGCATAAAGCTTTCTGTACCGATTTTATTTTATCCTATTTAATCGATTGTTTTTTAAATTTCATTATATAAATTGATTTTCCTTCTTATCTCTTAGACTTCATCTGATTAAGGATTCTGTTAAATATAGTTTACTCAATTCTTACATTCTTGGACAGATCCTTCTCTTTTTCTATCAGTTTTGCAACAAATGACCTATCAATTTCACTGAGACCGTAATCAATCAGAATTCCCTTGCAGGTTTTAGGATTGTAAAGAAAATTGCCAGGTTTCACATCTCTATGATAGATTCCATTTTGTTTTAAAATGTTTAATGCCTTCAATAATTCATAGAGATATTTTCTTATTTGCATCATGTCAAAGTTAGCAAAGAATGTCTTTTTTAAAATGAAATATTTACAATGAATGGCTTATAAGTAAAGTATTCTATTACGATGTATATTTTTTGATCCTTCAAAAATAGATTCACCAGTTGTGGCATATTCTCCTTACCGTACACTAATTTTAAAAATCCAATCTCTGCAAAAATCAATTCTGGAGACACTGTTGAAAAATTAACTTTGATGGCATATTTTTTGGTTTTCTCAATTTGACCCTAATTAAGTCCCAAACTAAGTTTTATGAATTATTTCATACGCTTTATAAACAACTCCATAGCCTCCTCTACCCATTTCCCTTACAACCTTATAATTTTATTTTAGGTAGACATCTTCGTCGATCTGCTAATCCATATAGTAACGATCATTGGAACAAGGAGTTACCTTGATTTTAGTGGTTTACGACTTTTTATTATTTTTTTTCATTAAATATAGATTATATATAAATCATTATTATTTATCAAATTAAGTCATATCCTCAGTGTTTAGATGGTAGAATCGTATTTGAGACTTAGGTCTATTCACTAATTAGGACAGACCTGCATTAGTACTAGCAAGGTGTGATAATTTATTAATTTCTAAATCCCTATCTTTTATGGCATTTTGTAGTTGGTCAACTGCCTTGAGTAGGTATTTAATTTTCTCATTATCAGTAATCTTTTAGCCTGGAAGATTGTTCAAGGGTTAAATTTAACTTGTCATTATCGATTAAGGCAATTAACTAACATTCGATTATTGATGCATTTATTGGGACAGTAATTCATTGTTCTCTTTTAACAGTCGATTCTCTCTTTTTAATTATTCATTGTCCTTTTTTAGTTCATCCCTCTCTTTTTGCATCTATTAAAGTAAGTCTAACTTGTATTCTATCTATTTCTTCACATCGTCATCAAATCTAATGATATTACCACTTTCCATCTACTGTTACAACTCATTTAATTCTCTACTCATGTTTCTCAATGATTCTTATAGAACATAATTCTAGGCTCTCAACTCACTCACTTAATTATTTTTTTCAAACATGGTCAGTTGCGTTTAGTTCATTAAATTTTATTTATGAGTTGATATTAATAATTCTGCATTTTAGAGTTACAATTACACAGTATTTACTTAATTTTTCAACTAATCAATAATTGATTCATAATTCATTCTTTCAGCCTTATATTATTCATCATATAATTATTTGTAATTTTCAATTTCTTATTTGATTTAATTCTAATTATATTATATACTATTTACAGCAAATTTCACTTCTGAATCTTCTATCGTATAACCATGCATGTCGCGTAATACATCAATCTAGGCTTCTAGCTCTTTTTTTTCTTATATATTTTAATTCAATAGGTTTGAATAATTGACTCTAAGTACATCTAGGTCTATTTTCAATAACTCATAAGCGTTCTTGATTTCTAATAATTCATTTATTTAATCTGCCTGTTCTTTAACAACTTTCTGGAGTTACTAATACTCATAAATATATTTTAATTTCTCTTCCTTGACTACTCTCAAGGCTTAGTCGAGATGATATGTTTGCTATAAACTTTGCTATAATTCTTCCGTTTTTGCTATAAATTATTGTTTGCCTGCTTAAATTTCTTGATCTTTGATTTCTATAATTTTATTAGTCTATTCTAATTCATCTAAGACTTTATTGAGATTTTGACTGAGTTCCTGTGATATTACTAAAAAAATTACTTGTTTCTGAAGAGTTAATTTTTATACTTAGAATGCATATTCTTCTGACTCAATACTCTTCTATTTTAATCTATCGCATAAATTATCATATTCTTGATTTAACTAATTATATTTAATGAACATACAATTTAGTTAGATTGCTCCATTTCTTGTAATTAGTTTTATAAGTCTCTATTTTGTTCCTTGAGAACTTCCATTTCTTGTGAGGCTGTTCCAAGTACATCAGTAAGTTTTTCTACTTCATTAGTAAGTATGTTGACTCTACTATAGCACATATTATGAATGTCTGTAGAGGTTGAATCATCAAGTCTTGACAATTTAGGTTGTGGAGTGTTACTCAACTTCATATATTTTTTATTTATTTTTATTGTTAATTAATTTGGTTTATTTTTAATTAAATGAAATACTCCAATTTAATAAATTTATGAATATCGATAAATTCATTTAAATTTTTATAATATTAATAAAGTATAAATAATGAATGTAACTCAAAAATCATTACCAATTCCATTAATTCCAAGTATTTAGTAAGCTATTGTATTTATATTTATTTGAGTGAACATATAAGGATAAAATTCGTATCAATCATGTTTAAAGTATGAATGAATTATATTAATATTATTGAATCATTTTTCATCTAAGATATTGCAATCTTAGATTGATGATATAATACATTAATATTAAAACAATATAGAAAATATCATGTAAATGAAATACTTATTAGCACTCCAATTTAATTTATATTCAATGATTGTAATTAACAATAGATTTAGGATTTTTTAATTTTGAATTACTTTAGATCTCATAATCCTCCTTTTAATTTAAATGACTACATAGTTTCTATAACGATGGTATTCTAATATTATTTAGTTTGGCTATCTCTGGAATGATACTATAATCAATAGATTTTGAAATGAATTCATCTAAAATATTGCCTTAAAAATCAAATGAGATCCAGAAATACATTCTTATCAACCAAATTACCTGATTGATTTTAAAATTTCATACTAATAAGCATCAAACTATAATTTAAATATTTTAGCTTTATAAATTGGACATCTCCATTTTCTTGATAAATATCAATTATACATCAGGATGTAGCCTTCTAATGAAAAACAATAAAAATGTTGCAATAGATCCCCCTAACTGGAGTTTATATTAGAGAAGAGCTGAAAACAATTAACATGGATGTATTTGTTACATAATTAACATTAACCAATTTCTTGGTAATGCAATTAATTACAACAAAAAAAACATCACAAATACAGTATTTAGGTATTTTAATTATTTTTGCTTTAATTTGAGACAAACTTCTTTGTTGTTTACAACATCATATCAAAAGTGCTCTTTTAATCTATTTCTTATAAATTTAACATTTAGGAGTATTACATACTTTCTAAAATTGCTGTTATCTATACTTCCTCTAATTCCATCTGGGTCTTTACTTCTTGTTAAAGTAACAATTTTTCTTTAAGGTAGAAAAATAAGTTTCAAATAATATAATATAGGAATAAATCATTTATTATTTAGATATCATCTTCAAATTGAGGTCTTTATCTGGAATTGTGAGGATCTAATCTAAGAAGACTTTAGGAATAGAGTTCTTGGATATTGTTAAGGTTAGAATCTTTAGATAGAGTTTCAAAGTATTGAGAATTACAAATTTCATTTTTTGCATGATTGATGATTATTCTAATTTTTTAAGTTATTTTTTTTTTGAAATGATTCTAAGGCTTTTAAGACTTATTGATTTTTCATTATTTCATAAAAATAATTGGGTTAGTTAATTGTTTATATGTTTGAAATCGATGGGAATATTTGATGTTCTTAAACTTATGTACACATATTTTTTATATTAATGAAAATAACAATTGCAGATTTGAAAAATTTAAGTAAATTTAGTCTAGCAAGTGGGAATGCTGTGATTCCCTTTATTTCATTTCTNATTCGTATCAATCATGTTTAAAGTATGAATGAATTATATTAATATTATTGAATCATTTTTCATCTAAGATATTGCAATCTTAGATTGATGATATAATACATTAATATTAAAACAATATAGAAAATATCATGTAAATGAAATACTTATTAGCACTCCAATTTAATTTATATTCAATGATTGTAATTAACAATAGATTTAGGATTTTTTAATTTTGAATTACTTTAGATCTCATAATCCTCCTTTTAATTTAAATGACTACATAGTTTCTATAACGATGGTATTCTAATATTATTTAGTTTGGCTATCTCTGGAATGATACTATAATCAATAGATTTTGAAATGAATTCATCTAAAATATTGCCTTAAAAATCAAATGAGATCCAGAAATACATTCTTATCAACCAAATTACCTGATTGATTTTAAAATTTCATACTAATAAGCATCAAACTATAATTTAAATATTTTAGCTTTATAAATTGGACATCTCCATTTTCTTGATAAATATCAATTATACATCAGGATGTAGCCTTCTAATGAAAAACAATAAAAATGTTGCAATAGATCCCCCTAACTGGAGTTTATATTAGAGAAGAGCTGAAAACAATTAACATGGATGTATTTGTTACATAATTAACATTAACCAATTTCTTGGTAATGCAATTAATTACAACAAAAAAAACATCACAAATACAGTATTTAGGTATTTTAATTATTTTTGCTTTAATTTGAGACAAACTTCTTTGTTGTTTACAACATCATATCAAAAGTGCTCTTTTAATCTATTTCTTATAAATTTAACATTTAGGAGTATTACATACTTTCTAAAATTGCTGTTATCTATACTTCCTCTAATTCCATCTGGGTCTTTACTTCTTGTTAAAGTAACAATTTTTCTTTAAGGTAGAAAAATAAGTTTCAAATAATATAATATAGGAATAAATCATTTATTATTTAGATATCATCTTCAAATTGAGGTCTTTATCTGGAATTGTGAGGATCTAATCTAAGAAGACTTTAGGAATAGAGTTCTTGGATATTGTTAAGGTTAGAATCTTTAGATAGAGTTTCAAAGTATTGAGAATTACAAATTTCATTTTTTGCATGATTGATGATTATTCTAATTTTTTAAGTTATTTTTTTTTTGAAATGATTCTAAGGCTTTTAAGACTTATTGATTTTTCATTATTTCATAAAAATAATTGGGTTAGTTAATTGTTTATATGTTTGAAATCGATGGGAATATTTGATGTTCTTAAACTTATGTACACATATTTTTTATATTAATGAAAATAACAATTGCAGATTTGAAAAATTTAAGTAAATTTAGTCTAGCAAGTGGGAATGCTGTGATTCCCTTTATTTCATTTCTGTATTTGGGAGATGACAACTTATTCTCATTGAAATCGTTCTCAGTGTTTTCTGGATCGCTTTTTATGGTATTTGACAATATTCATTATGAATAGGCTATGGCAAGTTAGGCATTCAATTAGGTAATTGAATGGAAGTAAGATAAATTAATGACACGCACATGCAATCGTCCAATTCCAATCCAACGACTTACTCGTTTGTAAGGAGGGTTGATAGGATTTGCATTCTATGCAGCTTCCAATGTCCTGATGTATAATGTATATTTATTAGTGATTTAGTGTTTGCCTACCAATGCTCTAGCAATTAACAATCTAATTTTCTTCTCATACTTGGGGATATACACAACTTTGAAAACAAGATCTCCTATTAATACTTTGATTGGAGCAGTCATTGGGGCTCTTCCAGTGGTGTTAGGAGCAGCCTGTGTAAGCAATGACAGTTTGTATAATCTGGGGATGTGGGGCAATTTTGGATTCATGTTTTCATGGCAAATCAATCATTTCTACGGGATTTATTGGAAATATCAGAAAGACTATTTGAGAGCTGGATTCAAAATGATAAATGACAGTGCAGTTGCTAGTAGACATATGAAAATGTGTTTGGCTATTAATGGGTTGAGTTGGTTCGGAACTGCATCTCAGCATTCTTAGCCAGAATTAAAATTTATCAGTTGCATCTCTGGATTATTGTCATTATACTTTTGGAATTATAGAGCAATCAAATTATTTGAAGTGGATCCTTCAAAAAATGTATGAAAAACAAACTTATTAGTTAGGCAAACTACCTTAAAAAAGCCTCCTATAATTTTTTCTTGGTCTACTACACTTTGTTATTAATGGACATAGGAATCAAGAGATATTAAAAATAATAAAACCATTGAAAAACAATTATAAAATAATTAATATGATGAATAATCATTTTCTTAGTGTTTTTTGACATATAACAAAGGCCTCATGGTATTGTTTTAAGTCGTTCTTCATCTAATGATGATCAAAGTTCTAGTGATCACATTCATCTTGCATGTACTTCGTAAACACTATATAATTACAATTGATTATTACCATGGTGCTATTAATAGGAGGACTTCTTGGCATTTGGATCAGATTATTACATTTGATGCAAATCATTAATGTGATCATATTAGATACGGGCTTTCATGTTTCTTTCATGTTCCTTTTATGCCTTATGCACCTCTTAACTAATAGGTATAACTGCTTTACCATCTACAGGCAATTTGCCACCAGTCTATTTTATAGATTTTATTTTTTGCATTTTCTGTTCTTGAATCTACATCATCTGTTTAGTTGCCGATAGATTTGTATGAGCCTTATCAAATCCCAGATGGGTCGATCCAGTTATTGGCAATACTTTATCACTACGTTCAAATGGCAGAGGTTCCTGAGGGTCATTGGAATGTCTTTTCTGGTACTCCTCCTCAGCCAAAATTGCAGGGATCTTATCAGGGTCATGTCCTTATTCCTGTTTTAAAGGAAATTATAGAAGTCATTAAACACTACCTCCAATTTATCAAATTCGGCATTGTATTTATTTGCTCTCTATTGATAGATTTTCTATTTCACTGCTTTGTCAAGATGTGCACCAATCCCTTTACTCATTTATTATATATATTTATATTATTAATTATTAAAAATCTAACGTTACATATGACAGATGAGATTGTTCGATTATAAACTATTGAATTCGAAGAAGAAATTGAGAAGAGATTTTCCAAGAGTCGTCAAAATCATTTTTATGTTTTTGAAAGGGAAGGTTGTGATGCATCTGATGATGATTCACTTGATTCTCTTAGGAATATTGGAGTCTATAATTTATGCAAACCCCTTCGAAACAAATTAATTGAAACTGAAAGAACAATCCCTAAATCCAGCAAGACCTTACTAATACAACTGCTAAAACCCAAAAAACAGCCATCGTTTAATGAAAATAAGTCCAATAACACATCCTTATACAAATCAAGATCCTAAAGCAAGAATGCAACTACAAGACTTCGCACTGAGTATTATGTTTATATTTAATCAGAGGTTCTGTCTTGAGAGAATCCAAAAATGTAACCCTCATTTCTCCTAAAATACCTAAAAGTCCCAATTACATTCAAATCGACAACCTCATCAAATCTACTAAGAATCAAAACATTTATAAAATCAACAACTATTCCTTTGTTATATGATTCATATTAATTTATTAATTAAAAATGTCTCAAAAGTTTAAGTCCCCTTCTATTCAATCCAAAGTCCATCCTAAAGTACTCTACAACACTCAAGAGTATTTAAGAACTAATATCTTAGACTCAATGCTAAAGTCGTCAAAGTTTTTAGTCCATTTGAATACATGCATTATATTAAACGAAGACAAGATTACTTAAATAAGCAATAGGAGCTTCTAGCCAACCTTTAATTAAGCCAAGAGAATTATGAAAAATTGACATTCTCTGTAAAACAGATAGGAGTAGCTGATGAGGAAGGCAGAGTTGGTGCACTTAGTTAAAGAAAATACCTCCTAAAGTCTATGGAATCAACCAGACTCTAATAATCTGAATCCATTTTGCAATCATAAACTGAAAGGATTCAATATTAATTTAGAGCAAAAGCATTACCAATTAGTAGAAGGGAAAAAACAAGTATGTCTTAGCAAAAATCCAAACTTAACTTTTTAACCATTCCTGAAAAATCTGAAACTCATTTTGAATTAAAGACAAGCAATATTGATAAACTTCTTAGGAGATCAAGATCAAAAAAGAGAAATCTATTAAGCCAACCATAACCTCCAGAAGTTGCACTTACTAAATAATACCAAAACTAAAAACATTTGTCTTATAGTCGATAATTGTAAGAACTATAAGGAACATTAGATTTCATTAAATTTTTATGATTACTATATGAATTTTATCACTTTGGTCTCAATTAAGGAGGTATTCTTCTTGGAGTAGGTGGGTTTTAAGGTTTTCTTACGACAGGAGGCTATTCTGTGGCAAAGGGATTAGTTTAGGATTGATTCACGGGTTCTTGTGGCTAAGCTATTATTGTATTTTATTAATCATTTTCTTGCTCTTTAAACTAACGTTGAGAAAGATTTTCTTCATATTATTATTATTATTATTATTATTATTATTATTATTATTATTATTATTATAGTTGTTATTGTTGTTATTGCAGTTGTTATTGTTGTTATTGCAGTTATTATTATTGTTATTGTTATTGTTATGATTATTACTATTACAATTATTATTATTCAGATTATGCTTCCTTTTATTATTCAATTTGCTTTTGCTAAAATTATTCTTCTTCTTATTATTGCTCTTTTTATGTTCTTTATTCTTCGTGCCCTTCTAATACTTCTTATATCTAAAGACTTAAAATTGGTTAAACAATTTAGGATTTAACAGATTTAACTTGTAATTATGATGATGCGCTAGAACTTTTCTTTTTAGTTAAAATATCTAAAACTTAGGATTATAAATCTGATAGGGCTATTTGTTAATAGTAATTAGGTACTTGTACGAAGTTAAACATGTTCCTTAGCCAATTTATCAAACCCCTATTGCATTGCTACTAATTTTTCATTTAATTGCTAAATCACTCTAGTTTAGTTATTGATAAGTTCTTATGAATTAGATGATGCATTAGGACTTGTATTAGTATTAGGAATTTTAAATTTCACAACCTAGATGGAATTTTAATGATACATTGAAATTTGCTGGATGTCTGGTTTAGCAATTACAGAGGCATTTCATAGCAAGAAGCACAGAAACGAGAATGATATAGCCCCCTACACCATACTCAATAAATGGATAGCCAGAAAAATACAACTTTTATGTCTCCTGTACCCACGACTCCATTTTAACACGTAAATTAAATTACTAATCATATTAATTATTATGAAGGAATTTCTTCAGGTTCTTTGACAGAGGGCTAGGGAGTGGAGTGTTGAATTTGGATTGCATAGGATGCAGGAGGCACTTATAACTTATACTCTTGACTTTATTGGCACAATTGTAGAATTTTGTATTTCAATCTCCCTATAATCACTTGTTCATCTGAGATATTCTTTCTTATTTCACCGTCAATTTCATCTGAAATTCTAACAATAATATTATCCTTCAAATGATGAGTGTGTATATGAGAGTAACTCTCACAATATATTACCTCTCCTACCTAAAACTATAAAATGATATCTTAAAATTACTTCTTCATTTTACTTAATCTTTTCTATGACCATGTAGATAGATGTAAAATCCTAGCAATTGAATCCAATAATGTTTTCCAAAAATTCATTATATTCTAATGGTTTACTTTTGCACAAACATTTTTAATCTGAAAATATAGAGCATTAATAAGTTGGAGGATTCTTATTCATTAATGAGGAAGAGTGCTTGACTCCATATAGTTCCATTTCCGATATTAGAACCATCATAAATTTTGTTTGTTTGTTTATAGTGGATAAGAATTTAAAATTGGCAAACTTGCTCTTGTTGAATTTATTATTTGTTAATTTATTGAAGATATTGATGGTTTTTTGATCATATTGTTCAATAAGCTTTGTAGTATGATATTTCTGCAATAATACAACTTCAGTTTAATGTTTTCGATACTCCATGTCTTGCTTTTTAGCATCAATAACAGGAGGTAAATTAGTAATTCTATTAGCTAAACTGCGATTTTCTTCACTAATTCGCTTAGTGTCAAAATTTATTTTAGCAAATTCTTTTCTTGATTGATTATGCTGAGATCGCGTTTTACTCGTTTGAGGCTGCATTATTTTCTAAATTAGATGCTAATTGACTCTTTATTATTCAATAAAGGCTTCTTAATTATAAAATTTTGAAACTGTTTTTATCATATTATGCTTCTCTTTCAATTTCTTCATCACATTCTGATTGTCCAATTTTGGATACTAATTTTAATTGTGAGACAGTTACCTATTAGTTTATTTCCTCTAATTTCTTTTTATGGAAGTCATAAATGCGTCCTTTATTTTTCTCTTAATAAATGTCTTTTACTATATAATTATTATTTTTCATATAAATTTAATTTTAAGTTTATTAAACTAATCAGCAAGTTTAGTATGTATATCTCGCCACTTTTTCAATTTGAGATCCATAGAATATTTTAAGTGCAAAACTATCTACAAAATGAAGTTCTATATCTTTAAATTATATTCATTCTAAAACGTCAATCAAATTTTATATTAATAAAAATATAATGAAATCTCCAACGCGTATCATAAATGGTTTATATATTGGAGACTAGGGTGCAGCGCACGTATATTGATAAATATGATATTAGGACCTAGAGTTCCTGATAACAAACAAAATCAAGAAAATCATCAATTGTGCTGGCAAATAAATTCCAAATCATTGGGAGTCTATTGGTATAGAATACTTGACCTATGGTTGGATTGAAAACGACTATCAGTATGCTATTGACCATTCTCGTTGTTTTTCATTTATAAATGATACTTTGGAGGCGGGAGAAGCAGTTTTAGTTCACTCAATAAGTGCTCTCAATCGTTCTGTTTTTGTTATAGTTGTCTTTTTGATGAAGAAGTAATTAAGTATTTTTACCTATTTATAGATTTAAATGGACCTTATAAAAAACACTTTAGCATGTCCAGAACCTTAAACACAATCCTGATATAAAATAAAATGTGATGCAGCAACTAGTGAATTTTGAAAAATGGCTTCTACTTAGTAATTTAGCCAACAATTAGGATTTCAATTAATATTATGATGAGGTTTTGGCAAGAAATACTTATTTGAATAGTTAAAAGCCTTAATAATGTGAACCAAGAAGAAGAAGGGAGGTAATTTCTAAAAAAGTGCAATGGAATAAAACAATCATATCATAATACATTCCTCCATATTATTAAATGTATTCATTTTTACTAAGTTTAAGTTAATTCAAAAATCTATCAAAATTTTAATCTGAACCTGTAAATCAGGTTTAAATTAAAAATACATAACTTCCCGCAACACCAAGAAGATAGACAATTGATAATTGGATGAATAGAAAACTCCCTTTGAATTAAATTGTTGATGAAAAAAAGTTAAACCTTTTTAACATCAAATCTGATAGGCAATCAATAAGACCTTAATTAAGACCAGGGACTGCTCCATTAAAAAGACTTGTAAAAAATACTTGGCAATCATAATCCCATAGAGTCTTAGTTAAATAATCATGATTATAAATATAAACAATCTTTTTTTTAAATACTCAAGCTTATTTTCTATTTACTTTTGGTGTGCTTAAAGGTACAACATTGAAAAATAAGTCTGGTCGTAAGTCTTAAGGAGTTTACTAGAATATTGCTAATTGTTACATTTTTTAGTGGCTTCTTTTCAAATTATATTGCTTGACCTGAGCTGAATATGTTTTATTAAGGTGCTTATTTATAACCTTTAGTAGCTTTATTAGTGCTTTTTTTAATTGTCCTTTCTTCTTCTTCAACTCTTATTCTGGTTTCTACCATAATATCTTTAAACAAATCATAATCAAATAATGATGCTAAAGTTTCATTCATTGCTTCATCTAATGGGAGAGATTGTAATTTTTCTAAAGTAAGTTCAACTTTGAGTTTCTAAATTCATTCATTGATTATAATACTTCATTCAAATATAACTAGATAGCACTTTAGTAGAGTTTAAATATTTCTTTGTATTCTTTTGATTCTGTCTCCTCAAAAACTAAGCATTTTTCACGTAAGAAATCTTAGGATAATTTTTCAAAATCCTCCGATATTAGAATTTCTTATAATTATGAAACTAACTGATCATCTTAATCATCATTGTTGTCTAAGCATAAAGAATAGATATACAGTTTTCAACTATGAGTTCATCATTCTCCAAATCAATTGCATTTTCGAGATTTTAGTTCATTTATTTAATTAAGATTTATATATGTACTATATGTGTATTATACTTATCACATTCATAGAGCTGGGAAATCCTTATCATCCAATTGAATTCCTTATTCCTACTCAATTAATATAAGAAATTACTTATTATCTTTATACAGGCTTCTTTTCTTATCTATCACCTCCTCTTCTAGCCTTATCTCCCCTTTCTTAATCTCTTGTGTTGTTGTCTCTGTTTTGTCTGTCTCCTTTTTGTTATCTATCTCCTTTGTATTATCTGTCTCCTCTATCTTATCTATCTCCTTTTTCTTGTCTGTCTCCTCTTTCTTGTCTGTCTCCTCTTTCTTATCTGTCTCCTCTTTCTTATCTGTCTCCTCTATCTTATCTATCACCCTTATATTGTCTATCTCCTTTGTATTATCTATCTCCTCTGTATTATTTTTCACCTCTATCTTATCTTTCAGCTCTTTATTGTCCTTATTCTTATTATTCGTTTTATCTTTCTCCTTTTTATTATTCTCCTTCTTGTTATTATTATTATTGTTATTAAGGTTATTCATATTATCTTCTTTCACCTCTTTCACCTCTTCTTTCATTCTTTTCTTGAGTTTAATTAGTAAATCCCAAATACTCAGCAGCTTAAGTATTCAATTCAGATCTGTAATTTGATTATTATTATTTTGTTTTTTTTTACTTTGATTCTTGTTCTCTTTTCTCATCTTCTCTAGTTTTAACAACAAAGAGCTTTTCTTTCTTTAAAGCTTCTTCATCAAGTTTCTTTGGGGCTTGTTATTTGACTTCAACTTATTTTAAGACTTCATCAACATTCTGAGGATAATAAATAAATTGATACAGCGCCTCTTTGTTAGTAATAATCAGCAAGAGTCTTTTCTGGGGCTGGTGGTTAAGTGGGTTGAGTTGTCTACTCAGTTTTGCCTTCTTAAGGTGCATCAACTGGGGTTTTTTCTTTTGCCACATATTTTTCTTCTTTCAAGTCATCCTTGTAATTTCCCCAATTATTTCTGCCACCGCCTTCTTTTCTTTATTCCTTGCCTCTGCCAGTGCCAGATTGTCTGTCTTTAGGGTGTGGCTCAGCAGGGACTCCCTTAGTCTTAGGAGCGGGATTGTGATGTTGAGTGTTCTCTTTTACTACTTATTCAGCAGGGATGACCTACTCCTTATTGTTGTTTTTTTTATTCTTTTTTTGTTGTTATTCGGGAGCTTCTTCTGTATCAGAGAAGTTGAGAACGTTGAACAAATTATTACTCATAAAGATTTAAAAAATATTTAATGTTTTCATCTTAATTAACCTGACCAGGAGTTAAATTAATTTATTCAAATATAAAAAATAACAATATTTTATCGAATTGCTACTTTGTGGAAAATTCTTTATTTGAACTGATAATATGCTGGAATTGTAAATTAAAACTAAGACGCTTAAAAAGATATTTAGATTAATATTAAAATTTCTGGCTCAAATTTTACATTTCTAATGAATTACAATAATATTTCTTTAATCGGATAACCGAGTTATAATTGTTTTTATCATACTGACATCATATAAATAAAAATATTGATAGTTTTTAATACGTTTAATTATCTCTATCTTATTGAAGAAATTAATATATAAATTTATGGGCTGTTGCTAAAATATACCTTTGAAGGAAAAAGAAAACATATTAATAACACAATTAAGCATAAAAAAAGAATTCTCCCCAAAAACTTTATAAATAGAGCCTTTCTCCTTAAATTTAATTAAGGGGGATATCGATTGTATTGAGAGGTTGGGAAGCACATGTGCTGATAATATTTTGGGGGAAAAATAGCTCAGCAGAGTGGATAAATAGTTCAGTGAATCGATGCAAAGGGAAGTTATAATTGATTTGAGGTAGGCCCCCAGTCCATCATTGTTGGTCAAGGATAGAAGCAGCAGAAATTTAAATAATAAATTTATAGGAATGCTGTGATTTAAGTTGTAATTAAATTTTGAAATATAATACAATTATTTATATATTGAGGTGCAATCGATCATGGCACAATCCAATTTTCAGCATGAAATGTTCAAACAACAATTAAAGGCAAAACTAAATAGTATTGAACAATATTATGTCAAATATTTATTAATTTTATGATTGGTTTCTTGAGTGTATTAAGTAAAAAATAAATAAGTTAATAAAATTGAATTACCAAAAATTGTATATTTGATAATTTAAACAAATTAGATCAATCACTACCACAATTGGGATTTTATAAAATGAATTCAGAACTTTTTTGTGAAAATTTTGATAATACTTTAAAATATTGAATTGGAATAGCCAGAAACAAAGATACACCAATTTTTTCAAACATATAGTGGAAAATCAATTGAAATTTATTAAATATTATAAACTCTGTTTCAAGTGGGAGATGGGTTGCTGTCAACATTAGTCTTACACTCAATCCTAACAAAATGTTGATGTCCAACTAAAATCTTGTCTAAGAGAGCGTAAAATTGAACCTCTTCAAATTTCGGTGATAGGGGATTCAGATAGAATGGAATTTATGGATGAAGGACCGTAGTTTGAGGCAACATCCCTAAAAGAAATTCAGTCTCCTAATATTCTCAAATTCCCATCCGAATCTGTGATCATAGATTTGAGGTCAGGGACATCATTAGCAAGCCCAATCAGAAGAAAATCAAGCAAGAACCTGAATCAAAAGTTTATTGAAATGCTTTGAATATACTTATAATATAAATTATGATTAAATTTAATTAACAGATACGACATTAGGGACTCATGTAATTTTAACTAACATTTCTATTAATTAAATAATATTCTTCATTTTCAAAATTATATGAAACCATGATTGAAATAATAACACTATAAGCTTCCGAAATAAACTTTAAAGTTTAACTTTATAATTAATAAAGAAAATTATTAACTTCTAAGATATTTTATTTTCCATATTTTTATAAAATTACACTTATACAATTAATAACAAAAATACCATAATAATAATATTTAAGAAAATACTTGAGTTTCCAAAGGAAGATAATTAATCATCAGAGCAGAATTATATATAAAGGTATCTTGTAATGATAATCCAAATTTATCTGAAAAGATATTGATATTTATAAAACTGCTATGTTTAAATTAATGAGAGTAATTTTAGAATCTAAGTGATTAATTTATATGATAATATAATTAGAATTAAAAATATAACTTTTTCTCATTATAAAATTTAGCAACTTATGCTATCTTGTTAGCAGGAGCCTTTTCTGTCTCTTTAGAATATTATTAAATTGTAAACTTTGCTGATTATTCAAAAAAAGCATTATGATATTAGTAAATATTCCAAGATGAATTATTATTTTGAATATGGCCTGAGATTAAATGCATTAACTATTCTCAAAAGAGTGAATTAATTAAAATAAAGTTTGAAATTGCAGAATAAATTAAAATAAACAATTAAGTCTTATTTATTCAATAGGAATTAAATTAAAGCGAATTAGTATTAAAAATGAAAATTATTTTTTATTTGAAATTTTAGAGAGAAGAGGGAATCAAAATATTATAATATTTGATCTATATTCTCTTTATATTTATAGTAATCAGAGAATGCTACTTCTATTTGTGTTGGCTTAATTTAATTTTAGATGTCCTTTGGTTTTCTCGAAATGATCTTGAAAAACAAATGCTTCTTGCAAGAGCATCTCAAGTTGTACTTCTGTCCATTCCTTTGTTGGTAAATTCTATAAAAATATGACTGCTTCACTCATATTCTTTGATTTAATCTATGTTATTTTACATATTTACTTCAGGTGCACATTTAAGAATTAGGTTAGTTACTGTGTATACATGCAGATTGGCCATTTCATCACCTTCAGCTAAATATGTATCCAATAATCTGATTGTCAAGGATAATGGAAATTCTCTTATCAATAGGCATAACACCCATCTAAAGGCGAAGTGATTCAAATCTATTTGTTGATCCTCAAAGTATTGATACAAGGGATAATCAAGCTTAGCGTTATTAATTAATTCTTACTATTTTGATGAGTTCCCTGATTTTTACATAGGCTTCCTAAACACCTGGTTAATTTGCAGTGAAATAATCTTAAATGTTTTCGATAATTTTGCATAAACACCAATAGATATCAGCTTCAATATCAATCAAGATGTCTTCTGGCAATTTGTCAAAATTAGAAGGAACATCAAAAGAATTGAAATCTATTGGAACATATTCATTCAAGAATACTACAACTAAAGGTGATGCCACATCATTGATTCCTTGAACATAGCCACTCATAGGATGTCGCATATTCCATATAAATAAAAGCCTCTTAAACATTTCTTGAATCCTGGGATCTCTAAATAGTTTATAATCAGGCTGAGTTCTCAGGACATCATTTTATATAATCTTTATGATTTTCCTCTCGTTTTCATCCCTTTCTTGTTCGTTCATATGTTCGTAATAATTCTTAATGTATTGTTGATAATCTTATCTTTTCTTTAATAAAATAGTGGTCTGACTCATGTGATTAGGAGGAATATATTTTACGATTAATTTCCACACCTTAGCTCTATATTCTAGTAATATTTATCGAAAACAATACCATTAGGTATTCCTCTCCAGGTGAGTTTCTTAAGAGCTTCCAAATCAATTATTTGTTGTTCAAGTACAAGTTCAAATTGCTCTAATTTTTTTTAATCCTGAATCGTTGAGGAAATTTACTTTTTTTGAAATGGCGATTTATTATAAATTTCATTTAAGTTAGTCTTATACAGAGAACTTTGTTAATCTGTTTTCTATCCAAAGAATTTCTTTAAAAATGCCATTATTCAATCTATATATTGAATTTATTAAATAATGATTACATCAATGAATGTAATATATTACTATAATTTGCTATAAAATTCATGGGTTGAAGAGAACGTGATTATTTGAACTTTCTTATATTGTTATATAAATTGGATCAAATGAATCAGATTAATTCATCACAATATAAAAAATTTTATCAAATCATTTAGGAATATTGCATAAGGCTTTTTTCCAATTAATTCACAAGGTTTCTGCATAGATATTAACAAATAAATACCCCATAGATTTATTATCTGCTTAACTAACAGAGACTAAACTTCTATCAAGATGCTCATTCTCTTATTTTAGTTTTCTTTGCAATTCTTATTGAGCTTTTCTGACCAATTCCATGGAGAGTTTTTCTAAAGCCTTTTGCTCATTTAACTATTGACTATCTTTAATCACTTATTTAAATCTTAAATCTTTAAGTCTTTCTTATCTTTAATAATTTTCGACCAAGTCTTGTTATTTAATTTTCATTTTTTCTTTTCTTATGTATTTTTAAAAGTCTTTTTCATCTTTTCGTCTGCTAGTCAACTCATCTTAATCCAAGAACCTCTTCTCTAGATCTGTGACTCGTTGCAATTACAGGGATTAGATTCTTTTCAATGAATCCTAAGCTTTTTTACGTTTGGTAAGTTCTTCTTTTAGTTTTGCTTATTCATTTATTAACTTTTATTTTTCAAGCACTGAAATATATAAACAAATATAAAATACTTTATAGTTCTTATTCTTTGTTAAACATTTTTTCTACAACTTTCTAAATAGTTTCTGCTTCCTTTTATTCAGTTTGCAGTTTGATTTTTCTTAGTTTTTCATCATAATGAGAACTCCTCATAGTTAATTTTTCTAATTTACTTTCCCATGTAAACTTCTCTTTATTGGAATTGCACTCATTTTCTAGGTGATAAGGAGAATAGAATTACATTTAACTTGCAAATTGGATAGAGTAAGTGTCATTTTATCTTCCATGAATTTATCGAATTTTCTTTTGTTTGCTCTGACAGTTTCAAATTTTTATCTCAATGTTTTTTCATGTTCTTCAATTTCTTTTTTCTTAATTTATTCATCGAGTTATAATTTTTTTCCCAATTCTTCAAATCTTTCTAATTATCTCTTGCGTTCATCAATTTATTTTAGGTTAAATTACTTCTCTTTGTTTTTGATTTCGTTGAATTTCTTTTAAGCAGCTTCCAATTTCTTTTTCTTCTTTAGCATCTTTTCCTTCCTGATCTTTTCATTTAATTCAGCAATTTTTTTTTCTCTTTCTTCCATTTCCTATTGTAACAAATGTCTTCTCTTCTCATTCTCCAACTGATGATGAACCTCCTTGGCCTTCACTCCCAGAGCTCTCTTATACTTTCTGATCTCCTTTTCCAATTATTCCTCCAAGACTAGAACTGGATCTTCCTCGTCGAAGGATTCGTAGGAATTATCGTTTTCCTCTTCCTGTATCTTGAGGTTTACCATCTTTTTATTGTAAGTTTCTATCAAATCATTGATCAAACTAATAAAATGTAAATGAGCATTTGGAGATACCCCTCATCTCGATGGAATGATTTTTCTAATTAAATATTTTGCAATCCTTTATTCTTCTTGGTTATTTATTTTCTCTTCTTGGAGATCTCCTTGAATGTAACTTTCTATAAGATGGAGAATATACTTTCCATTTTTTTTACATAATGATCATATCTCATCTTCTGAACTGCTTCAGTGACATTGGCTCCTCCGAATTCTTCCAATTTTCTTAATGTGATAATGCTTCATTACTTGAGTTTGAAGATAGAGGGATCGTAACCCAAAGCCAGACAAGCCTCTCTGGTTTTTGGACTATCCGGCCTCAAATTCAATCCTTTTTTGGTATAACTAAACACGGTGGCTCTCCTGGGTGCAGCAACTCTACTGGTGAGTTAAAGCAATGCATTTTCATTTAAATTCATTTTAATTAATGTCTGAATCACCATTAATCACTCCATTATTACAACAATACCAAGTGGAATTATAGGCAAAGTTGAATGAATGCTTTGAAAACAACGAAGTCAAGGGAATGCTCCATCTCATAGATCAATTGGGACAGGATATAAGGGATGAGCCACAACTCCAAGATTTGCTGAATCTACCATTATTGCGAAAATTGATGAAGCATCTCTCCTCCACCAATCCCCAACAAGTAAAGAATTCCATCGTAATACTGGACGCAATAATGCAGCGAAAAATCATAGCCAACAGACTTCTCCATCAAAGAGGTGCCGAAAGAACCATGGTGGATCTAGCAAATAGTTTATTGAACTTACAATAATAATTGCGGCATACCTCCTTAGAAATGCACATCAACGAGCTCCTTGTCGGTTTATAAGTAAAATACGTCGACAAGAAACAGACAGACTTAAGTAAATTGAAATCGGCCTTGAAGCAATTCCAAGATAACAAAGATCTTTTCATAACTCAATTAGAGATGCTCTTTTCCGATTGTGATAGCATCATTGATCAATATATTCTATTCGGAAGTCCTCTTCAAGAACTTATTTATGAATATCTATTAATGATTAGATAGATGGAAGAAAAACAATAGGTGAACTACTTGACTCAACTTTTAGGTATTTATGAAAGGTACATTTTGGATGTGCAATTTACAATACACGAAATGCAATAACGAACCTACTACATCAAAATAGTGAAGTAAATGATCCTACATGAGATATCCAACATATATAAAAGTCTAGCTCAGCTCTTAAATATGATTCTTGTGTTGCCAGAAGAAATTGGACTATAAAAGAGAACCTACATGATGATTAAAGTCTTGTATAAATATGTCCCAGATCTGAGAATAGCTTTGAAGGGACCAATACAAGTGGTGATGCGCAATCTCTCTTTGTTTTTAAGCAAGGATGCCCAAGAAAACAAGGAAATCACTGTCTTCTTGTATCAACTGATTCATTCATCAGATTATGATGAGAAATTCAAGTAATCTCTTCTTGATGACGAAGATCTTGCATATCTGAGAGAAAATAAGTAAGCATATGTTATAATTTTCATAGATATTTCTCTGTTAAAGCTCTAAGCTATGTGGATGAGTCTTAAAGTATTTCATCTATAAAACAATTGAACATTCAAGTAGCCTACCTTTGTTATACCGTCATTTAAGCTGCATCCATCTATTGCTATTCATTCATAGTAGATAAACCGAATTCGCTCATTTTTTGGAGTTTCAGAACACTAAATTATGATGTCTCTTTTGGACTCTTTCAATTACAAACAATCGAGGACTTAGGTATCATAGATTATGTGAATGAGAGAAATGGAGTTAAGTCATTGATCAAACTACAAAGAATTGAATCTCATAAGCAGCCACTCACTGGAGTCACAGTTATATCAAATCCAGGACTATATAGAATTGTATTTGATAATAGTTACAGTTATCTGAGATCCAAATAGTTGTTTTATGGTATACATTTGCTAGAAACTAAATGAATATTATTTATTTTATTTAGTATATCTTTAAAGAGTAAACAGTAAACAGTTAATTAAATTATTATATCCAAGATTTCAATAATTTTTGAATATTCTATTGTCTTAAATATTTAAATTTAGATATTATATTCTTATTTCAACTCTATATTAGAAATAAATATAGAAATTAAGATATTGTAATATCTAATTATATAATTAAACAAAAAGGATGATTGGAAAATAATCTTTTTAGTTAAAATTTAGAAATCTCTTTAAAAATAATAATGATCATAATCTATCAAAAAGTCTTCAAATTCAACAAATTTGATACTCCATTTCCAGTTGGCACCCATGTAATATTTGGACTCTTGGCTAATTGCTCAGCAATATGTTTAGCTGTCTCTAACTTCTTTATCTCGATTTAAGCTATTAATGTAATATATATTTCTACCTGTTCCGTATTATTTGACTGCATCATTGATCAATCTGGCTGCCTCTGATTCTCCTTCAGACAATATGACTTTGGCATTCTTTTCTTCTTCATCTCTCAACACAATGAACTTCTATCTTTCAGCCAATTATTATGCCACTTGCTTTGCCTCAATAGCCTAAGCATACTCCTTCATAAATCCTAAATGAGTGATTGACACATCATCCAATACTATCTTAAACTCCTTGGCTCTTTCAATCAAGCCTTCCTTAATCTCCTATGAGATCTTCTCTCTCATTTTGATTAATTGATCCGCATCATATTAAGCAACTACTGCCTTTAAGACCTCATTTGCAATTGATGGGAGAATCTTCTCTTCATAATTCAAACCAATAGTTCTAATCTATTAGACAGACATTGTTACTTGTAAATCTCAGGCAAATAGGATTCAATAGGTTTATGGAGCATTCTGATTGCAATATCCACTGTTTACAAGTCCTTTGTACCAGTATGAGATGCCACTGTCTTGGGTTACAATCTAACCTCTGCGACAATTGGAGACTAACATATATTCTGAGATTTATACTTAAATAACAGGGATGAAGAAATGCATTCCTTCCCCATAGACAGTTTCCTTGACTCCTTGGAAACGATCAAATATTAATCCTCTTTAGCCTCCATCTACTGTATAAAAGAATGATTTAAATAGTATTCCACCTCCAACAAGTACGGATCCTGCTGTTAAAATTAGATTTGCGGCTCTTTCCATTTTTAATTATTAATTATGGACAATAAACAAATATTAATCAACCTAATAATCAAAGAACTTAAATTTATAAATGACCTAGATTATAATCAACTTGGTGAGGCAATGGAATTATAGTATTATTTTAGAATCCTCCTGATGAACAATGGATTAAAGAAACTAAATTAATTTTAATACAATAGTTCTTAATTAAATTTACTCTCACATATATATATATTGATTCTCTATGTTGTATATGAGAAATATCTTAACTACTGAATCACGAGGTAGGTTATTATAAAAACATCATAATATTTTGGATAGTTAGTAAGGATTTAAAAGGGCATTGTTGCAAACAATAAAATGAGAGGGTTATTAATAAAATGGAAAGACAATTCTTATAAATTTAGTCTTGGATTGGATAGGCAATATCTTATAAATTTAGTCTTAAAACAGAGGGAGGTCAATGGATGCTGAACATATAAAATTATGATTAATAAATATATTTTATTATGCAAGGAAAGAAAGTGTTGGTGGCTGATGATGAACCCTTTGCTCAAAATTTATTGAAGATGCTGTATGGTGCTCTGTAAGTAGAATGCGTAGTGGTGTCTAATGGAAAGGAAGCCTTGGAAGCGTATCAAAAATCACCTAATTTTGTTCACGTATTGATGGATATTCATATGCCAGTGATGGACGGATACGATGTAAATGTTTAAATTAATTCTTAGTCTGCAAAGTAAATCAGAGCTCACGAAAAAGCAAAAGGATTACCTAGATGCAAGATACTTGGTCTCAGTGGAGGTAAATATAATTATAATTTGATTCAAAGATGGTGATCCAAAGACAAAGGCAGCATGCATCAGCGCTGGTATGGATGATTTGTTAGTCAAGCCATTGAAAAAAGAACAATTATCATAGTTTTTATGATTTTTACACATCTTATTTTTTATCATATTCTGCAGTAATTTAATATAGATAATAAGTGAAAATTATAGTATTATAAGGATGCACAATAATGATACAATATCACATTCTCGCTATTTAGTTTTCTATTCTCTTGAACAAAGTACAGTGATATAATTGATAATAAGGATCTTGTGAATATTTTTAGCAAAAGTGTTTCTTCATAATTATATTTTTATTTGATTGGATACTCAAAATGGAAAACAAGGAACAGCAGAATGTTTTGGTAACATCGATAATTAAACTTGTTTAGTGTGAAACCAAATAATAGATGTGCGAGTAATATGCAGCCATCCAAAATTGGTTTGATCAATTGCCTATTGAAATAACAAGTAAGTGATTCAAAATAAGCATGAAAGACCTGAAAAAGCAATACATTTTGGATAAGGCAACAGTGAATGCAAGATTTGTGATGTTGTGTTTAGGAGCTTTGAGCAGTGCTGCTCTCACTGCCAGAAGTATTTGTTATTACAAACAGATTAATAGTCTCTCCTTCTCTCATCAAGGTTACTCGCAATACGGTGGTTACTTATGTTGGAGCAGGTCTGTTTGTTGTCCCTGAAGTGTTCAACCCGTACTTGTTTTTTAGATAATGATTTATTGTAGCACACACAAATATAATTAATGAACATTCTTGCAATAGGCACGATCTCTATGTCCATTCTCACTGTTGTGATCTATCTAATAAGTTATTACCTCAGTGGGAGTATAGTGATCTCAATAGCCATTCCTTCACTATGTTTATACAAAATAGCTCGCTTGATATGCACATTAATTACATTTCCAGGATCTGTCAAATCACTTTACTACAAATTTACCTTGTTGAATCTAAGCGACTATTTTGTAAGTAGAACCTTATAGCATTTGACAATAATCATCAATTCTACGAATCCTCATAGGTACACACAGCAAACCATTGAAAATTCAATCTATTTTTTGAATACGCAATGTAGGACTCTATCAGAAATGAAGCAGAAGAACGATCAACAAAATAAATACCATGCCCAACTGAAGCTATTGAGTGATGAATTGATGCAAATCCCTCAGGGTGAATCACTTGATAAATTATAAACTGAGAGGAAGCTGAGAATCACCTCCATTTGCAAACAACTACAAATCTTCCTTGAACATTACGCCTACCAAATGTCTCAGCAGAGTATTATTAGAAGATTCTTCTAACCCGAATTCCTGTGCACACTCTAACAAAGAAGAATTGAAATTTTAATTTAAAATAACAATCTTGAGAGACATCTTCTCAAGACTCCCAGCAAAGAAACTATAGATTGTTTGTTCATTAAACATAATGAGAGTGGACCTACAGTGCTCTTTTGTAATCCCAATGCTGGGTATTATGAATACATGTTCTTTGATGTAATACTAGTAATCCTATTTTTGTTAGTGTGATTGGTTTAGATTCTATGCCTAATTGAAATTCAATATCATTTTATGGAACTACAGAAGTTTTGGAGAAAGCACAGGCAGTATTTCAATAGAAAATTGCATTGAGGATGGCCGTTTTGTTGCTGAGTATTTTAAGAGCAAGTACAGCATCAAAACACTGGGTGCTCACGGTTAATCCTTGGGAGGAATGGTGGCAGCAGAAGTTGCTTATCAAATGAAGCTATCATTCTTAATTGTGGACAGAAGCTTTTCCTCATTGGGTCAAGTGGCAGCTGCGATGTAAATAAATAAATCAAAAGCAATAGGTTCTCGTCTACCACAATCAGATTCATTTATAATTGCCTTGTAAGTTGGGATAGACCTAATTATCTGGCTTATTACAATTACGTGGGACCAAAATTGATAATTTAAGATCCAAAAGATGAAATACTCCCCTATGAATCGTAATTGCAAACTGCAGTGGTGCGTTGTCACTTTGCTGATTAGCCAATCAAATATTCCTTCAAGCATTCGTTTTTTAATCAAGAATCTACTTGTATATTTAATATCAATTTTAGAATATTTGAAATACTTTTACTCTGAAATATTGTCAAGGAAACATGTACTTGAATTATGTACATCACTTTAATACATTATCAATTTGGCCATCAAGATTAATCAAGTTGAAAATAAGTAAGAATCAGAGAACAACAAAAACTACATTGAATTGCAGAATGATGATGATGACATAGATGCAGCCAAACCTATACTATCATAAATCTATTCATTTTTTTCATTAATCCATTATTGTGGCAATAGTTTATTGGATGTTATGCATAGATAGGCGAATCCGGAGAAGATTGCATTGTTTTTTGGCAGTTGTTTTGCATTTGATTAACAAGATGAAGGCGAGTTTGAAAAATGTTACCATAATTTCGAAGTTGCATGTGAATCCTTTTTGGAATCCTCACACTATTACATTAATTGGGGCTATGTAAATAGAGTTATAACATTGATTAGATTCGAACTCACATCAGGATAATCAGAGAGAAATGTAGAAGTATTATTGGTAAATTCCAACAGATCAAACTAAGCAATGATTACTCTCTTGAAATGACTGGTTACACCAATGACTCAGATCTATGCAAGAAAAACATGTTGGGAGAATTGATTTCAGTTTCATGCGGACACAATAACAATCTAAGCAGAGAAGATACCTGTTTAGTATAAAAATTCTTGTTGAAAAATAAACTGAGATGATTATATTTATCTTCTATTATTCATTTAATTATTATTATTATTATTCACTTCTATGGTCGATACCCCTTCCATTCAGTTTCTTGGATATCTGGCACCCTAACTTTCATCTCCCTATAAATTTTTTGAGGAAAAAGAAACTGTGCTCATCTATCTCAATTATTTCGAGATCGACAATCAGATGCTAATTCTGCTGTCTCCCTGTCCACTCGAATATAGTCAATAAAGTAAATATTATGATCCTCATCCCTTTAAGGTTTCATCGCATTTAGCTCAACAATTCGTCCTCGGTACAGGGTTTCTCAGAAACTCATGGTGTCTCTGGACTAATTTAAATCAATAGTAAGCTTCAATATTCTGCTCTTTGGTGATTTATACTAAACAAACAAAACACAATCCCAACCTTTCAATGCTCGAAACTTTTAGACTTTTATAGCTCCCAATCCTTTGCCCTAAATTAATATTTTGGTGGTTCCTGGAGTTTACAGTATTCACTTTGATCAAATATACGAATTCCTGGAAAGCAAATTAGCATAAAAGAATCAATAGATTTACCCTCAACCCAAATTTGATATTCTTGTTTACACTACAAATCCTTACAGAGTGTGTAATATTCAATATTAATTCGATAAAACTACTTAATTAATCGATTATTTCTTTTATTTGATTGACAACCAAATCTACTCAGACATCAACGAAATTCAATAGATATTCATGTTGGATGACATCAAAGGCACACTATTGGAATTCTTGTCAGGGAGAAATTACCCAACTTCTGCCAACTTCATTCAATTCATTAGAAAGAACTTCAGTTACAATGCTTAGGACACTAAATTCTATATATTGCAACAAATTAAGGGCTTTAATTAGATTCATTAGAATGCGGATTACGTGAAGACATGTACTATATCATACAAGTATAAGTTTAGTTTGTCAAAATTGCGAAGACGGAAACAAATGTACTTTGTTATCCTCTCAGAACCAATAGATATATTTTGCTGGACAAAGTTCACTATTCAAATATCCTCTATCAGTCAAATTTATGGATTTAGTTTGTAGAACATTTTCACAATTGATTTGTCAGCTATTTTTGATAGCAAATGCTTAGAATGTCACTTATTAACTCAATAGATTGGCCAACATTGATAAAATCGAAGAAGCTATTTCCTGTCCTTCTTTCAATCCTCAAAGAAATTATCAAAATTTAGAAATGCTTGGTGATGTTGTAATTAAGTATTTAACATCTGCAATGTTGTTTGAGGATCCTAAGTACAAAACAGAAAACACTTTGTCCTCGGCAAGAGTTCGTTTAATCACTAATAAACACTTAAGTTCAATTTATGGGCATCTCAAGTTGAATATCATGAATTTTAAAATTAACTCCAAGAAACTTCTAAATCACATGATGATGATTATCAACGAACAAGAGGATTCCAAACTGTCTCTCAAACAATAAGCTGATATATACGAAGCCTTATGTGGAGCCTGTTACATTAAAAATTATTAATTCAAAGATTTGATGGACTTTTTTAAATTAACAAGGTTCGAATTCAAAGGCTCAGTTCCACAATACTATAAAGGAAATCCTTTAATTGATTTCTCCGTTAATTCTCAGGATCTAGATCATGATAATGATTATCCTTTAAAAAAATAAATTGTAAAAAGACCCTTCTCTGAAACTGTAAAATTTGACCAACCTTTAGAGGAATTTTAAGATTATCTAGGATGCAAATTGAATTTCATTGCAGAAGCCATGACTGTTGATCAATTTGAAAGATTAGAGTTTTTTGGAGATGCAATCCTGGAACTATTGGTCATTGTGAACGTTCATAAGGAATGTGAAAAACTATACTATAATCCTAGATAACAGTAATTGTGTCGAGAAGGCAAAATACCTTAGAAATTGTTACTTTGCCCAGGGATGTTGCATACTGCCAAAATATCTTTACTTGATAGTGGTTTTATGGGCACAATGGCTATCTACCATAATTTCCATTAGTATGCAAGAAATCTTCCGAAGGAGATTTAAAATAGTATAACAAAAGCCTTAGGCTTATTAAGAGAGGATCAATTTACTGATTTTAGGAGAATCAATTAATATTCATAGTATATTCCAAAAATCATGAGTGATCTATGGGAGAGTGTGGCAGCTTGTATTCTAGCAGAGTATGGGTGGGAAAAGGTGATTGAAATCTATGGAGAAATGTACAAACCATACATCAAATATTTTGTTGAAAACATATCTTTGATTTATGATTTTTGTCAAAGCACTGGAAATGTAAAATCATGACAATTTTTAATATAAAAATTAATAATATATATATTGTTTTAAGTCATTTTAATTTTTTCGGCTTGTCTGAAATCCCTGAAAAATTGAGTTCGTTTTACATTTAATATAATTTATCCTCCATTCTTCCTATCACATTCTAAAATTTATTCAAGAAATCTTCCTAGAACTCTTTCTCTACATTCTAATGATCCTCCTCATCATCAAAGTGGAAGCTACGCTTTTGGTGATACTCCTTTGAATTCTACTTCTCTCTTGTGATCTATTGCATTTGATGATTTATCTTATTGTTTGTAAAAAATGTTTTAGGTGGTCTTTGTAGCATAGGTTATGCATAACTTTGTTAAGTGTGCAAATAAGTTGGAGATGGCTGATTGCATTTATCTTAGAGCACAGGGGATGTTAAAGTTTATTAATACATATTTTGATTTAGATTAGAATACAAGGGTTATTGAGGAATTTATTAGATTATTTATTTCATTTATTATGGTTGAGTCATCTCATACTAAACATGAACGGGAGTATTATTCAAATGTTAGGCTGAGCACTTGTCTCTCTCTATAATTCTTTCATATTGAGTCAATAACTCTTTTTATTCTTTAATTACGCTTTGCAGTTTTTAAACCTCATCTCTATGTTATTCATACAATAAATCATATTTCTGTTTCTCCTCATTAATTTTACTCTACAGTATAAGATTTCTATTTTTCAATTCAATGAGTTAATCTTCAAATTAAATTTAGTGTTGTTATTTTATATGCTATGAATCCTGTTTCTCAATCTCATTCAATTTCTCATAAGATTATATGAGACCACTTTGATTATCGATAATGCCTTATAATTTTTTTATTTCTTCCAATTATGATTATTGCAATTATTCAATTTGTTTAATACTATCATCCCTTAACTATTTGATATGTAATTCCTTTTATAGATTTTATTATCTGCATTAGTCCAATTAATTAGCTAGCTTCTCATTCTAATCCTTCAAAATGGTAATTTAATCGATTTATTGCTCAATTAAGTATTTGGATTCTGAGCAGTTCCTTTGCAATTAGTCATTTTCCTATTGTAGATCTAGCATACAAAACAATAGATACTATAGTTTTCATTCTGCAATTAATTGATTGTCTCTGATACTCTCTGCACTTCTTCAGCCCATTCCTCCTTTAACATTTACTTTTCCTACAATTCTTCACAAGCTTCTTTAAGTTATTATTTGAGAGCATTATTCTATTGCATAAGAATAGCTAAACTTCCTTTGATTTCTTAGTACTTTATCTGATAATCACTCATAGATGGGCGTTGTTATATAAATATAAAATTTGAAATTAAAAATATGTTATAAATTAATAAATAAAATTAATCTTCAATTATTAATGTTCTTTTAAACATTCCAAATACATAAGACAATGATTATTTTACAAGAGAGATTTGATAAGAGAGTGTAAGTGAATTGATGTATTTTATAAATTGATATTGAATTACTTATCTTGATATCAAATAATTTCAATTATTGATATTTTATACCCTCATAACATTCCAGTTGTTTTTGGTAGGAATTTGTCCACTAATTCATTATAAATGCTTGCTAAATGGCCATACGGATTATCGTAACTTTTGTCTTCGAAATTGTAATCATAGATTTATCCTTCCAATCCTAAGAAACGACCCTAGATCATAATATTTTCATACTCCAAAGGCTTTAAATAAGGCATCAGGGGCACATATATCCCATTTGCTCATCCTGACTCCAAGATAGATGAATAGGCTTGCCTTGCCTTCCAAGAGTGTGAGACTCTTTTTTCCTGATCCTCCCATTTAGAGGAGAGAACAACCAAGAGATTTTATTTTTTGCAATTTTTGTTCGTCTATTCTTTTATTCTGTGTGCACAACACAATATTGGAAGGATCATAATTTGGCTTTAAGAGTTCAAAAGGAATCAATGATGTAGTATCATATGTATAAAACACTCTCTTTTGTGGATGATGACCAAAGTATATCTTAGGTTTAAACTCGTATTGTTTGTCAGCAATTTTAACAAATGGTTGGGAGATGATTCCAATTAGAGCTTACTTCTTGTAAGAGACACCAATCAAAGTGGTGACACAATCAAAATCACCTGTAACAAAATCAAGAGTTCCATCTAGAGGGTCAACCCAAACACAAAGATCTTCTATTTCATATTCAGTTCTCACCTTGGCATTGTTGGGTGTTTTGTTGAAGATATCTTCTGTATATAGATTGGAATGAGTATCAGGCAAATCTATTGGGTCATCATATACAGTAGACTCTTCGCCAACAATTCTTAGTTATGGCCTTGCATATTATTTGATTAGAATTACCAATGCTTACGGAGTTACTAGACTATGTAGGTTTAGGCTTTAACATCAGCGATGGTGACAGGATCATCGATGCCTTTCCATTTCTAACCAATATCAGCAGATAATCTAATTTGATTAATAATTATGGCTGCGTTGTAAGCTAATTGGGTTGCGACTGAAAAGAATTCGTGTACTTTAAGCATATTATTATTTTATTTTAATGAATAGCGATGAAATAATATCTGTTGTTGCCGACATAGGTAATCTCTACACAAGGGCAGGATTTACAGGAGATGACTTCCCCAGATGGAGTACTTTCACTAAATGCACGGAGACAATGCAATTCGGAGATGAAGCATTAGGGTATGGGAATGGGTAAGTGTTGGACATATTACAACCATTCAATCCAGATTTATATGAAAATCTATTGAAGAAGATGTTTGAGAAGCTCGGAGTTCAATCCAAAGATTATAGTTTGTTGTTAGCCAATAATTTCCAGACTAAACATGATTTATAAAAAGTGGTCGAAATATTATTTGAGAGTGTGGAAATCCCTAATTTCTTCACCATCAGAAATGCAGCCCTGTCAACATTTTCAGCAGGTCGTTCCACCGCGTTGATTTTAGATATTGGTGCATATTCAACTACTGCATCTGCTGTTCATGATGGCTATACTTTATTAAAAACCCAAATTTAAGCGCCAATTGGAGGAGAAATACTAAATGACCCATTTAGACAATTTGTGGTCGGAGAATATAACCAATTCAAAAAAACATGTTTAGCCAGAGACATTAAATAAGGTTTATTAACATACGAGCAAATCGATTCAACTTAGCAATACGAATTACCTGATGGAAAATTTGTGTCAATGTAACAAGCACAGCTTTCAGAGATTGCAGACAAATTATTCAATAGCAATGACAACTTCAAAGGCATCCAACATATGTTATTGGACATAATCAACAACTCTGTCAATGATATCAAACAACAATTGTGTTCTACTGTGATTTCCACTGGAGGATCATCAAATATCCCTGGCTTTTTGAACAAATTGTAAACAACCTTGTCTGCCTTGGCTCCACCTATGTGCAAAGTCAAATTAGTAATGTATCCCTCTAATGTAAATATGTACTTTTATTCCTTAGTAAAATCGCTATCATTCAGTATTTATCGGAGGCTCCATTTTGGCTTCACTTAGTTCTTTTTAGTCTCTTTGGGTGGCGAAGAATGAATACCAGGAATCTGGCAGATTCAGTATTATCGAAAGGAAATGTCCAAATTGATTAATTATCATTAATTTAGAATTTTATTGTCATTTATATGCATGTCTAATTAATTCTCAAATCTTATTAGTCAATCCATCCTCATAACTCAGTTAGGTGAAAGAATATAATATTATTATGATTCCCAAATATGAATTAATTCAGTCATGTTCATTAATCTAAACTAAAACAACATAATAATTTAAATAGCTATGTCAATATCAATTCACTCTTATTGATTGACTTCATTTAATTTGATTTCCATTTTATATTATAGTTAAACTTAATGGCAAGAAAACATGCTTCATTTAAATTCAAAAACAAAAAAAGTTGAAAGTATTAGAAGTGAATAAGCTGAAAATAATAGGAGTTTTGAAGTCAGAACAAGATGAAATTGATAATAATTCAAAATTAATAATATATTTTAATAATATTTAAAGAAAATTACAGAGATGGCAAAGGACAAATAGGGTGAAATAGATGTGGATAACATAATTGAAAGATTACTTAGTGTTCGAGGAAGTAAGCCTGGGAAAAATGTGAATTTAACCGAATCGGAAGTTCGTGGTCTTTGTGTCAAGGCCAGAGATATCTTCATCAGCTAACCAATTTTATTAGAATTGGAAGCGCCTCTCAAAATTTGTGGTGCTTTGCTTCATTTAATGTTATTTTAGGCGATGTTCATGGTCAGTATTTCGATCTCTTAAGACTATTCGAATATGGTGGTTATCCTCCAGAGAGCAACTATCTTTTTTTGGGAGATTATGTTGACAGGGGGAAACAATCATTGGAGACCATTTGTTTGCTTCTTGCTTATAAAATCAAGTATCCTGAAAACTTTTTCCTTCTCAGAGGCAATCATGAATGTGCATCAATCAATCGTATATATGGGTTTTATGATGAATGTAATTAAGAAACTCAACTATATTTATAGGTAAACGGAGATACACAATTAAATTGTGGAAGACTTTCACAGATTGTTTTAATTGTCTCCCTGTTGCTGCTCTGATTGATGAGAAGATTCTTTGTATGCATGGAGGACTCTCTCCTGACCTCTCTAATTTAGAGCAAATCAGAAGAATTATGAGACCGACTGATGTTCCTGACACTGGTCTCTTATGCGATCTCCTTTGGTCAGACCCAGACAAGGATGTATAAGGTTGGGCAGATAATGAAAGAGGAGTTTCCTATGTTTTTAGTTAGGAAATTGTTTAGGTCTTTCTTAAAAAGCATGAGCTCGATCTAATTTGCAGAGCGCATCAAGTAATGTTGTATAGAACTCTTTAAGGTTGTTGAAGATGGCTATGAATTCTTTAGTAAACGGCAATTGGTCACTCTCTTCTCAGCACCCAATTATTGTGGTGAATTTGATAATGCAGGTAGTCCACATATTTATTATTCAGGTTCAATGATGACTATAGATGAATCCTTAATGTGTTCATTTCAAATACTAAAACCAGCAGAATAGGGTGCTTAGGGTGCTTCCTAACAAAACAAACCTCCTAGTGCTAAGTTTGTCAATTGATTTAAATCAGAAAATTTATATTCAACCAACTTAATAGCTTATTAATTTATCTTCTATATGTATTAAGATTTTAATCTCAGAATTTAGAACTCCTTAGAGCAATGCTTTTAATATAAATTATTAATATTATTTTCAGATTTGGTTCCAAAATGATCTTAATTAATTACCCCTTTAATAAGTAGATATAAAAAGACCATAATTTAATATTGAGGAGTAAAGATATATCAATAGCAAACAAAAAGATATTAATAAATTGTGATTCAGTAAAGAAATCATCATATATTCATCTGGATATCTAATTTTATGAGCAATGATATCTTCATTTTAATAGAAATCTACTTTTCCTTCAATACTATTACCCATGTTGAACATTGCTTAAGTTTAGAAATTAATTTTACCTTCATATATCCTCCAATTAAAATGCCAATCATTAGAAGATTCTATTTGATACTAGTTGTAGTATATCTCTTTTCCATGAATGCTATTTTTTCCATCTACCTTGAATTTGAACAAAAAATTTCGACTTTTCAAAAAATAAAGTTCCTTAACCTTCAATACTGTGTACATCTTATGTTTTTGCTATCTCTTTCTTAATATATATAAATTATTCTAAAATTTAATCAAGGCTCTTAATGTATTGGATTTATAAAACTTGTTTCCTCATAAAATCTTAGTTATAGTGGTACCAATTTTCTTATTAATTTTGGATATTCTAAAAAAAAATAATTTAGAATAATTTACAAAAAATAATAAATTTGGAATTACCAAATTTATGAATTACTTCTTAGATTGCAATTAAACAAGAAGACCAGTACTCTATGACTTTATTTATATTCCTCTAGTTTTGTAATAAACCTTCTTTATCTCATCTACATTTTGTTAAAATTTGTGTCTTAATCTTTGGATTGAACCTTTTTTATTTCAGAAAGGAGATATTTTTATTCAAGCACTATATAAAAATCTATATTTATTCAAGTTAAAATTTACTGATAAATTTCAAACTTTGCAGTCTAATAGGGTGATACTTTTTCAAATTTTTATTTAAGTATCATTTTTTCAAAATGATGATTTATAATATGAAATATGAACTAAAGACTTTTCTGAAATATGAATTATTATCTTATCTAAGATTATCATAACTTAAATATCAGTCTTTAATAAATATTTTTCAATCTATTAAAATATTCTTTAAATCACATCCTACTATAGGTATTTAATTTATACAAAATTTTTTTCAAATATTAAAATTTTAAGCAATCAAACATATTAAAATATTAATGAGGATTTAATATCAATCTATAAGAAATAAAATATAAATAAATGTATTTAATGTTTTCAGGATCACAAAAGTCGCTAGTTTATAAACAAATTTATTGTCAGGTCGAATTAGCCTCTATCCCTTAATAAGCATGACCTTGATAATCTTAATAAATACAGTTGAAAAGAAAAACTTAGAAGGTATAGTAATAAAATGTTATTGTTATGATGCAATTAATTTTTTACTAGTTACCCTCTTGAATAGTTTGAATAGGTAAGTAGTAAAACCGACATAAGATTTCGTCATGTCATCTTTAATCACATTAAAGGCTGAGCATAATCCCCATTTTACAATCTCTCAGTTAATTTTAGCTTGGTAGAAAGCTTAATTTTTTTTAATACTTGACGGATTGAACATGATAAGAATATAGATTTACAGAAGAAAAAAAAATCAAATCTTGAAAACAATTTAGGAAGGTGTAAATTCAATAACTCTGTTGTGGTTAATAAATCCTAAAATATTTTATAGTAAATCCTTAACAACTTAAAATAATAACTCATGCTAATAAAAAATTTTAGATGAATCTGCTTTTCTTAGACACAAGCTGCAGTTGTCAAAATAATAAGATTTGTCTATAACAGGAGAAATAAAATAAGTTTAGAAAGGAGATTTTACATACTTGTTTAATATTCATAGATCATAAAAAGAGCCTTAAATATATTAAAGATTAAATATAAACAATTTAATCAGCAAAATACAATTTTATTATATTAATTTTTCTTTATGGCTGAGATTCTTTGCTATAATCATCTAACAAAAGGATTTATCTCAAGATGAAAGATAAAGTTCATTTTAACCTAGATATCACAAAAATATCTTTAATATCTAATATTAGGCAAGTAACAGCAAATTTTACAACTATTTGACAATAAACTTATTTCTAATCTATTCATTATTATACTAATATTTTTATAGACTAACTAGATTACATCAAGGAAATGGAGTCAATTTTAGAATCTTATTAATTATGAAACTGTTTAAAATATTTATCTATTTTAATGCACTAGATACAAGAATGAAAGATGTGGCCTATAAATCATAATGTAATAGGATCCTTATTTCAACTAGAGTAATTGAAAAGAAGGAGATTTATGTTTTTTAACATTTATATCCAACATTCTCATAATATTGTGTTGATGATTATCATTTTATATCAATTTCAATATAATCTTTGATAATCATTTGCAATTATCCAAAAATAATCAAACATACTTTATGAAATAAGTATATAGATTGTACCTCTGAAACATCAAAGCACAATACTTTGGAGTAGATAAGAGCTCCAGATTTACTCATTTTTCAATAACTAATTGATTAATATTGCAAAAAAATAACAAAATAAGTAGGTCAATAAACAATTAAATCGATATCATTAATTGATGCGTTATTTTCTCAAGCGAAAATGAGGTAAAAATATAATTATTAATTAAATATGAATTATTAAATAAATGTTTTGGATATTTTATTTATTAAGATTAGTCCAATCAACGTGTTCATACAGCAATTTTGACTAATTCTAATTGAAGAGCGACAGTTTTTATCAAGAAAAGAATTATGTGAGAGGAAATCCATACGCATTTGGTGTATGGACTTAATAGGCTCCACTTAGAAAAAACTTTTTTGGCGACAAATCAAAACCATATTTTGATTCCACCCGTAGTCTTGATGGATTTCATATTCTAAATTTTCAAAGTGGAGGTAGAATACAAACATTGTTCTATTAATAGCCAGTTTATGTTACTAGATACCCAACATTAGTTGTTTTATAAAATACATAGTCTGGGGTCTTGTCCTATACGATTCAGTAAGGACTTTTTTATTATGAGGGATATTGGGTTTTTACCTATTTTAGTTTTAACTATGATAACAAATACAATTTTGCATCATATAATACAGGGGATTAACGATTTTCGAATTTTTTGATCACAAATAGAAAATTGTAAACATAAACAACAAGTGCTAAATTAGAACATGGAGGTTAGGGATTATATGTCATAGGAACTAGTAGTTACAATTTAAATTTATTTTTGGGAAGGATTTCGATAATAACTACATTTGAAAGTTCAATTACTTTTTTCTAAAATACTGATAAAGCAAAATTTTAATAATTTATTTAAAATTGCTAAGTTCCTTCATCATGTTAAAAACCTGTAGAATTATATTTTTTTAATGAAACCTATAACTCATATAATTATACTACCAGCAATTATTAAGTTGATATTCCAGGTTTAATCTATAAGCTTGAATTTTGGATGAAGAAAGATTCTTAGAAAATAAACTCACAATTCGAGTTCGTTATATCTTTTGGAGGTAGTTTTTCAAATTTAGATAAATTTTACTAATTATTATTTTATTGGAAAGTTGTAAATTAAGATTTGTATTTATAACATCAATTAGATATTTATTATTTAGTACCTGGTGAATTGAAAACTGATTATAGTTTTTCTGACTCATTATATTTTATTAAACCTCTAAAAAACTTTTAATAATGGAGTTATTTTAAATATTAATTTTGGAAGGTTGGGTAATCTCAATTAGTTTTCCTTTCATTGTATTAATCTTGCTGTGACACATGGGAATATATTGATATGTTTGATATTCCTTATTACCAATAATATTCGAATTATTAGGCCATAATAACAATATTCACATAATAGATAGATGTAAACGTACTGCCTTTTGAAGGTTTCATTTCAAATTTAAAATTTACATATTGTTATAATCTCGAATACGAATTTGGAAAAGATTCAAACCTAAGTATATCTAGCACTATATATTGATAGATTGCAATGCACTATGTAAAACTTGTACAGGGCCTACTGAATATGATTGTGCATCCTGTTTTGATGAATAAAATAGATACTTGTAAACTGATATTCATAAATGTTACTGTAAATCTAACTATGAGGAATCAGGTGGTTTAATATGTTAAAGTAATACATTTCTATGATTTAGAAACATTTTTAAGCTCTATTTCCTAGTAAAAAGAGTTATATAAAGAGTACAATATAATTGAGATATAGAACAACAATAAGTGCAGTTATGGCTATTTTGAAGTCTGGAAGGAATTGAAATTCTTGGGATGCATTATATGGTATTTATACTTTTAATTCGAAGCCCTTATTTTGGCCAAGGTCATAATTCAGTAAATTGTATTAATTGTATAATGAATTCTCACATATGGTATTTAAATCCAATCTGTAAAATTGATTACAGAACTGATGACTCTGTATTCTATTACAACCAATAATTAGATTATCAATCCTAAGAAATATTTATAATAAATTTTGATTTGATGGTAACAGAATAGTGTTCTGGATGTGATTATATTATTGAAACGAAGAATTCACAATCTATTATTGTAAATGTGAATGGATTAACTACCTATTATCAATGCAAATAGTATTTATACCCTAAGAATAATTCTTGCAAGTTATGCTAAATCAATTGTATTAAGTGCAAAGATGAAGATAATTGCATAAAGTGTGATTAAGGCTTTTATATAAAAAATGATCATTGTTATCAATGTTCTTAGGGGTGCTTGTCATGCATTTTAGATGTAAACTAAGAGTCAGTAAAATGTTTAGATTGTTAACTAGGATACTCTTTAATTAATGATAATTGTTAAAAATGTGGTGATCTTTGTTAAATTTGTTAAAAGAAATTGAACAATAATAATGGATAAGAATATATGAAGTGTATAAAATGTAATTATAATGCTTATATTTCTCTTGATGGGGAAAGCTGTTACTTTAATAATTTAGATCATTGCATATACCCTTTTCAATTTTCTGTTTATTCTAATGAGATAAACACTATTTATTTTGATTTTTAACCTTAAGAATCTCAATATATTAAAACTGGTTGTACCTACTGCTCGGCTGTCTCGCTATTAGATATTGGCAATAATTTGTTTACTTGTGCTCCTTTAGATTTGGATTAAATTTAGAGTGGATGCTATTAATCACTCGTAATATCTGGGGTTAGAGTTTGTTCTATTGGTATCGATAACTTAATGATAGCTGGAATTGGCTATTGCAGTCATTTGATTCCAAACTGCCTTTTTTGTTATTAGAATAATTGGGAAGATAGTTATATATGTTTTATATGTGAAGATGGTTACTATAATGATTATTATACAAGTGTTTGCAAGCCATGCAATCCAGAATGTGCTAAATGCATTTAAATTGATTCTTCCAAAATAGTAAAGCCACCTGTAATGCTATTTTTTCTTGCTATAACAAACGACTCATCACCTTATTCGCTTATTACTCAAAACCCTAATAAGAATGATATTGAAATTATATGCACTGAATGTTCAGTGGGTTATATTAAACATTTTGATAAATGCATCCTAAAATGTCCTAGTAATTGTAAAGAATGCAATATCATTGATTATTAATAGATATGTATTTCTTGCATTTAATTTAATGATTAACATTACCATGTTTATAATGGTAGATGTATTTAATGTCCTTTAAATTGTAATATATGCCATCCAAGAACTGATGATGAAAAATTAATGATCAACCCATATTTTAAAAATATAGATTTAGAATATTTTTCTCATAAATGTATAGCCCCATTATATAATGACTTATATTACGATTAGGATATTCAATAATTTATCAAATGTGATAATATTAATAAATGCTAAAAAGAAATTGTAATACAAATTAAAATTTATTGTAATCAATTTGATTTAGAAAACTATCTCAACTAATTAAATGAAGAATAGAGGGTAATTTAGAGAAAGTTTCATATTCTTTTGGAAAATCTAGATTTATCAGTCTATGAGTATTATGACTATTTTCTGTATCTTAATCAAAACTTTGTGAAGATAATTACTTATTAACTTAAAATTGTAGATAACTAACTATGTCATTTAAATAAGGAATTAAAGATCTAATCAAATTTATAAACAAATACTTTTAACTTGATTGAATTAAATTTAATTTTAAATGGATCTGGTAATAATCTCTATTTGAATAATCATTTATCACTTTCAAATTTTACTCATATAAGAATTGAAAACTTGAATCTTCAAATTGTAAATGGAAATATTTCTATGGATAATATCATAGGTTATACTGTAGATTTTGAATCCATTAATATCCATCAAGATTAAACTAGTATATTATCATCAGAGTATTTAATATAAATTAGTGAATCTTTTGAAATTAATATTTCAAAATTATAATTACACAATATTAATGCTCATTTTTTGAATGGATTATTTATAATTGCTAATCAAAATATCAATACTAAACTAATAGCACAAGATCTAGTTATAAACTCTGCAAATATTATCAATACATCAATTATCAATTGTAAAACATCTTAAAAAGTAGAAACTAAATTAACTAATTTGCATATTTTAAATTCTTAATTTACAAATACTTCTCTTATTGAGTAAATTTATTTTACTGAAATTATGATGATGGATAATCTTATTTTTGAAAATTCAGTTCTATTAAATACTATGAGTTTTATAAATTTTGAATAAACTTAAAAAGTTGAATTAAATGGATTTTAACTTTTAGATTCAACTTTATAAAATTCAAATTTTTTATCAAGCTCTAAAATTCTGTTTTTGATAGAATTTAATTTATAAAAGCTCTTATTTCTAGAATAATCCACATTAATAATAAATCAAAACTAGATATTTCTTGAATAAATATAAATAAAAAATGGTAAGATCATAGATAATGTTTACTCCAACAAACATGCCTTAATTCTTTTATTAAATTCGGAAGCTGTTTATCTTAATAATATAGAATTTATCAACAATGCTATTAATATTGATAATTAAAATTAATCTCTTGTTAAGAATATTGAATTATCCCTAATCAATATTGAATCTAAAATTGTTATATTTGATACTTTAATGATTGAGAGAGGAATAGGCTACTCTGAATTTACTATTAAAAATACAAATACCTTTAAACTAATGAACAGTGTAATAACTTTGCATTAAAAGTATTATTTTAAGAGTCTATTTAATAATGAAGAGTGTAATTTTCAACCATTTAATTATTTTATGTACAATAATTTAATAAATTTATAAAATATCTCTATTATTTATGTTTCAAATACCAAAATCACTGATATTATATTATATGATTCAGTTTTATTTGAAATTCAAATGCTTGAATAAATTAGCTCATAATTTGTGTTTATCAATTGTAATTATTCCTCTAACATTTTGCATCAAGTAAATAAACATGAAAAAGTATCTTTAATCTCAATTAATTCAAATTATTACTTAAATTTGAATATAACAGATGTTACTTTTTCCTCTAATTTAATAAATTTATTAAAAGAAAGTAATCCTTAAAAACAAAGCTTGATTTTATTAGTGGAAGCATATTAAGCTACAAGTACAGTAAGTAATTGCTTAATCTAAAAAAATATGATTTTGAATGGTCAAGGATCTCTTATGTATATTGACTCTGACTTAATTATTTTGGAAAATACAAAGTTTTATCAGAATTCAGCATTTGTGTATGATACATTAAAGTAATTCCTCAGATGGGGTTTGGCAGAAGATATCTTTTTAGAAGATTTATAGAATTTATATCTTAGTTCTAGCAGTGGAGGAAATGGAAATTTTTAAACCCGATAGATTGTATTAAACAAGATTTCATTATAAGACTCTATATCAATCAAAGGTGCTGCATTTGTAATAAAAATGATTGAAGATGGAAATATACAGATTAAAGATTCACACTTTGAAAATTTGTAAGCTGAATTAATTGAATCATCTTCAGGAGGAGCTTTTCATATCTAATCGTAATCATTATATTTAAGAATCGATGTTATTAATTCTGTATTTCTAGATATATCCTCCAGAACAGGAGGTAGCATATTTTATATTATACCTTCAACAAAATTATTCAAGATCTCTTTACTCAGCTCTACATTTGAGAACATTTTTTCAATCTAAGGAGGCCTAATATACCTGGAAAAATCTATCCATTAATTATAAATTTTTCAGATGAATTAATGTAATTTATCTTAAAATTTGGATAAATTTTATGCATTTATCAATTCATTACAGGAATTATCAAATACTGAACTCACAACTTTAACATAAAAATATTCACTGATTTATTGTTATGATTGCTAATTTTAAATAAGAGATTTATTTGTAACAAAATATCCACCAACACCCTTGTTCTAATTATATGGAAGTGCAAATCTCAAGAATATCTCTATACAAAATATTATTTTTTCGAATCAATTAATTCTATTTTCTCCTGTAGGATAATCTGATTAAATAATTTTGCATAATATAGAGTTTTACAACTGCACACAAATACAGATTACTGAGATCAATATTCCTTTAAAAAGAAATGCAAATTTTTTAAATAGTACTTTAAGTACAATTTGTAACGAAAATTTGAAAGAAGCTCCTTCAACTATTACGAGGTTTAATGAAAGTTTTTCTAATATTAATCAAATAACACTTTTGGAAACTTTATTATCTTAGATACAATCATCAACGGCAGCTATGATAATATTTTAATTTACGGATTCATATCAATAACAAAAAATAAAGCTTTCTGATATTATTTTTTAGAACAATAAATGCACCAAGTGCTCAAATGGTCTATTAAATTTTAAGAATAATAAGAAAATATCTATAATTATTTCAAAAATGGCTATATCTAATTCGTATTGTGGGAAAAATGGTTGCATTTCTTTTATTTCTTAAGATAACCGCATTCTTTAAAGTTAAGATTCTAATGTATCCATAGCAAATTCTGCTTTTAGAATTGAGGATTTGTAATGCATCAACAATTAAGCTTAATACGGAGGTTGTTTGTTTCTCTAAAATTAAATCATTTCAATTATCAAGAGTTTGATATCTGGTAATAAGGCAGTATATGGAGGTGCAATTTTTACAAAAGGGATTAATTCAACATTGATATTAGAGAATGTAGTTATCACAAATAATTCAGCTTAATTTGGAAGTGGAATCTATAGTGAAGACAACTTGAATAGAAATGTTAAAGGAATAGAGATAATTGATAATTAAGGAATGAATTAAATTGGTGAACAGGCTTAATAACTCTATTTATAAATTTTTAAAGACTAAATAATAAAACCAACAATAGTGTAAAATTCTTAATATGCTCAAAAATTTTAAATCTTAGGCAAAGATGGATAAAATTCAATTATTCATATACCAACTGGAATTCCTTTATCAAAATACAGAAAATTTGAAATAGAAAATAATAGATATAATTATCAAACTATGCAAATGAGATTATACGCAGTTAACTCATAATTAGAAATTGTCAGGAATCTTACAAATACTTTTTGTGAATTACAAATTAATAACATGAACAGTAGTTAAAAACAGAATTTATCATTAAATACAAATAAAATTTTATTTAATTAATCAACATTGTCCTATAATTTAGATGATTTAATATTTTACATTCCTTCAGATTCAAATTAAACTTTTGAACTTTCTATTAAATGTAATAGTATTTATATTCCAATAATAAACAATAAAAATAATTTAATAGAGGGGTATTTTTATATTTAAAATTAGATATCACTAGAACTATGTTTTGAGTCTATTGATAAAGCCAAATGAGTGTTAAATGGGAGAATACAGTTAATCAAAAGAGGATTATTGTCATTAATGCATAGTAGATTAGAAATAATATTCTGTAATTGTAGGAGCTACTAGTTGCCAAATTGTAGATGATTAAAAGATTTAGGATTTAACCTAAGCTTAAATATTTTTAAAAAAGGTATTCTAATTTCTTTTTATATTAGGGTTATTGGAGAAGGAAAGTGACTACTTCTACTATAGACTTGTGCTTAAATAATCAGCAAAATTGTATTGGAGGATGGGGATTTGGAAATGAATTATGCTAACAGGGCTATCTAGGGGCACTCTGTGAATAGTGTGATTATTATGACGAGAGAGGAGGAGGAAATTACTAAAGAGAAGGTTTTTTTGATTGTTAAATATGCTAAAATGATGACCTAAAATAGCAATTTAATTACTTAATCTCAATTTTGATGTAAAAATATTATTAATTTAAGATTTGCATGTCTACTCCGAATAATTTATTATTTGTCTAAAAAAAGACTTTAATCTATTCGTTTAAATATAAATCAGTTTAAGGAATCTTTTAGATAGAGCATTTTTAAGAAAGAAGAAATCCTTATGGGTTAGAGCATTAAGATTATATTGTTCTATTTTTAAATTATCAGTTTTACATAAGAATTATCTCCTGTATTTTCTGAATAAGTCTAATAGTTAATTCATTTTCTAGGAGATCCCTTTACATTGTTAGGAATATATAAAGAATGTTAATTAATAAACTTTGAAGTTAGTGTAATTTACTTATAATTCTTAGAAAATTTAATATGTTTGCTGATATTGATGACGATTTTTTTCTGTTTTAGTTTGGCTAAGATTTATATCTCAAAATAAAAAAACACCAAGATGGAATTATTTAATTTCATATATCTAATATATGTCTTCATTATAGGAAGTTTGATACGATCTATGATTCAACTTATAGCTTTTAGAGATATTTAAGATGTATATTGGATTTACAAAAACATTTCTTATGATTACTCAAATCCCAATCATCTTAGACTAGTATTTTTCTTATTTTTACCTACTGTGATTTGCTTAGGGGTTGTTTTACCTTATTTATTACTACAAAAGTCAAAGTCAGTCTTATTTTTATAAAAACCAGTTGCTTTTAAAAACTTTGGATTCTGGTTTGCATCCTACTCAAAAAATCATCCCCATTGGGAATTTTATAAATTGTTATTGGTTAATGGATTAATATGCCTAATCATCATGATAGATGCAAATACTACTATAAAAGGAGCATTATCTTATTTTCTACTAATCATTTATACTAAAGTCTGTTAAGACAATGATATCTATTATCAGAAGTAAATGAATAAATTTGAAAGTTAATTAAATATAATCAGTATCATAATCTTAATCTTGTGCACATTGTTTTCAATATAGGAAAATTAAGGATCCATATTTAAAAATATAATTTTGATTTTCATTAATTTTATCTTTATTTTGAGTGGAGCGTTTATGATTCGACATTTATGGAAATTGAATTCCTTCTATTTAAGAAGGATGCTATGTAAGGGATTTGAAAGATTAGGAAAATTTAATAAGATATTTATTAAGTATAACGTTTTCTAAGCTCATTCAAACAGTTCCATAAAATTAAGAAATAAGAGATTTGAATTATTAAAAGCTTTTTTAAAACAATAAAGCAAAACATAATTATCAATTAAAAAGGAACAATAAAGCTCTCAAGAATGGAATTAAACTTAAAAAATATGAGTTAAAAAATGAAATATCAAAATTATTAGGATATTTTTCAATAATTTTTTTTTTTAATTAAATGATTGATTTTTATATTTGGACTGCCAGCATCATATTGTTAGGATTAATCAGACCTACCATCCAGTGCGATGCAAATACATTGGAAGGATGCCTTCTAGATAACACTACCGAGACAACCAAGATATCACTCTTAGATTATTCAGCCTATGGATATGGCTTCTGGTTCTAATATATACCCACGATGCTTTTAGTTCAGAAGAATTTCAACTTATTCTCTAATTTTGAAGGGTTTCTAATATTAAGGGAGATAAATCCTGATACTTCTAAATATAGAGTATTTTTTTATTAAGATTGGACAAATAATAATACTAATTAGGAAAAATATTTATATTTATAATATGAATCAAATGGCTAAATGATCTAACTAGCAAAATTCATATTTGACTCATTCGATTTTTAAGGTAAATGGATTCATATATATGTTTCATATTAATTTCCTTATTCAAGATAAATAATTATATATGATATTTGGAATGATAATTGTTAACTCATAAACTATTAATCTAGTACTAATTTAGAAATGAAGGAGACAATAATTACTCAAGGAGGGGAATTCAAATTATAATTAAATTAAAATGCTGAGGTAAAACAATTTGCTTATTTCCCTGGCAGAATTTCAAAATTATTGAATAATTTTGATAAAACAAATGCTATTTTTAACACAGTTCAAGAGTTTAAAATATTTGTTGAATAGCAATTTATCCCATAACCATATTGTTAAATTTCAACTTATGATACGTCATTAATATTTTCTTATACATACCACTATGGATTAATTTAACTAGAATCTTGGGTTAAGATAGATTATAATTTTGTACTATTATATGTTATCATAGAATATGAACTTTTCAGGTAGTGTTTTTGGAGTTGAATTAATCTATCCTGAATTTAATATATTTTAAAAGTTTGTTGATTTATAGTATTGTCTTCTTTAAGCAATGTAATCAGATTCGACAAATGGAGTGTATTTCTAAACTCTTAATTAGATAGATCCAGACCTTATCATAACGTAGGGTCAATTTTTTGGGTAATAGAGCTTGGCCTTCCATACTTTAAAATAAGATTTAAGACAATGGCATTACGTTTCTATTCTGTATGGCTTTGATAATGCATAAGTGCTAGTTTCAAATTTGAAAATGTGGTTCAATGATGGGGATGTCTATGAAGCTCAATATCATAATAAAACATATCATTACGATGGAATTAACTTAAGAATTAGAAGCGGAGCTCTAATTAATTCTGCTGTTAATGGTTTATAGATAACAAAAGAAGGTAGTAGGATAACTGTTTGCTTAACTGAGTCATTTGATCTCATGAAAAGTAAGTTTATTTTTGATTAATAAAGAATGTCACTTTAGTTGTTTAGATTGTAATGGTCCATATCTTTATTAGTGCATAAGTTGTGATTAAATATCTAATAGATATCTAGAAAATAGTTATTGTAAATGTATCCTAGGTTATATTGAAAGTAATGCTGGAAATTGTATATGTAATATCAATATCTTAAATTAGAATTCTCGGATTTCTACCCTACTTCAGTTTAAGATTATAATGCAAAGAATTAAACTCTATTTTAATTTGGTTATTTTCCAATTAAAGAAGTCAATAATGAAATTATTTATATACGTTGTCCTTAATTTAATGAAATTTAATTGGAAAAGATAAGTTGCATAGAATGTTTGAATGAACCGGAATTCTTTGCTAAATAATTGAAATGTGAATCCGATTATGTTTTTAATAGTTATGGTCAATATGAATTGATATAAAGAGAAGATAAAGATGTTGAATTATATGTTCTTGATGCTTCAACATCATCCCTTACTTTGTGTATTGGATGCATGTCTTTTTGCAACTAAGATACTGATTCAAATTGTCATTTTCATACTTTATTACAAGTATATATTTAATGTCAATCGCAATTCTATTATAAAAATGGAGAATGTTATGTGTGTAATTCAAATTGTAAGACATGTAAAGATTTTTCAATTTGCACATCTTGTTATGATTAAATGACATTAAATCCTGTGAATAATGAGTGTCTTGAATGTCCAAAGGAATGTTAAGAATGTGAATATAATTCTGGTGTTCAATGCAAATAATGCATAGGAAAATACTCAGTGTTTTAAGGATAATGCTACCCTTGTAGTCAATATTGTTTAGAATGTATATATGTTTAAAATCCTAAAGATGGATCCTTTTATAATAGATGTATTAATTGCATAGATAATAAAAAATATTATTTGTCAATTAATGCAGTTGATTGTATTGAAAATTCAGATGTTCATTGTTTATATACAATTTAATTTCACAAATCCTGGTTCATGAGAAGTAAAGTAAATACTATATATCACATGTTTGAAAAAGGAGATTATAATTCTAATTAGCTCATTAGTTATTGCGCTTAGTGTGAAATAGGATATGCTTCATTACTCTCAGGCTCATGTGTTAGAATTGATTCAATTCCTGATAATATAGAAGATAAGGAATATTGTACACAAATGTACTAAATGGAGGTGTATCAATACTTCTAATTATATCAATTATAGTACTAATGTCTGGTTTATAAAAAAGAATTGAAAAAAATGTATTCAACGTCAAATGGTTGTGAATCTCTCTTGTATAATTGTGCTTACTGTTTCAAAAATATTTGTTTGTATTGCTATCCCGGATATTATGCTGAATTATTTTCTGGATAGTGCATTCTATGTCCATCAGAATTAAATTGTTATAAATGTGAATAGCGATCAAAGTAATGGAAGAATGGTTGGAAAGTTTGGTATGCCATGGTTCATTATATTATGAAACGTAGAAGTTTTTATGGTGATATATTTGGAAATGAACCATAAGATTAATTAGAAGTTTTTTGTAAGACATGCACTGTAAATTTTGAACTTTACTAAGATAAATGTATCAAAAAATGTGCAGAGAATTGTGAGCTATGTATAAAAAGCAATGGATTAAATAAATGCGTGAAATGTAAGATGTACGAAGGTAGACGTCTGTCCCTATATGATGGCGAATGCATTGATTGTCCAAGGTACTGTCAGATTTGTAAACCTAAATCAAATTCTTAATTATAAAGTGCTAATCCTTATTTCTCAAATTCTGATGTCAAATCTTCAACACATACTTGTTTGTTGCTATAAAATGAATTAAACTTTTAAGACTATTATTATGATACAAAATTTTAATAATTCTTCAAGTTAAGTGAAACTGGAACAGATCCTAATTCGATTACCTTGAAATTCAACCTTTATTGTAACTCATAGCTCTTTAATTAACATCTAGAATTGGCTTAGGACAAATAACATTTTCTACAGCAAAATGTTAAAATTGATGAACTATTAACCAATAATAAATCATAAAGCAATTTTGGAAGAATTGAAAATCTAAACTTGTATACATATCTAAGCATATAACAGATTTAAGAAGTTGAATTATAATTTATTTTTATCTAAGATTGTTCTATAGAATTTCACTCCTACATATTCACTACTTTGATATAGAACATTTATTTTGTGACTTCAGCTAAAATTACTCTAGTTGGTAATGGACATACATTATTCCTAAACTCAAATCTAGAAATACTGGATTTCGAATCTATTTCAATAAAAAATCTAATAATTTAGCCATAATCAACAATGAAAATTCATTTATAATCTTTAAGTGCTTTAAAAGTACTATTCTACGAAGTAGCTATACAATAATAATAAGAAGATTTAAATCCAATAATATTTAATATAGTATTCACGAATCTCTAGGAATTATGGATTCAAAACTTATCTTTACAGAATCTAAATCTACAATCTGTCGCTAGTTTATTATCTTTAGAATATACAGTTTACTAACAATATATTAACATTAATTTTGATCAATTTACTATCTAAAATTCAAAGATACGTGATTCCAATATTCTATTACTTGATAATTACTTTTAAAAAACAACGAATTGCAACTTTAATGACATTTTAATTACAAATTCCAATCTTTATTCGAGCCAATTTATGAAAATTTTAAATAACTAATGTCTAGATATGTATGGATCTATATCATAAATATAAATCCAGCTCTCCTTTTTTTCAGATATTCAACCTTTATTCTAAACATTTTGCTTTAAAAGTTTAAATATAAGCCAAATCTCTTTAACAAATTCAACATTCTAAAATTTTATTCTGTTTTAAACAACTAATGATTAAATTAATACGGACTATTAAATTTAGTTTTGTAGTTTAAAAAATAGCTCAATTATTAATTTTGTTTAAGACTACTAATTTAAATCTATCATTTTCGAGAAATTTGAAGTTAATTAAGTACATCATGATGATAAAACAATCCTTATAAATTTAGTATCAAATTACTTGACTAGCACAGTTAAGATGTCTAATATTATTTTAGATACAATATCTATTTTTGATAATATTTAATTGGTTTCCAATTTATAGTCAATCTCCTCAATTATTCTCATTTAATCCAACTTTATTGAAATATCCAATGTTACAATCATCAGATCAACTGGTGTCACTGAATTTATATTATCCTCAGCTATTAACTTATTACTTTCAAATAGTACTATTACATTAAACTAAAAGTACTTTTTTTAAAGTATCATCACTGATGAATAATGTTCGTAACTTAATAAAAATTCTAAATACACATCGAGTTTAATAGTTTAGAAGGTATAAAATATTAGAATAAAGAACTTTTATATATCTAATCTTATTATTTAGGATTTCCCTATGATTTACATAATCTCCGTAGCAACCTAAATTATTAGAAGACCTGAATCTGTTGTTATTGATTTCATGAATGTGGATAATTGCATCGTCTAAAAGAGTTAGACTATCAATTAGATATCTGGGATTTTTTTATAATCAGAATAATAATAAGATATCCAAATTCTAAATTCCAGATTTAATAATAATATTTACTATTCATAC